TGTTATCAATAGCAATTGACACCCATCTATCCATCTGATACAGTGTGGTCATATCCATTGATCAGTAATATCTCATAGGTTGATCCTGCAAGCCTTACAAAGTCTTCTTCTCGCCTCCCATGCTTAGATCTCCATCTTGATCTTCTCTTAGACCTCCCCGGGTAGGCCTAGGAGGTAATCCTGACGTTGAACCACGAGGGCCGCCTATGTGCCGATTAGTTCGGCGGCTAGAATCACGGACAGGCCCTCCACTACCTCCACTGCCTCCGCTACTTCCAACAATTCTACTACGCCCTCCACTGGTGAACAACCCTGTTTCCGCATTTCCTGATATGTGCTTACTACTATCCAGTTGATCACGGTCATCGTTACCGCTCCGACCAGCGTTTCGGCCGCCGCTACGGCGTCCTCCTCCTCTAGGCAGCATTGTAGATATGATAGATTCCTTGTTGTATTCTTATGAAACAAAAAAAATGAAAATAGTGATCAAGTTTGTTTGTTGCGTTAGTGAATGAAATTGTATGGATGCGGTGACTAGGCAGTGGCGGTGCACGGATCAGACTACAGCAGGCTGATCAGTAGACGGCGGCGTAGGTGGTGATTGCGAAAGCGAAGGTGATGGTGCAAAGAAGAAAAGCAATGGGCTAACAATGAAGCCTTAAAGCCATTCAAACAGTGGTTGAAATTCGGTGGCTTGGTAAAAAACCCGAGTGAGGCACAGCAGTTTTTTTTTTTGTGTTTACTTCCCAATTTATATTTACCTGCGCCAAGTGCCGAAACGATGCATATCAAGGAGCTATCCTGTAATACCGGTATTGAATTTGGATCTGAAAAGGAGAAGGAAGAGGGAAAGAATGAAGAATTGAAGAACGAAGAGCCTCTTCCTATTCCGGCGTCTTTCCCAGCATTCCCATATGCAACGCCATATTCGATCCAAACTCAGTTTATGCAAGGACTTTTTGAATGCGTGGATCGGCGTAAGGTCGGCATTTTTGAATCACCTACAGGTACTGGCAAGAGTTTAAGTATGATTTGCGGAGCGGTTGGTTGGCTCATAGAATATGAACGTGCCGAGCAAGAGAAAATCAAGAAGGAGCAGGAGGAGCAAGGACAAGCAAATGCAGTCCAATTTACTGAAAAGAATCAAGACCAAAGTTGCAGTACATCTACAACCAAAGTGAAGCAATCATTTGATGATGATACCCCAGATTGGGTACAACAACACCGTACAATTTCTCGTGCTGCCGTGGAACGAGAAGACCGTGAGACAAGACGTGCTGCACAGGAAGCTAGAGTACAAAAGATCAGGGATAGAGAGAAAAAGATGCGGGAAAACATGGCCAGGAAAATGAAGCGACAAGCAGGCGGTATGGATTCAATTGGAGACATAGGATATAGATCGGTCAAAAAGAAGGTATTACAGAAAAAAAAAAAGATGCCTAGAAATTTGTCTTATGGATTATTGTCATTCAACATCTATCATCGAGTAATAACCCTTAGGATATCATCACTGAATCTTAGAAGGAGCAGGGTCTTTATGAGGATGATTTCGACGATGCCGAATTTTTGGTGGATGATTATGAAAGCGACGAAGATAAAAGAGAAAGAGGTGGAAGGAAGGGCAATAATGGTAATTTCGGGAACATCTCCAAGGAAGTTTTGGAGCTCTTGAAAAGGTATATGATAGCTGTATGCTTTGGATGAAAACATGTAATTTACAAAAAAAAAAAAAAAAAAAAAAAAAAAGACCTATTGGTATTATCACTAACTCTAAGAATTTGATCTGCATTACTTTACAGTTTTGAGGAAAAGGAAGTAGCTCATGGAGGAAAGAACAGTAGGCGTGCACTTGATGATGAAGATGAAATCCCTGACGTCCTCAAGGTATATCTAATATGATTATTAGATAAACGAGAGAACGCTAATGGTGTGAAACCTCATAAACTACAGCTCTTCCTCACTATCGACATTATTATAACCATCTTTTGCCTCATAGATATATTACTGCTCAAGAACTCATTCACAGCTATCTCAATTCATTGGTGAGCTGCGGAAGACGTCCTACGGAGAGCACCTTCATGTTATCACTTTGGGCTCACGCAAAACACTATGCATCAACGATCGGTTCCGTCAAAAGGCCTCATTTAAAAGCAGTAGAGCCTCAGAACCAATCATTAATGTTAACAAGCTTAACGATGTTTGCTTAGATGCCCAAAAGGCTGGAACAACATCTGAGCATCGTTGTGAATTTTTGCAGTTGCCCTCCTCGAACTTTGGAAACAAGGTTCGGCGCGGAGTGAGTGATGGAAACAACAGTGACGGTGGCGACGGTGACAGCAGCCATGTATGGCGGAAGAGCAACATATCCATGGACAGTGATGAAAAGCTTCTTCAATTCTCGGATCATACATTGGCACGGATACGAGATATCGAAGAGTTAGCAGAACTTGGGTCTGAACTCGAGACTTGTCCTTATTACGGATCACGCCAGACTGTACGCCAATGTCAGCTTGTAACTTTGCCTTACAATTTATTGCTGCATGCATCAACACGCGAATCGCTGAAATTAGTGATCAAGGATAATGTTTTATTGTTGGATGAGGCACATAATCTGATCAACAGCTTGTTGCAAATGCACTCTGTCACGCTCTCGTTGCAGCAGATTATCTTGGCTCAGCAACAGCTACATGTCTACTTAACGAGATATGAAAAGAGACTGTCTAGTACTAATGAAGGATACATTCGCATATTACTCAGGATCTTGAAATGCCTCGATGGATTTCTAGAAAAGTGGAAGTCTGGGACTTCCACAGCAAAGCAACCTCAGGAAGCACAGTCAATCGGGAGGACTTTCCGCCCTACTGACAAGGTAATGAAGGTGAACGAGTTCTTACATGAGGCAGGAATGGACCACATCAATCTCTTTAAAGCACATGCGTACCTCGAGACCAGCGGCGTCGCTAGAAAACTCCAAGGGCTCCATGAGTCTTTATTGCGGAAAGAGGCCAAGCGGCAGTCGAACGACGGAGAACGGGCAACTGTTAAAATCCATTCTAATTCAAGGGTCCCGTCAAAGTCAGGAGCGAACCAACCAAGCCGACCTGATCTCTCTATATCAACCACTCCGATTTTGCATACAGTTGATTCCTTTTTAATGAGCCTACTTAATGCTGATAACGATGGTCGAGTAATTGTGTCTATGGAAGAGGACAATGGTGGTACGGAAGATGAAAGCGATGATACAATACAAGGTTCTTCCATGGGGCGCTCGGAGCCAACTTTGGGGCGCAACTGGAGGCCAGTTTTGAAATTTATGCTGTTGAACCCTGCCAATGTTTTCAAACCACTTGTGGATGAGGCAAGAAGCGTCGTTTTGGCAGGAGGAACCATGGAGCCTGTTTCCGATCTACTATCGCATCTTTTTCCCTACCTGAAGGATAAAACAAGAGGCACCAATGGCGGAAATGATCCTCACAGTATGGAATCCTTATACCCCAGAATCTACCGGTTCTCGTGTGGGCACGTTATCCCACAGCAAAATTTGATGACCCTCATCGTAGAGAAAGCTCCAAATGGTGGATCCTTAGAGCTTAATTTTGCGAACAGAACATTAGAGCAGGTCATAGATGCGATTGGTCAGTCGCTTGTCAACGTACTCAATATTATTCCCGACGGTGTGGTGGTTTTTTTCGTATCATATTCATACATGGCTCGAGTTTTGTCTCGATGGCAGACAAAGGACAATACGATCTCTAGTACCACGGCCAAACCTAGCATTATGGATAGGATACAGTCTCGCAAAAGAGTTTTTGTTGAACCTAGAGAAGCAGGAGAGGCGGACCGGATACTCAGGCAATATCAGGAATGTATTCGTGAAAAGCCTGAGCATGGGCCTGTAATAACCGGTGATTCAGCAGGTCCTCATGGAGCTGTTCTTTTCTCTGTGGTGGGAGGCAAAATGAGCGAGGGCATCAATTTCTCGGACCGCCTTGGACGAGGCGTTATCATGATCGGCATGCCATTCCCTAATAAAAGCTCTGCTGAACTTCAGGAACGGATGCGATATATGGACCAAGTTGAACAGCTCGAGCTTCAACAGAACTTGAAAGGCTCTTCCTCTTTACAATCACTATCACCATCGCGTATGACAGCCGGGAATGAATACTATGAAAATCTATGCATGCGAGCAGTGAACCAATCCATTGGACGCGCGATTCGACACCAAAATGACTATGCAGTCATCGTTCTCATGGACAAGCGATATGGTGTGGCAAGGATTCGAAAGAAATTACCTGGCTGGATCGGGTCTTCGATCGAGACTTGCGAGCAGTTTGGACCTGTAATGAGCAAACTATCGGGATTTTTCCGGGCGAAGCGTGAGAATGCCCTCAAGTGAATATCTCTGAATCGCTAGGTGAATCTATCCACAAAACTACCGCTTTTCTTTGTGGATTTAGAATAGTAAGGTAGTTCTATAGAGAGTGAAGATATGTATGATTCTATGTCGCGACGCGTTGTCTACTAAAAAAAGTGACAAGATCAAGAAAACCTTTATCTCATCGATCCACGGAAAGATCGATCAAATGAGAGGAATGTGACTCTACTCGTATTGCTCCTTATTTAAACAGCCGTTTTGCTCTTCAGGGACCACCAGAACATTTACTCATGGACCCATTGCCATCATCATCTCCATCAACACCACCATCACCTGAAGGGTTCATATATGTAGGACCTGCATCTAATTTTTTACCATCAAAGTCAAATGCTGAAATGAATGAGGACCTGAATGAGACTGAAAAGTGTGCAGTATCACAAACAGCATGCGAGCGCAAGATTGCCAAGGATGGAGACGAATATTTGATTAAAGTGGTAGAAATCCCTCAACCCGCGGGACGGTACCCACCTCAGAAACGAGTAGCCATTAGCTACTTTCGCAAAAAGTGGTATGGGTTCATCAATGTAAGTATGGGATATACATCATGGTTCCTCAAAAAAAATCAGCAATAACAATAATTTGCTCACAATGTAATCCATAATAGATTTGTCCACACCAAGGTTCAGCGCTCGATCGAGGAGCGATGGTAGACATTGAAGACATGGGGATTGTCTGGGGAGCGGGCATTACATGCACACTACACAATTGGTATATTCAATGATCTGTTGTATCGGAATAGCTCAATAACTGATTACTACGCCTTTTTGGATACTCACGCCGTTCCTGATCCACAAAATTAATAGGACATTTGATGCATCATCAGGTCAATCTGACTCTTCACGTTTTGTGATCGACACATACGATGTCAAGGAGATCGATGGTCATGTCTTTGTGAGCCAGGCACCCCGTAATGCTCATGTATTAGGGCCGCGACGCGACTTTGGAGGCAGAGAGTTAAACTAAAAAAAAAAGGCTGGCACTAAATCGGAAACGTTCTTTAGGTGTATTTACAATTGTGTAATTCATATTTATTATGTGAATAAAATGAAAAAAAAGTATTTAAGCAACATTCAACTTCTTCAAACGATCGCGAGCAATAGAGACCATATCAGTCATAGCAGTCTTCATCTCCTGTTCCTTGGTGGAATTTTTGATACGGTCTTCCATCACAGGGATAATGACGCTTCTTGGACGACCGTTCACAAAGACAACAAACTTGAATCCATATTTGTCTTCATATTCTTGATTTAAACGTTTTAATGTTGCCTGTGTCACCTCGTCATCCTGTGAAGGAGTAGCAGTCTCGCTCACTTTCTTTGCTGCATCCTCAGCAGTGTAACCTTGCTCGATCAACGAGAGGGCAGATAAATTGGCCTTGGCAGCACCGATGCGAGGATGAGCATTGATCACATCCAACTGTTCCTGCAGTGTCAAATACTTGTCTGGGTTGGAGAGCAAAACCTCGGTCTCGTCGATTAAAGCGGTATAGGTTGCATAAGGACGCTTAGAATAGAGGTGTTTGACGATTGGAGGAGCGGGCTCGAAGAGAAGTGTGACCGCGGTGGCAAAGTCTTGTTCTGTAGCCTCGGTGTTGATAAACTCAATTGAAGGCAAAGAAACGGGCGCTGCTGGATGGGCCATGCTGAAGAATTGTCGCTGTGGGTTGTTAGGATTCTAGTGTTGAAAAAGAAGAAAAGAAGAGAAAGAAGGAATAAAGAACTAAAAAGCAATGAAGGAATGATGAATGAGACGAACGTGGCCGGTGGGTGAATCAGACTACGGGCAATGCGGAACGTTTTCGTATAAGATCCTGGGGCTCGAAAAGTCATTGGCGGCAAAACAAATGCGGGGAACCAAAAGTGATACGAAAAAAAAAAAAAAAAAAAAAAAAAAAAAGAGCCGACTGTGGGAATCTAAGAATGCATTCCATTTGAGAAAGCATGCGATTCAGATGCAACGAAAGCGGCCAGTCCATTACAATAACACAACTTGTCAATTGCTCGAAAACGAATAATAAAGCGCAGCTATTTGTTCTGGTCATTGACAGTCCTATCCTTGTCATTTCATTATAGCAGCATTCGTTTAAAGTCGTAAAGTAGTTTGAGAAGTAATATACAGTTTTATTCAAATAATATTATCCTCGTGCGCTCTACCGCCGGGGTATTTACAGACGAGAGGTGCCGGGAGCACGGGCAACGGTGGCGGTGATAAGACCGGAGGGGTCAGACAAAGGCTGGTAGACATCTGCATGCTCAGCCAAGTTCTTGGTGCCTCTGAAGTAGCTCAAGTCAACAGCAAAGAAGTGGCGGTTGGGGAGAGCATAGGACACACGGTCCAACCACTTCCAGTTGGCGATCGACTGAGCAGCCATCTTGTAGAGGGTAGCCTGGACAGAGGCCGACTCGTCTTCAGCGAAGATCTTGCAAGTGACATCACGAACGGAATCGTAGATCTGGTTGAAAGGAATCTGGGAAAGAGTGGGCAACAAACTCTCAGTCTGGACAGAAGGAACGTTGAACTCCCAGGTGGCATCAACACAAGTAGAGAGGATGCGGTCCTTGGCCTCACGCAAGGTGGTGTACTCATCCCTGACAAAGTCCTCGAAGGAAGAGCCAGTGGTCTTGAGGACCAACAATCCAGCAATAGCAGACTTGATCTCAATAGTGCGACGGCCGTTGGCGCCACGCTTAATGAAGATGTCAGTCTGGCGGGTCTCGTCACCATCGCGCCAGAAGGAGTGAGTGTGGGGCTTTCCATCAATGTTCATGCGAGCCCAGCGGTGGCGGATAATGGTAACATGAGCGCCATCGACCCAGTTGTAAGTGTTCAAGAAGTGGTTGCCGAGCTCAGAAGCGAAAAGCTCGAGGGTATCAACGACCTTGGAAGACTTGGCAAGGATATAGCAGGTGTTCTTGATGGAATCAGTTGCAACAACAGCCTTGTTGGAAGCCTCAGTGTAAGAGGTGGTGAAGGAGGTGCCGGAAAGGAGACAGCGAATGGTCAAATCATCAACACGGTGGATCTTGGAGTCGCGGTGAACCTTGAGAAGACGGACTTTATCCTTTCCGTACTCCTGCTTGTCGAGGTAAACGTTGACGGAGGGATTGGTCATGGTTGCAGGTGGTAGTAAAGTAGTTGAAAATTAGGGGAGTAGAGTGGAGTAAGAGAGAGTTGTCAAGAAAAAAAAAAGTGGGGAGTAAGTTTCTTTTATATTCTTGTGCTCATGTATCTCTAACACCTTCAATGAGGATGATTGGATGGAGTATTAAGTCTCATCTGCCTATTTGCTATTGGGTCGGAAATATCGGGGATCGCCTACGGAAAGACAAGGTACGGAACATTAAGACATGAAGGAGAGAAAAAACTGGGTCAACCGGAACATGTCGAAGGAGTGTGGGGAGGAAATGTGAGCTCCGGAGCCCACCGTTACGGACCCATTAATTTATTGCTCTCTTTTCAGGTACAATACGTACATAATGCACTAACTGCCACATGTACATGTACATGTACAATCATTCAAAAGTTCAAGGGATCTTTGTACAAATATGTAAAATGATGCCGAAAAGCTTTGTTTGATTTAAACCTTGCTTATACTACTTTGCGACAGGCAAAATGCGGGGAATATGACAGATTAAAAAACTTCCCTATTTGTGTGTACCCCGGCTACATGTTACTTTTAATAAATGAGACTTGCCATCTATCATCGTTGGATATATAATACATAGAACGCTATTCTTTGTTTACGTGCCTCCAAAATGCAAATTCTACAAACTGAATAGCAACAAACTTTTTTCGCGAAATTCTATAGCGGCGGCTACCCCTACACTTTGTTTATCTGCATTGATTGATGGGTGATGCCGTGGTTATGGAGAAAGAACCCATCCATGGACAGAAAGAGCAATTTGCAGTCACAGTGATCCTGCCCCAGCCACTTTGTAAACAGTCAGTCATTCGGAGCAACGCCCACCTTCCACATTGAACAAGAGCTTTTTATTTCATCCTCGCCTCTGAACGGTGCGTACCATCATGTCTCTTCTTACATCACAAGTCTTTGGCTTGAGCCGCCAGGTTGCCAGACTTGGCGCCTTCACAGAATCCTCAGGTAGGAACATCAAAGACTAAACAGAAGATCAATAACCATGTCAGGACGACCCTGCTGAGAGCTTCAGGAACCAATCGCTTCACGATCAGATTTACCATGAGAGAACACAGCATGGCATTGGAAACATACAGCTATACATTTGTTACCTGTCATCGGCACTCAGCTTTTTTTTATCCTATTATAATTTACAACTTGTAAATAGTTTTCACAAATCAGGTCCGCCATGCCTCTAAAAGAGCTGGAGGTTCAACCAAGAATAACAGAGATTCTGCCGGTCGCCGTCTTGGTGCCAAGAAGGTTGGAGGTAAACCTCGGTATTTTATGCGAGCACTACTACACTATTTAATACACTGACTAACACTTTTTTTTTCTACTTCAACGTGATAGGCGAACCTGTAATTCCTGGTAATATCATCTATCGTCAGCGTGGCACACGCTTTTACCCAGGCGAAAATGTTGGTATGGGCAAAGATCACACATTATATGCACTTGAGTCCGGCTGGGTTCAATACTATCAGGATCCTGTCAAGGACAAGAAGTTCTGGAAGAGGACTTATGTCGGCGTTAGTTTGTATAAGGACCAAACACTGCCTACGCTAGCACATGATCCTAGGAAAAGGGCGTTCAGGATGGTCGACGTTGCTGCACATAAGAAGCAGTTGGATCAGTCCAGGAAAGTGGCTTTGGAGGACTTGGCTGCATTGGAGAAGGTTGTTCTGGCATGATTAGGCGTTTAGTACTATAATACAATAAAGTGTGAAATAGAGAGATTATTCGATGCTTCAGTCAAGTGAACCTTGTGGTCTGTGTTTTAGATAGAGTGTGGATGGCATTATGGTGAGCCCATACCTAACATTAAGGCGATGAACGATTAGATCATGACAATCCAAGTGAATATTAGTCTTTTTTTTTGTAGATGTAAGGGTGGCAATATGATATGTATATACAAAAACATGCCTTGCTGGGGGCCCCTGCACAAGGCGAGAGGCGCTTTAATCCTGGGCTTTAAGACAGGTGTGTTATGTTTGTGTAACTAATACAAGGGCTGAAGAGCATCTTTTTTTTTTTTTTTTTTTTTTTTTCAAAGGGGTAATGATCGTGTCAGCTTTTGTTGTCCGCGGCCTATTCTCTGATCGTTTTGGCTGCGGCAAGCATACCAGAAAGAGATGAATAAGACAACTATTCCTTTCATCACTCTATTAAATACTACAGCTGTCTTTGGATAAGGAAGGGCGAGTATATACCGAGCCCTCAGATGCAGGATTTGTCATACATTCAATCGCTGCTTAAGAAAATGAGCAAGTTGTGAAAACCCTATTACATCTATGCAAAGTATAAACATTAGGGTTAACAACAACATGTATATATATAATATATAATTTACACAGACAATTGAATAGGCTTATTGTTGAATGATGTGCATAGCATATATATATTATAAATTGAGCAATCCATAAACGAGCCATTGTAACCATTTTTCCCTTCTTTTTTCCTCTTTTCTCTTTCTTTCTCCTTCTCTCTCTTCACTCTATTTTGCCACCCAAATTGCTGGGTATCTCACCCTCCCCTCATCCGCTTCCGACTTTCTTTTTCAGCTTCTTTTGAAATTAATAAATCACCTCAGGAACAAGTTACTAAGGATTTGCATTTGGCATTCCTTTATCTATTGTGTTTCAGCTCACCATACACATTAGCACAGCTGTTTATCAATCAATTGATCATATTTTCCACTTGAGCGCCCAGACTCTTTCAGAATGCAATACGAGACGACGACAAATCCCCCCACAAGGACACACCGCTTTGTGAATGCTGTGCTCCGGTTTCCTTATATAAGGATCTGCTGGGCAATATGCACCTTTGGCTGTACGTGGCTTCCCACGATTTTCTTTTTTTTTTTTACCTTATTATTATTATTATTATTATTGTACCAAAGGCCGGACACATGCCATGTCTAGCGAATGCGTACAAGGATAGCATGCTAACTGTTCCTTTACCCATAACGATAACCCTCTCCCTTAGATTCGTTCCCTCGCATACGGAGAGGAGAAAACCTGGGGTTCTGTATAGCAAAGTCAGCCGTCATTTTAGTAACTCGTATGTGCGATAGAGACAGCAAATCATACGCTTTGAAAAACAGCCCTGGTTCGCATTCTTTTTTCTCCCGTCTCCAGATACTAACCCCTAGAAACGTTTGTCTCAAATATAGGTCTTTCATGCATTTTGGGCGCAATTTGGTACATCAACAATTGGTTTCAATATAGACTTCAAGGAATAGAACGGCCTTTTAATAAACTAGAGCGGCAGATAACACGCGACTATGGAACCACAGTACCACGTAAGCTATTGTTACTGGCATGGAGGTAGTGTACGGAACAGTTGACCAACGGGTCTCTAACCATTATTATTATTTTTTTGAAAAAAAAAAAAAAAAAAAAAAAAAAAATAGTCGTCAACTTGTATTCAAGCGAAGTTGGAAAGATATTGGTCTCTGGAGTATTTTATTCCAACAAAACTGCATACGCCCCCATGGAATACAGTGTTGACAGTGATACATGGTCAAATGATAAAGGTGACGAGATGCTCTTAATTACACCTTATCGCGAGACAATGCGTACCGACACGTCCCTACAATCCATTCATATCGAAATCACACATGTCCCACCTTTGCCGCGCTTCGGCTGGAGTGTCGTAGGCCTCCTCCATCCTCGTATGTAACTACTTTTGCTTTCTTTCTTTTTTTTTTTTTTTTTTTTTTTTTTTCCTTTAAAAAAAAAAAAAAAAAAAAAAAAAAAAACAAACAAACAATTAACATACCCATCTACTATATTTACAGAAAGGAATTCAACCACTTTTAGCAATCAAGACATGCAAAACCAATATCACTTCCTTCCGGGACACTTTGTTGAAATTCGATATACACCTGTACATTTGTATGAAGCATATCGAATCGAGGGCGATGAAAACCCTTCCTTACTTCAGCGCTTCAAAAGTTTTTTGGGATATGATGAAAATCAAGAAGATTTTTCATATGAGAGCACAGTGAGCCAAATTCCGTTCCCAGAGGGGCTTTATAACAACATGACCACAGTGATCATTATTCGTGCGCATACTAATCTGGAAATAATATCGTATGCGGAGGAGAAGGTCACTTTCAGAGATACGATGTCCAAGATCGGAGGCCTTATTGGCGTTGTTGGATCCATTATCGTCTTCCTTTTTGGGGCTTCGCTCTTGTCACCTTGGGGATATGTGGCTGGTTTACGTTTTTTCCGACAACGCATCTCGGCATCCATGGCTATGGCATATGATACACAGGATGGATTATCTAAAGGGCCTTTTACGACTCAATTTGAGGAAACTGGCAAGTTTGATCCCGAGATCGTAACCATGGAGCAAAAAATTGTACTTCTGAAGGAAAGGATTGATGAGCTTGAAATGGTCCTGAGCGAATATTATCTGGACCCAGAGGTCTTTCAAAACTATGCAGAGGAACGCTCAAAACTAAAACTGGGAAGAAAAGTATCTCTTGTTTCTTGCGCTACTGGAAAAGCCAGTCTGGCATTCTCTCCAGACCAGCAGCAAGAACAGCAGCAAGAACAACAATCATACCAACAGAGTCCATATGCACCTGGCCATTATCGGAGGCCAAGCGAGACTCTGAGAGAAAGTCAACATCAACATAAGGGTCCATTACCATCACCACAGAACCCGGCATCATATGCAAGACAGAGCATTGAACGAGGGTATGAACCTGAGATGAGTGTTTCCGCATACTACCAACAACAACAACAACAACAACAGTCTCGGGGCCAAAGAAAGCAACGCAATAATTCCGAGCAGTCATTGCTCAGAATCGCCTCAGAGGATGGGGAAGAGGAAGAGGATGAAGATCCTGCTTCCCCTATACAGGCATCTAACTTGTCAACCTCCGATCAACAGCGTCAAGGGCTACTTCAGCAGGATCACTATCTGATGCGTCAATCGTTCCTCCAGCAACAACAGCAGCGGCCCCCATCATTCCCACCACGGCCTCGCAAGGAGACCATCATACCTATGGCTATCAAAGCCACCCCTGCGCCCTCATCAGTATCTCCTTCTCCAAGAACATCACACCCTGCATTTACTGCTAGCACTCCTGATGACTCTAACGGATCGGGATCAATGTGGCGAAAGAGTGAAGGCGACACAGGAAGTCTAGCCGCCGCTCTTACTCCAAGAGTGCAAATGGGTTCACCGGGGAGGCTAAACAGTGAAGCCTCTAGCGCTGTTGTTGGTTCTCGTGAAAGGGGGGGTGGCAATGATGTGCAATATGAAGAATTAGATATGTCTGATCTGTCACGGATGCCATGAGAGTATTAATTAATATAGCAGTCATTGGCTGATCATTAAGCCAAGTGGAGGATTAACGGCACCGCATCCCTTGCCATTTATTATAGAATAGTAGCGTTAAATACCGATGCCTCATATCCATACTAAATACACCAAAGACCTTTTTGTGGTTGGTCGACCAAACTTTTTCTGAGTATTAAACCCGTTTTTGTTGAAGCCGTAGTTCTGCTTTAATGTGATCTTTAGAGGCCTTCTCATATGGATACAATGAATTAATAGCATGTTAAACATTGGCATTTATTGCCCAGCCTGACAACAACTGTCGCCCTTCGTGTACTAGACATAATAATAATAATAAAAGGTATTTTTTTTATGGACTTTGCCTCCAAAAAAGACAGTAAAGTTGAGACGCAAGAGCATTCAGCCGAGATAATACACCGGTTTCTCTACTCTATAGATCAACAAACAGACGAGGCTTAGAACCTTAAAACACTAATTTTCAGGAACAGGAGAATCCAATGATTTACATTTACACCAATCTTTGGGCGAAATGTATTAAGTGTGATATTGAGTGGAGCCAAATGCGTAACTTTATTTTTTATTTTCTTTTTAAACCCGCGTAAGCTTGGCATTGAGCTTGCACTGCCTCACGTCCTTGTATGAGCTTATATAATAAAAGGATCTCCTCTCAAGAGGATTCCCACCTTTACTTTTTTTTCCTTTCCTTGCTTTTTGATTGTCATTCCCATACTACCTTTGTATAATTTATCACCTATTCTCAAGCACCCATATTCTAAATAAGACGAGGAAACAGCAAGGATAAGAAAAGGCAAAAGAAATGGAGTATCGAACAATAACACCAGAAAACAGAGAACCCTCACAAGGAATGATTAACTCAATCCTCAGGTTCTTTTGGGCAGTATTCACTTTTAATCGTATGTAATTTTTTTGTTTAAAAAAAAAAAAAAAAAAAAAAAAAAAAGAAAGAAAGAAAGAAAGAAAGGTCTCACAATATTCTTTTCTGTACTCTTCATTAATAGATGAATATCCTCATAAACGAAAAGGAGAGGACATGTCGGTGTGCATCATTAAGAATATTGTCATCTTTATTACTCGTAATGTTAATTTTTTTATTTTTTTTTATTTTTTATTTTTTATTTTTGGCACAAAGCAGATGCTAGTTATCAATATGTCAGACAGATATTGTCGACTAATCTTTGGTATTTTTCATTTACTTGTTATCTCTCTGTTAGGCTTTGCATGTATTATGGGCGCGACCTGGTACATTATCAAATTCGTTGAAGTATGGCAATTGGGAAATGCTCGTCCGTTCAATATACTTGAAAGTCTGAGCATCAAGGATAATGGAACTCCTACACCCAGTAAGCGAAAAAGCAAAATAAAATAAAAAAAAGACACAGTGCCCTAGAGTCTTGTAATATATTGGGAAGGCATATTAACCCCAAATAACAATTCAACAAATAGCATTGAGCCTTTACACCACGGAAATAGACAAGATCGAGGTGGCATCAGTAGAATATATCAATGCGACTCAATCCACACCTTCTAATGGTCAAAACGTGAAACACTACAAATCTGGCGCGGAAGGTGAAAGAATCGTCATTGTTCCCGAGAAGAAAGTTTTGACTGATGGGTACCAAAGGCGTGAATATATCCAGGTGGTGTTGAAGCATTCCCCTGTCCCATCCCAATATAACTGGTCCCAAGTAACTCTGTTGCATCCGAGTAAGTACTACACTCCAAAGTGCTTTTTTCTTTTTTCTTTTTATCTAGACAGCATCCATGAATTCCACTAAAATACTACCTTATCTATAGACATCGACGCAAGATTCTTTACCAGCCGGGATAAATTCAACCAATTCTATTTCTTACCCGGTCATTTTGTCGAGATTCGGTATACGCCTCTCAACTACAATGAGGCCTATCGGCCTGGACCTGATGCCAGCTTCGTTCAACGGTTCAAGGCATTTTTGGGCCATGGTGGTCAAAACGAGACTTTTTCATACAGAAGCACAGTCCAGCATATGCCATTTCCCCATGGCATGTACGACGATCTCACTACGGTACTTCTTTTGCGGCCTCAATCTAATGTGGAAATTATCTCATATGCAGCTGAAGGTGTCACCTTTCGTGATACAATGGCCAATATCGGAGGTCTGATGGGCTTAGTCTCCTCTCTGATCGTCTTCTTGTTTGGGGCCTCGTTGGCCTCTCCCTGGGGCTTGATTGCTGATATCCCATGCTTCCGGCGGCGTATCACGGGTTCGTTAGCCAAGGCTTATGATACGCATGATGGCTATTCAAAAGGACCCTTCACCACTCGGGCCGAAGACATTGGAAAGTTTCATGATACTGAAGTTCAAACGCAAGATCAAAAGATCATGCTGTTAAAGGAGCGAATCGATGAGCTGGAGATGGTCTTGAGTGATTTCTATTTGAGCAGCGATGTCTTCCAGACGTATGCTAAAGAACGAAAGAAACTGAAGCTGGCCAGGACAGTATCTGTGGCTCACCAACGAGAGAACCAGACTACAGATATTACAGCAACCGGTGGATCACTCTCAAAGCCAGAGCTGGAGGATTATCACCCATATCATCAAAAGGAACACCTTGGATTCAATGGCAGCCAATCCAGCGAACCTTTGGTACAGACTGGACAAAGGAGAGCTGATCTAAAACCATCATCAGAATTCATTGTTCCTATGAGTTCAGATGGAGCACAAGAGCACTTGTCACTACTATCGCCATCTCAACCATCCTCACATGCTGCTCCACAGTATGAGCATTTAAGCATGTCGGATCTGTCAAGAACGCATTAGTCTATCCTCATTTTCATCATTTGCATCAGATACACATCTACAAATAACAAAAGAACACTGCATTAAAAAAGTCATCATCAAAAAATTCAATTTCTAGTGAATCTAAGGATTGTCTCGCTGACAGCTGACACTCCCGTAATGTATGTTTTGAACGTATTGTTTCTGTCCAGAAGTGGAGAGTATTTTATTCAATTAAAAGATGATGAAAAATACATTTGGCGATGACTATTTGGCAACTCTCTGCCTTAAATTAGGTAAGAAGGACGAGCAAAGAAAGTAAAGGTGATGTTATATATATATATATATATGTGTGTGTGTGTGTGTATTTTTAAGCAAAGTCTGAGATGAAGATTGAACAAAGGGCGTACAATAAAGAAGATTGATCATGGGTAGTAGTTTTTTTTTTTTTTTTTTTTTTTTTTTTAAAAAAAAGTGGTTATTATTTTCAGCGGAACTCTTGAGGATCATCAATCCGTCTGACGGGGTAAGTCTTCTCCTTGATACGAGAGTAAAGTCCAATATCTTCTTGACAGTTAGGACATGAATGCATGATATCCTTACATGAGGTCATGCATAGAGGGAGCAAACAACAGCCACACGAGGACACCCCTGCCAGTATTAATGCAAGGATCCCAAGGTATGTGCATGAGCCTATAAAATCAATAAAAAAAAAAAATAAAAAAAAAAAAGCTATTCAGACGCGTCCTCTTTTTTTTGTTACAGAAGCCGGGTGATATATTTCTTTACCATTCTCTGGCGATGTTTCTGTGATAACAAGATGACGGCAGTGCTGGCAGACAACGACTCCAGGTTTGGCCTTAAGGTCCTCAATTCTTGTAGGAGGCCGCATCAGAATCAAGGGTGCAGATCCTAGGGTCTCCTGACGAGGAAGACAGTATGTCTGTGTTGTGGGAGGCGGATGAGGACTTTGACGATTTTGGGGAAGGATAGACATATGCTGCTGTTGGTGTTGCTGTTGGTGTTGCTGTTGCTGTTGATGTTGCTGTTGCTGTTGCTGTTGCTGTTGGTGTTGGTGTTGGTGTTGCTGTTGCTGTTGGTATAGTGGATATGGCTGCTGATACTGTTGATTAGATGAGACATAATATGGGTTATATCCTGCTCTTGCTCCCGCCCCTACACCCGCTCCTGGTGATGACGATGACATTCCTCCTGCTATTGCTGCTGCTTCATGTGGCTGGGTTTGATGCATATGAGCAGTATAGTCCAACGGAGGATAGAGTCGATGCTGCCCCACATGGCTATCAATGGTTGAAGGAGGATTAGCTGGCGCTGAGGGTGAGATCGGTGATCCAGCATAGAGCGGATATGGAGAGTAAGACGTAGGGATGAGTGGAGTTCCTTCGTGAGATGTGGATGAATAAGGCGGAGGTAAAGTCCCATAGCCTCTAGGATTTATATGCTGGTCGTCGTCGTCGTCGTCCGTAGGTAGATGAATATAATTTTCTTTCTTTCTAGCCATGTCTCAATTATTATTAGTGTCGTTATTATTGTAATTAAATATTAAGGATGCGGGTGAAAAGAGACCGAGCTGACAAAGAAGAAAAGAAATGAAGAAAGAAATGAGAGATCTGTAAAGGCATGAATTCATTTTTTTCTGTCTGCATGCAGGAGGAAACAAGGGGGTGGAATTTTTGTCACGCCGACATGGACCCATTGATCACACGAACGCACTTTGCCCAACGACGGTCACACCCCACTCATTATATGTACAAATATAAAGTTATTTTCGATAACACTTCAACAACAAGTGTCAAGCAATTCAATGGTCGTAAACGAGTAAATGGATATTATTGTGTAAATATACAGACGAATACACTTCCTCTCCAGTAGTTTCGAGTATGTGGAGTTGAATTAATTAAATTGTCGGTTCCAGACGCTACAACTATCATATCCATTAAATCTACCCTCTGTAACTAAGTTACTCAGACTTGAGATGAACTCGTGAGCAATGGTTAGATTGATACCATGCCTCAGGAACCACGTCCAATTGCCTGCCAATACTCCCAAAGCATACTGAGGACGAATACAGAATACAAGGAATCCATGGACCCACACCAAAGAAGTCGGCCCTTGTGAAGCTAATCAGCAAAAAAAAAAAAAAAAAAAAAAAAAAAAAAAAAATGAAAATGAAAAATGGTGAGCATATTGTTATGTCTGGGGCATTGTTTGTTCTAAACTTTTTGCGTTTGTGCATTTATGCATGTGTATCTGTTCTTTCATATATTGTGCACTTTTCTTCTTTCCTTGTGTAATCTTTGGAACCGAATAAGAAAGAGCACATGTAAAAAAAAAAAAAAAAAAAAAAAAAACAAGGGGAGGAAAAGGAAAACAAGTGGAGCAACCGAAATAAGCCAAGCAAGCATGGACCGTGTGTACTTTATAAACACAATCTGCATTGGGAAAAGAAAAAGCAGGAGAGATATTAAGAAAAAGAATAAAGCCTTTACCTATACCAGCCGTTCAAGACCAAGAAATAGGCGACTATAGTGCCCATAGTTGCAACAGTCAATGAGATGACAAATCCATGAAATGTCCGATCGAACAAGAACCAGAGTCCTGCCGAGATCAATGCCAATGTACAAGACACCTGAAGACTGCTGGTCCAGGGTAATTTTGATGCTGCATAGTTGACTCCGATGAATCCGCCAAGGCATCTGTCATTGATAATATTCATGGATGAAGATAATCGTTATTTTTTTTTTTTTTTTTTTTTTTTTTTTTTTTTTTTTTCGCCATCAAAAATAATTGGCTGGATGACAAAGAAAGCGGCTCAAGTACTACTCCGCTGGAGTTATCTTTTTTTAAGGTATACTGCTTTTTTTTTTTTTCTTCTTCTTCTTCTTCTGATTGAAGTTCACATTTACCTCATAACGCCGGACCAATCCCGACCGTTGCGTTGGACGCGTTTGCCCCACCAAAGATAATCTCCAAGCGGATAAATGGTGCCGATCAAGACTGCAGAGGCACCGCACGTGGGTGGTAACCATGAGGCTGTGTCAAATAGCATCCTTGTACTACTCATGAAATAGACGTTGTTGTTACTACTGCCGCTGTTGCTGAAACGATTGTTGGTGTCTGGATGGTATTGAACGAGTTGATGCTGTGTTTGAAGATGATCAATGACCAGTGAGAAAACAAAGCCCAGGACAAACAAGATCATGGCGCGGATTGGGTAATAGAGTGACACTGCCCAATCGAATACAAACAAATATGGACCTGTACTTGCTTCTGGAGCGATTTGAGCCTTTGTCACTGTGTTTCTAACACTATCGCTTCTAGATGATGTTGTCTGATGGGTTGTTGTGGTTGTGGTTGTGGTTATAGTTGTAGTTGTATTAAGCTTCATGGCTGTAGAGACATCTGCTGTTTCTACTGTTGTTGGCGTGCGGAGGTCGGTAGGTGAAGGCGAGGAGCGTCTTTTATGTGAATATGAATGAGGACCAGTGTACTCATCCTTGTCGCTGCCAATGTCTGAATGAGAAACAGACGATGTTGAATGGATCCGAGAGCGGCTCGACATGAATCGTTGTCGTTTTGAGTAGTAATTCTTCGGTCGAAGGTTGAATGTAGCGAGTGGTTGAATCCTCGGTTGTGCAGAAAGTGACTTGTATTGCAAATCCGAGGAAGTGCTGCAGCAATAAGAGAGACAGGTCCGTGTAGAGCACGAAGAAGAAGAACGTGAAGAATTAGGTGAAGGGGATGTTGATCTGCTACTGTAGGCGCTCGAATTGGGAGAAGATGATGACGATGGCGATGATGATGATTTCGATGGATAAGAGAGGGAGGAGAGGAAAGGGATATATGACCAGAGCTGCTCAAAAGTATTGAGAGTAGAAGGAGAGAGAGAAGAGGAAGAAGAAGGTGATGATGCCGGGATTTTGGACGGATGGGCAGGGGCCGAGGATTGACCACTTCTTGGCGAAGAGATCATGGCTGCGAATGCTCTGCTTTCCGTCATATGATAAAATTGAACGAATGAGCTCTTTACTGATTCTTTGCTTGTTTTTTCTTTTTTCTTTTTTGAGACCAAGATAGATGGTGCTGTTTACCCTGCTGATATTGATACCGATGCTGACGTTTGCTATTGCTCTTTCCCGTATTAAAGGAAAGACGTCGAGCGATACTTTTCTTTTTCTTTTTTTTCTCAATCCCTATTAATCTTCGTGCTGTATTTCAATAAGATCTTTGGGCGATGTTGCGTGATGGTGGTGCACAGTTGAAGAGAGTGATACTCGTGAAATGTTATGAATTCTTTTCCTGGCTGTTGTCTGTGCCTTTCCTGACGATAGCTTTCTGGGAAGTGTTGGAAAAAGTAAGACAAATTGTGGATGTGATCCGTTCCTGAATGACAAGTGTTAGTGCTTCGCCCGATACAAGTGTTTCTTTAATGAGTTATAGAATACAAAGAATTAAAAGAAATAATAATAAAGATCAGGGTTTAACAATGGAATTTGAAAAGGTTAAAGAGAGGAGAAAGAAGAGTAAAGGACGTGAAAGCGTAAAGATTCAATTAGAGAGGAAAGGATGTCGAAAGCAATTTGTCCCGCGCGAAGTAAAAATTAGTGAAATAAAAATAACGTTGGACATTGTGTCGTCGTCTTTTTATATATATGACAAGCAAAGGCGATGCATTTTTTTTAGATCATCATTCGTTTACTATTGTTCTCCGACACTTGTGATAAGAGAAGCGTGGCTCGGCTTTGTTTTTACATGGAAGGAGACCAAAGAAACCATAGAAAGTTATGGCCTGACAATTTTTGTGTTCAAGTGAAAGGTCGATCTGACATACTTAAAAAAAAAAAAATCGGGTGGCCTGATGCTGTTTTTTTTTTTTTTTTTTTTTTTTTTTTTTTTAGTATGCTGCAGTTGTATTGCACCAAAGTGGGGACAATTTTGTGTTTGTGGCACAACCACTTGCCAAAAAGATCTTTTTCTTGGCACCTTCTTTTTTGCAGTTCGCGGTCAACTATTTTTTTTTTTTTTTTTTTTTTTTTCGCATACTCTTTTCTGAAGGGGAAGAGTGATCGCATTCAACACTTTATGAAATTTGATCCGTCGGATTAGTAAATCAGCAGTTAAAAAAAAAAAAAAAAAAAAAAAAAAAAGATCAGATCTGGGCGCAAGATTAGGCTTGATCTTGTCAATGTTAGTGGATGAAAAAAGTCCATAGTAAGCTTAGATGGTAAAAAGAAAACATGCCATTTCGAACTGACAAAGGAACCGAAAACAATAAAACTTTTCACATGCGCAGACTCATTCTTCCCTGACTTCTTCAACTCTACTTCATTTAAGAATGTATCAAAAAGTGGGGCTTAATTTCTTCAGAGCCCCTTTGCCTTGCAAATCTCTGGTTCATTTATTTTTTTTTTTTTGGATTGAGGGCGAAGAACAAAGACTCTGAAATAAATCATACGATATCTGCGGCTGCTCACGTACCTGTTGAGATTGAAATAAAAAAAAATAAAGATCTTGAAAGCCATGTCCCAAGTCTGTTGTATGATCGCTCCAAAAATGTTTTTTTTTTTTTTTTTTTTTTTTTGGCAACTTCTCGGATGACAACTATCGATTCAGTACATGCTCCATGTCGTTGGCCTTGCGCTTTGACAACAAAAATGTTCATGCTTCTCCACAATATCTTGGGCGTTCCTCCATGACCACAGAAACAAAGGCATTTGACCCCAAAACAAGGCGAGGATGTGGCAGGACTTTTCTTTTTGTAAACAACACGGACCTTCATTTTGTTGTTGTTGTTTTTTCATTAATGCATTAATGCAAAAAAAAAAAAAAAAAAAAAAAACCTTGCCTTCTTGTCCTTTGTCTTCATCTGATGATGCTTTCTTTGGAGTTTCACCATCAAAGGCTTGTGACTACAAAGACAATAATATCATTGGCTGAGAGCCATCAGGCGTTTTTTGTTTGTCAAGTGGCTTGCGCATCACATCTCAAGATATGCACATTTAGGGGACGCGTTTTACTTCTCCTACAGCACTGGATCATGTGTATGAGCCGACCTACGCGCACACTTTCTGTTCAAACTGCAAAAAGAATCATTAAGAGTGTTAGTAATAATAAATATACATATATATACGTAAAAGAAACGAGAATAGCCTATTTAATTCGATTCTTTATCGAGTGTAGCTCTATAATACTCAATCCACTAGCGCTTTTTATTTTTTTGCAAAAAAAAAAAAAAAAAGAGAGAAAACTATAGCATTGCAACATGGGTGGGTAATGGTAATCAACCATCCCATCACTCTGAGGGACAAATATGAGGAATCAAGTCCTCTTGCAAATAGTAAGTGGTTCGCCTATCTTTTGGTTTTGATTATCGGGTTGCTTATCGTAATATACAAGAAAGAAAATAAGGGGATCAAGAAAAACTTTATTCCGTTCCTGAGCAAAGTCATTATCGTTTCCCATTGAAAGAAACAAAAAAAAAAAAAAAAAAAAAAAAGGATTAGCGATTAGTTTCTAACCCCACAACGCATGAACACACTTGCAAATAGAGGTTTAAAGTAAATAAGCTAAATCGTCTACTTGTCATGCATATAATACTGATTGGCTAGATTATGAATGTTACCGGTTTGAAAAAGCACCAAAAGAAGGTTTTTATTTTTTCTTTTCTTTTGGCATGTCATGTCATGTCAGGCAGTTGATAGAAGAGGATAGCATAAGTCTACTATTAGAAAAATGATTGACTCCGAGGCAAGGTTTGCTGATTAGCCTCCTGAGTCCACGGAGACAGTTTAGGGTGAATAAAGTCTCCATCTTTCCTTCATCCGTTTCTCCACATGAACTGACCCACTGTCTTTCTCTCCCTAAAAAAGCAAATCTACTCCCTCTTCTCCTTCTTTCTCTCGTACAGTTTCAATAGGATGGGGTGGTGTGGGGTAGCTGAGTTTATGCAAAAGACGACAAATGACCTCGGTTTAAACATGAACGAGATTGGTGCAGTAAATATTAGTATCCAGTCTGGAGCGGACAAAAAGAAACAAAGGGTCATTGCTGACTGATGATGTACCGTGGAGTATCTACCAGTAGCCTTGTTTCATGGAGAACAAAAAGGCACACCGGTGCAATTAATAGTACAAATATATATATACAATAATGATGCAAGAATGTGGGCAAAGTAAATTATTTTTACCATCAAAGCGTATGCAGAACAACAACAAAAAAAAGGTTCAATAGGAGGACTAAGACCATGAATAATAAAAAAAAATATCCCGTTTATCCAACTGTTGTTTCTCAATCCGTTTTTTTTTCTTTTTTTTCTTTTTTTTTTTTTTTTTTGTTTCGTTTCTGAGTTCCTGTCTAATTGTTATGAATATTGACTTATACAACAGCCGACACCGATACTACAGAAATAATGATCGTGCATTAGAATTTTTTTCGTTAATTTGGTGGTATAATGTGTAGAGTTGACCTGCATTCTCTCGCGTGAAAAAAGACAAAGCATAGTGATCTATATACTCTTGATGGGTTCAAAACCTTTTTTTTTTTTAGTTGAGAGCTTGCGTGCATTTTTTTATTATCGGGACTTTGTAAAGCGGAGTCACAAGAATGAGCTTTTCTCTAATACATAATGAATGTTATGCTGCAATAGGGTATTCCGTATCCAGGGGCTTACTTCATAAAATATATAATATGACATGCAGGTTTATCTCCCTCTCTGTTATCATGATAGCGTCTATTCTTCACACTAGTAAAGTCTGTGTGCAGTCATGACAAGGTTCATAAACCCTCTTCTTTTCGCATGCCGCTCTCCTCCCTCCCTCTTCATACTAGCCTTTTGGCCGTCTGTTGACTTGTGCCTGGTTTTACATGCTCAAGAATACAGGACCGACGGGGAGATAAGCAGCCAATAGCTTAGCAGGACTAGGTCCGGATCCTGGAAAAATTAAAAGAAAAAAAAAAAAAAAAAAAAACCTTAGTACTCATGTACAGCACATAGATACATATACGCATTTATTCAGTCCCATGAAACCTTTAGATGCCTCTTTGTCATTGTCTCGTGGGCTTGAATCCAGACCAGGGAACTCATCCACTCATCCGATCATTCGATAGGGCTTGTGGCAGATTAAATACGTCTGAAGCTCGTTTGGTTCAACATGTATTATATCAATACCTGCTTTGGTTTGGGGGCGATGGATTGATTGGCTCCATTAAAAACAAATGACGAAGATTGAACCTAAAGATTTGGTAGGTTTGGAGTAAAGGATACATGAGGAGTATACACATAGAATGTGGGGTAGAGTGATGAAGTAAAGAATGATTTATCCTTGCCAGAATAGTTCTAGCTCGATCGAGGAGACCGAAGTCTCATTACTCTTTCTCCACTTTTTTCTTTCTTTTTTAAGGTCCTCTATTCTCCTCTTTTTTCTTTTCTTTTTCTTTTCTTTTTTTTCCTTCCCTTTTGTATTTTATCTATCGTTCCATCACTACAATCCTTTTACCTTTTTTCTTCATTCTCTCCTAACGCGATTGACATTCTTTCTCTCGATCGTGTTTATTCCTCCACTTTTCATCATCAACAAATCACCATAAATTGTCACAATCATCTAATTCATTTCTTTCGCGCGCTTATTATCCTTCTTCATAATCTATATCTTGTACATTGAGTTTGTATCATAGTAATAACAAGTAACAATCATCGACAAAAAAAAAAAAAAAAAAAAAAAAAAAAAAGAGAGACGAAACCAAACTACATCAAAAGCTGCGATGGATTCAAGAGAAGCTACGTTTCCAGGCTATATGCTCTATTGCGGCATCGTCTGTGCGCTGACATCGTTATCAATTGGTTATGTGATCGGATCACCCAATGTGCCCGAAAGCGCAATCCGTGGACTCAAAGGCGACTGTGGGCCAAATCCTTACACTAAAAGTGGTGGATTCCCTAACTGCCTTGAATTTTCAAACATTCTTTGGGTAATTACAATAATATTCAGTCTTTTTTTTTTTTTTTTTTTTGTGACATGACTATTACCATGACAATTATGATGATGTGATATTGCTGTGTTCGTGCTGTGTCTCTGTGCTGTGTAGCGCTTTTTTTTTTATTGTTATAATTTTGTTTGTTACACAGACTATCCATTTTTATTTTCTGCAAGCCCTGAAGTGTTGTGCAATTCTCTAATGGAGTATCCATTAGATCATCCATTACAGAAAATTATAAATATTTCTTCATTCCAGTCTGTCCTAGAAGAAGACTATTGTCGGTTGTAGATCAACCTTTTTTTTTTATTTCATTTTCTTTTTTTTTTTTTTTTTTTTTTTTTTTTGAACCGACCTGAACTGAATCCACAGAAACTAAATGTGAAACTAAATGTGAAACTTTTTTTTTTTTTTTTTTTTTTCTTCTTTGGCTTTCATTTAATTCAGGGTTTTGCTGTCGGTTCTTTCTGTTTGGGGGCAATGGCAGGAGGATTAACTGGCGGTACTATTCAGAACATCTATGGCCGTCGTAGGACCATGTTCATCAGCAACATTTTTTTCATTCTGGGTGCACTCTTAATTGCATTGACATATCATCAGGCTCAATTTATTGTCGGCCGTATCATCATTGGATACGCCTGTGGCCTCGGAGGCGTTGTTGCTCCTAGTTATCTCGGGGAGGTCTCCACCATCAGAGGTCGTGGCACAATGGGGGCTGGCTTCCAGCTCTTGATCGTCATCGGTATCTTGATCTCCAACCTGATCGGTCTTGGTCTCAGCAGAGCCCCTCGATGGCGTATTATGTTCGCTATCAACGGTCTCTTTCCATTGATCCAACTCTTTTTGCTCCCTTCCTTGGTCGAATCCCCCAAATGGCTCGTCAGCAAAAATCGTCTGCCTGAAGCTCGTGATGCCCTACAGAAGCTTCGTGGACAGGCTTCCAATATTGAGCACGAGTTTGCTGATATGGTCCGGTTGCTCTTGGGACGTACCAGTGATGGTCACACCGCCAACCGTGCTGCTGCTGTCGCCACTCCTGATTCTGCTGCCACCGCTGGTGTAACTCAACAAAATGACTCTGCTTTCGAAGAGACCAAGTTTAAGGCTGATCCAGAAGCACGCGCACCTGCTACCGGCGGTTCTCCCCACAACTACAGCATCAGTCGCTTGTTCTCCTCTGAATGTAACAAGCTGGCAGTTATCGGAATCTTGGTCCATTTCTTCCAGCAAGCAACCGCTATCAATGGTTTGATTTACTATTCCACCTCCTTCTTGGGCGATGTTTTTGGTGAAGGCAACTCCAAATACATTACCGTCGGTACATCGTGCTGTAACTTGGTCGCAACCATCTTGAGTGTTTACTTGATGGATAAATTAGGTCGTCGTACTCTTCTGTTGATTTCTTCCGGTGGTGTCACTATCTCATCCATTCTACTAGTCATTGGTGCCTATCGTGATATCAGTGGCTTGGTTGTCGCTGGAGTCTTCTTGTTCATTGCCTTCTTCGCTGTCGGAATGGGTCCCATTCCCTGGCTCTTGCTTTCTGAATTGCTTCCAACTTATGCACTTTCAGCTGCTTCCTCCGTCGCCACCGCTGTCAACTGGGGCACCAATTTCGTCATCGGTCTCGTATTCCCTTCACTCAACGATGGCCTTGGCAACGGTACCTTCATTATCTTTGCTGCCCTCACTGCTATCCAATTCGTTTACATTTGGATCTTTGTCCCAGAGACAAAGGCTCGTTCCATCGAAGACATTATGGCCGAGAGAGGTGTTGCTCCTCGTTCCGACTTTATGTAAAAAAAAAAAAAAAAAGAAAGTTATTATAATACTGTAACTTCTAGCTTTGTTTATAAATATATTTTTATGTGCTGTTATATTATGTAGTAAACACATTGTTATGGAGAAAACTGTTTTATACTTTTATATATAAACAATACTGTACAAGGAAGATAGAAAATAAATAAAAAAAACATAAATGACAACAAAAGACAGATAAACAATATTTCAGAGAGCTAAAAAAAAAAAAAAAAAAAAGAAAAAAGGGAAAAAAAACTATTCATTAACTTCCACGATTTTGGCGCGTTTCCGCTTTCCTTGGGTGTCCATAGATTCGGTTGGATCCATGACTTGGCCAAACGTAAATCCTTCGTTCAGATCAACATTACGGTTCAGGAGCCCAAATGTGTGTGCGGTGCCATGGTCAGATTTTATAGAGAGCAATGTAATGCTCCCATGGTGCGATTGATTTTGAGAGTAAGGGTTCTCAAAGTCCTGCGAGTAGGAGGGAGTTATCATTGAAGAGTTAGGTGCTGATGAGTAGGTGACCATATTAGGGGCGTATCTTGAAGTAGATGACGGGATGTTGGAATGACTAGAGTTGGGTGGAGTTGGAAGCTGGTGGACGCTCATTAGATGGGATGGGTGTCCCTGAATGTTCTGGTTATGTTGTTGAGAATGATGTCCAAGACTGGGCTGCATGTGAATATGATCTGGAGAGAGCGATGAGGTCGATCTATCATCATGACCCATAGAGTCCATGATATCATTGTACCCCATAGAGTTAATACCACAGCCAGATTGGGTATCCCGGTCTGATCCACTATGCTCCATTCCATGCTTCAAGCCTCCACGGGAGTACATCTGATCATCTGAACTGCTGTTTAGAGAAGAATCCACAGTGTTGAGAGACAGCATATTTCCAAATCCCAGCTGAAATCCTATATCCATATTCTCCTGATTCTCTTGCGAGCCTTGACGATCGGGATTGCCATTCTTATCGACAGACATGGTCTGGATACTCTCTTGCCCTATGAAACTTCCTATGGAAAAGTCCATACCCTCAGAATTGGATGGGTCGCCTTGACGGTTTGATAAAATGAGACGACTCTCCTGTTCATTCATATTAGGATTTGGATTATTAGGGCTGATTTCCAGCGAATTGGGCCCCAATTTGAGATACCGCAAATGCTGGCAGTGTTTCTCCAACACACTCAATAAGCTCGTCTTGGTGAAGGGTTTTGGCAGAATATCATTCATGCCATTTTTATAGTAGTTCATGATATCATTATCAGTCATGTTCGAAGTCATGCTGATAATAGGGGTCGAGGCATCAAACTGTCGGATCTGGGTGGTGGCGGAGACTCCGTCCAATTTAGGCATCATGATATCCTAGAAGATTATTAAAATAATAATAATAGGAAATAGTAATAGTGCCATGCGGTCAGTTATCTTGCATCTTAGTATGGTGGTGTTATAGCGCCTAAAAGACAATCAAAAGCTAGTATCCAAAAGTCTATATTATATTACCATCAAAACAATGTCATATTTTTGGTGGCTCATTTTCCCAACAGCTGCAACACCATCTTCCGCAACATCAATACGGCAGCCAAAAATCTTCAGCAATTGTGAGCTTAAACGTCTACAAATGTCGTCATCTTCCACGAGCAGCACACTTGGTGGAGCTGACCAGTTTGGGACATTGAAACTGGAACGTTGCGTCCTTCCATTCTGCTCGCTCAGGCTAGAGATAAACTGGTGAGAGTGTGATGGATGATACTGCTGGCTCCCATCTTGTGTTTGGAAAGCATCATGCTGGAGGTTGTGCTGAAAGGCGTGCTGGTGATGAGGTTGCGTGGGTCTTGAAGACTGTCGTTGAATGGGTTTCTTGATTTTTGCCCAGTCGTCCAGCTTTCTTGAAGTCAGATGACTGATAGAGAATACGGGACTTTCGAAACTGGGGTCCGGACACATTGGTAGATCTTGGAATGAGCTGGTGGCTCCGGATCCAAAAGAGAAGCTTGACGATGATGTGGGCATCGATGTGGATATAGGCATGGTCGGTGTCTGTGGAATGGATGAGGATGAGATGGGTATTGAGCTATTGATCATGGTGGCAGTGGATATTGTAGGGTAACTAGATTGGCTGAGTGGTGGCGAGGAGGAGGCATTGAATGAGGTATTGAATCCATTTTGGTGCTCAAGTTTGATTGGCGTCCCCGAGGCACGTGAGCGAGAGTTGATGTGATTCTTGAGCTTGAAGTTTTTATTATCCTTCAAGGAGACAGTTGGAGTACCATGTATCGTCGTAATAGTTCCATCACCTATAGGATAAAAAAAAGAGGGGAAAGCTTAAATCAACACGAACAATTTGCCGAGCAGACATGGAACATTCCATACAGATCAGACTTCTTAAAAGCTGTTCATACTTAGGCTCTGATAACCAAGAGTCTTGAGGAGATTTTGGATCAGATTCTCTTGGGCTTCCATCTTGGATCGGCACTTTACGAGCTGCTCCTGCATATCTGCTTGCACCTTTGCCATGAGTTCTAGCTGGGATTGATAATCCTCAGACATGGTCACGTTATCTGAAGATATGGATGAATGAGAACTTGATGGCTTCTTGCTATTAGGGGTCTTGCGCTAAAATATCAATTATCAAGTCGTTGTTGTCAGCCAACAATTTATTGACAAACGAAGCCAGAAAAAAAAAAAAAGACACAATACCTTAATCTCCTCAAGCTGGTCTCTCTTGTCGATCTGAAACTTTGGATGTTGAAATTCCCATGCCTGCGGTGACAGTAAACAAAGGACATTAGGGTCAATAGACAGGAAGTCAAACAGGATGACATCATGATATGTCAAAAAAAAAAGAGACTATAAAGCCAGCCGACTTGCAAACTTTACATGATCACCATAGGGCTTCGTAGAGTCCTCGGTGGCCTTGATCTTGTGGAAATCATACTTGTTAAGCTGCCGTACGAAGCTTGCGAAATTATTGTGCTTAAAGTGCCTGGGTAAGATGGCCTTTGCGAATTCGTTGGGCTCTTTAACCACAAAGGTCTCTCCGTTCTTGCCCCAAGACACAATGAGCTCGTGTTCTTTTTCTTCAAGCATTCTGTTCAAATAAAAGAGGAAAAAAAAAAAAAAAGGTAGATAGAATAAAAACAATAAGTTACACAAGCTTTCATTTTGGTCGTGGCTGTGCTTCATTTTTTTTTTTTAGAAAAGACAATAGGTGTAAACACTTGCTTGTAAAGCTTCTTGACAAAGTCAGGTACACCACTACCAGGGATTGAAGTGTTATTGCTCTGATCAACTGGTGCGCCGTTGGAGTTGTCTGCGGCAGCCATGGTCGCATCTGTGTTAATGGACGAAGTAGGAGGCCCCATAAGGCTTTGAGCGGCCATGGGACCCTTCTTGCTCTTCTTCTTCTGGTGCAAGGAACTCAGGGTGGGCAGACTTTGATGTATGTGAAACGGAGGTAGGTCGAGCTGAGAAAGGATTCCGAAAGGGTCCTGGAGGGAGTAATTGAGGACGATTTGGGCCGAAATGATGGCTTTGAATGGTCAATGGAAAGAATATGGAAGAAAAAAGGAAGCAAGACTATTTTAGTCTGCGATATGGAGAGGAAAAGATTGGTTAGTCTCTAATAGCGCACAAAAAAAAAAAAAAAATAGTATGTCGATGTGTGTATGATAGTTTGTGTGAATGATTGTATCTTTAAATATAAATAAATGAGAGTAGTGTCTATGTAGACAGATGGATGTTGACGAACTAAATGTGGAAGTGTGGGTGCTTATGAATACCGAGTGGGTGTAGATGGCAGTAGAAAATGATGTGTGATGGTTGGATAGATGGCGTAATAGAATTCGCTGTATTAAAAAAGAGATGGTCATAAACGCGATACGATGGACCAACCCTCTTTTTCCATTCTCGTACAATGGAAAAAAAGGAGGGAAGCCGAATAAAATGCGTTTCCGCGGTCACTGGCTGATCCACTTTTTTTTTGGAATGATTGTTTGCATTGCATCGTCTGATCCTTTTGGTCTGGTCTGTCAACAGCTTGCTCATTCATTCGCTCTTCAGTGTATGAACTCTTTGGAATGAGGAGGAAGAAAAAAAAAAAAAAAAAAATTTAGGGCACACACCTTGTGTGATTTTGCTGTCGAATGGGGTATACAATAAGATGTGTATCTAATTTATGAGACACGAGGGATGTTTGGTGGCAAAGGATGAGTAATAACAAATAGAGACAACGATATGAAAATAATAAAATAAAAAAGCTGTGTGGCTGAGAGAAAGCAAAGTGTAGAAGAGAATCAAAAGAAGCAAGAAAGAGAGAGAGAGAGAGAGAGAGAGAGAGAGAGATAAAGATAAAAAAAGTAGAAGAAATGTTTAAAAGCAAGAGAGAGAGAGAGAGAAAGACAAGAAAGAAAAAAAAAAAAAAAGGATGTGTTGTAGCCGGTCGACTAAGAAGACGAAAATATAGAAGATTAAAATAGTAAAATAAATGAATGAAAGAAGTCAATGAGCTTTTGGGTTATTATGATTTCTTATATCGCACGCGGACGAATGAATTACGTCCGAAGTGAGCATGCTTGTGAGAGTCTTTTTTCTCTTTTTTTGCGCACATCATCTTTTTTTTTTCTTTATTTATTTCGTTGTGATTGATTCGTTCGAACTGAATTACTGAACTCATAAAATAAATACATGTACATGCACAAACACAGGGTATATAATTGTTTGTTTGTTGTTGTTTGCCTGTTTGCTTATTTGTTTTTTTTTTTTTAAATATTCAATGCGCGCACTGCACACACTTTCCTCTCTGACCATGAGGGAACTCATTCTGTTCGTTACGTTTTCTTCTGCCATAGTTCCATGCTTTTTTTTATTTTTTATTTTTTTATTTTTTTTATTTGACGAACAAACCAACCAGCAAGAATGCTCCAACCAACCAACGTGCCAGTAGAAATCTATAAAATCTCGGGGAGGAAAGGGATTGATCAGGTATGGTAGAGAAGTGCCTTATTTAGAATAAAATTAAGATCAAACCATGTCGCACTATGAGTTTGGAGAGAGTCGTTTATACAGACCAGAGAATGCCAAATGTGTCAAAATGGAATGAGTGCGCCTTGTTTCTTTGTTAATACAATTGCAAAGATTGCTTTCCTATGGTCTCACTTTGCTAGTCTAGCCATATTAGGACGACCTCCCCTCTTTCAAGAATTCCTTCAAACATTCAGGGTATATAACACTGCTTGATAAAGGCCCTTATCCAGTTTAGCTACGACTACTGTAGGCTCTATTCAACACTTTGTTTTGTCCGAAATGAATGATGTACATAGTTAGCCCTTATTGTTTGGTATGTGTACTCTGTAATGTCATAGTTCAACAAACAACAACAAAGCCCTTCTTGGCGACCAAAGGTTTTGTATTGGTGTATACTTGTCCATTTGTCCAAAGTTTGGATGAAAATAACAAACATCATCTGTTCAGGAACAATACCATTATATATGTATATATACTTCTTTAACCCAAACCTTCGATTCGCATGACCAAAAACAGTATGCAATTGAACACAGCACAGTCAAATCGAATCGATGAATCAGCTTTGCATCAGATCTGAAGGGCATGCCTTCTCATTAGTACTAAAAAAAAAAAAAACGTTGCGAACCTGTGTTCCTTGATTTTTCTATTGGTATCTTACTACACAAGGTTTACCTTTTTTTTTTTTTTTTTTTTTTTTTTTGTTTATATATATTTTATTAATTTATTCAATTCTTATGATGACCATATTCCTGGCACACAAGGGCCATATCGCAACTCACTTCAATCCAAAACCATCTTCGTCATTTGCCACCCACTATGTTACAGGACAGTAGATAACCACTAACACCTTTCCCCTCCACTGTATTACATGCTCTCCTCATGCGCTCTCACCCTTCTTTCGCTCTTCTCCTTCAATCCAAAAAAAGAAGTACACAACATGGAATTGAATGAAAGGAGCCAAGGACAGGGGAAGGGTGTACAAAAAAAAAAAAAAAAAAAAAAAAAAGCAGGACATGGCAGGGGGGAAATGCAAGGCGAATGGATGAATCATCCGCAACAGAATTTTTAGAAATTAGGTGTCCAGTCAGAAAAAAGGAGTTGTCAAAATAACGGAACGATTGACAATGACAAAGAGACACACATCTGGCAATGAGTAAGATGATGCTGGGAATCTGTTTGTAGTTTGAAGAAAAATGATGGTATTCGGAAAAATCGCCGAGCAAAAAGAACAGCCAGAAGAGCGCTATCCTTCTTATTGAGCATGCCATAACTTTTTTCTTTTTTCTTTTTTTCTTTTTTTCTTTTTTTCTTTTTTTCTTTTGGCTCGTTTCTTTTCCTTTCCATCTGCTTTGCATTCCATCCTTCATCGTCATCGTTATCATGTAAAGCTCACAACATAAAAAACATGCACACATCTATATACATGTACACACACACACAGGAAAGAAAAAAAAAAAAAAAAAAAAAAAAAGCTCATTCAGAAACACAAACAGGGGGAATAAAGGTAAAGAGTACTACCAAGGTTGCATGCGATGGTTTTTCATTTTGTTGATGTTGACATGGCCAAGAAATCCCGAGAGCGTGCGCCCATTTGGATAAATAAGGATTAGCCTACTGCATAGCCCTGCAAACCCGTACCTAAGCAGAGAAACCAAAAAAATATCAAAAATTAAAGCACAGAGATCGGGAAGAAGGATCTCAAATAAACTTTTATGCCTTGAGCGAAAAAAAAAAAAAGCTGCACCACTCAGCTCACAACATATATTTCATTCGTCCATACTCTCCTCTCTCCAATAGAACATTTCTGTGTTCTTGAGGGTTGTGTCAATAGGGTTGTGTCAATATATGCGTCTTTTTAGGGAGTAGAAGGACAAGAACTGTGTCAGAGGTGCATCAGATCGGACCATGTCACAAAGTCAGATTGAAAGATTGAAAAGGGAAGAGGTCATGAATTCTTTTTTTGGGTTTTTGGTGTTTGGTTTTTGAACTTGTCCTTTTTACGCTGCGGTGTTTATTGCATGTTGAAAATGTGCAATAAGAGATTGGTATGACAACCTCTAATTGGCCATCAGACAAGTTTTTAAACCCCTTCAAAAAGAAAAAAGAAAAAAAAAAAAAAACGCAACACCATTCATTACAACTATCACTGCCAATCATCCTTCCCGCAGGACCAAAGCAGATTGTTATGCTCTCCGAGGGCCAAAAATAAACGCAATTTTCCATTTATTTTTCATTCATGAATATGCAGTTACGGATATATATATATATATTTATATATATAAATATATATAAATATATTTTTTATTTTATTTTATTTTATTTTTTTTAAAAAAAAGAAAAAATATAATGAGGCAGGACGGCAGTGTTACTTTTTTTTTTTTTTTTTTACTACGCGAACGAAAATTAAATAAATAAGAAAAGAGGCGTTGAAAAACAGATCGGAGCTATTTTGTGAATGTACACGAGAAAGAATCCACTCTCTTGTTTCTTAGTCGCCTAGGCTAGATTGAACACGTAAAGAAAATGTGAAGTCGCTTTCAGGCATTATGTCTTGACAATTGATTGAATCCAAAATGGACTGTACTCTGGTTGCAGGAAATTAGTCCAACTTTCTTTTCTTCCTTTCTTTCCTATGATTTGTTAAAAAAGAAAGGAGAAAGAAAAAAAAAAAAAAAAAAAAAAAAAAAAAAGATATGCATACAAGAAGTATATTACAAGGTGAGGTCATTGAGATGAACAAAGCAAGGCAAAGATGTGTATCGAAAATACCGTCTGTACCAGAGATAAGCAATTGGATACTTACTGTTTACTTTGGTTGGTTGTATATACTTTGTGTACAGATTTAATGTCGGTCAATCATGTAGGACCTTTGAGCGAATAATTGAATAGAGATGGAAAAATGCAAGAGCGATCCCTTTCGTATAAACGCCATACAACCCCGCGGAGCATGAGGGTACCTACATAGCAAGCTGTGTAACATGCAAGCAAGGGACCACATGACCTTTTTCCACAGTAGATGCATTTTACAGCGTTGTTTATTATGGCCATATAGTTTATTAATGTTGTGTATTTATTCATATAAAATATTTACGGATGATGTGTTCGTTCAAGATTCAATAAACTCTTTGGGCGAGTTGTTTGGGGTTGGTGGTTGTACGAGAGCCCTGCCTTGTCCTCGGTCAGCCCTAAAAATTAGAAATGAATTTCTAAAAAAGGTTAGGATCGTTTTTTGCTGGTGCGGGAGTTCCAGGAAGAGAAGAGAGGTTTCTTTATTACGCTCAATAAAAAGAAGTGTACATGTATAAATACCGCATCAAAAGACATTGATTGGCTCTCTCTTCAACCAATCCAATTCTTTTTTTTTTTTTTTTTTTTTTTTTTTTTGGTCATCGCCATCTGAGTTTTGACGCGTCGTTATATCAGTCATGCAGAAAAGTGGGTTCAAGTAAAAAGTTTTTTTTTTTCCTTCTTCCTCGAAATAAGCTCATAGTTACTTGTTACTTTCACTTCGGCAAGTGGAACAACAACACATGCGTTATGTCATATTTGTACTCTGCGACTCATCGTACATTTCTGAATTTCTTTATTATATAAATATACAAACGAAAAATGAGAATACAAATGCCTATTCTTCTTTTCGCGCATTTATCCATTTTTTTTTTTTTTTTTTTTGTTGCTCTCAAAGTCTTGTCTATCTTTACTTTCTCCCACCCCTGAGGAGTACGTGTACAACTTTTTTTTTCTTTCTTTCTATTGGTGCGATTGGGTTAACGGTGTTTGTGTTTCTTTTTCTGTTCTGTCTACCTGTAATAGCAACGTTTAACTGATATTTTGTTTAAGCTTTCAGGCACCTTATTTGGGTCTTGGTGATCGAATTAACTATAATGGAGATATTGGTGGCAGAGACGAAGCTTCATAAAAAATTGCTGATGTTGCTAAAGTCTTTTGGATTTTTCTGCTTTCATCCTTTTTACTTTTATCCTCTTATAGATGTTGACGGTTTGCAATCATCTCTTTTTCCTGATATCCAAATGCAATGCAATTGTGCCTTATATTCATGCATTCTATTTAGCGACGCTACATATTCAACACGAATATGTTTATCGCTCGACAACTCTCTCTCTTACTCCGTTTTCTTAAGGCGCATAAACAAAGACATATTTATACATTTACACACCATGAATATCTATATACTTGGTCGTGTATACATTTCTCTCTCTCTCTTTAGTGTTCCTCGAGGCTACAGTTATCAGAAACAAAACATTGATAAATTCATGTCACCTGATCAGAAACCTTGATGTGGTCTTGCATCTATTTCGATGGGACTGTGCGAGAGAGAAAAAGAGATGGTGCATGGATACCGTCTTATTTTATTTTATTTATTTAATTGACTGGGCATGCATAGAAGGCGCTGAAGAGTTAATAAGCTATTTCGATGATTGACTTCAGTTGTCTAGCGTAATCTTTGACATGAAATGTCTGTTGTAGTCTATTCAGTGCCACTTTTTTTTTTTTTTTTTTTTTTTTTTTTTTAAAATATGTATATACTTGGATGCGAAACGCGTCATCGTCGTCATCTTGCACCGTTCTCTCATCTCTGCATGCACGTATGCACGCCGTACCTAAAATGTTTCGATGAATATGTACAATGTGAACACCGTACATAAAATGTATGCAGATTCTGTTACATGTCTGAACCCAAGTCTGTCTACATTAACTCAAGGAAAATACTGCATCTGAGAATCATATACGACAGAAGAAGTACGTGTACATAAGCTCCAGATAGAAGCAATTGTTCTAAAAAAAAAATAAAAAGGGCGGGAAAATGCAACTGTAACCGCCAAATGGAATTTGTTTGTGCTTCACCCAAAAAGTTGGGCGAAAAAAAAAAAAAAAAAAAAAAAAAAAAAAGAAAAGAGGTAGACAACAATAGGGAATAAATAGCTTAAGTTTGCTGCATATAATTTGCTTAGTATCAGTGTCGTCAAGAAGCATGAAAACTATTAGACCTATTGGACTATCTGGGTTGCTAATCAAAGTAATGATCTACTTTCAACACTCATTTGATCCCTATTTGGTCTATCCTTTTCTGGTGATAACCAAAAGAAGCTTATCGAGAACTTTTTTTTATTTTTATTTTTATTTTTATATATTTTTTGATAATGGTAATGATACTAATGGGTGTAGATGCTACTACATCCAAAGAGGATAGAAATCAGGAAACATGTCTATCCGCCACAACTGATCCCATCCCTAAGAGCTGTTTCCAAAAAATAAAAAAAAAGGGGGAGAAAAAAAAATTATCTTAGTTTGTAATTTCATTTGGTGGCTAAAAGGGTAACACAAAATAACCACATTCGGGAGAGCAACATGCCCTAAATGAGATTGTCACGCACCCCACGAATCTTAACGTTACAAAAGCGAGTTTACAAGCTCAGCTTCAGCATTGGTTCATTTGCATTTGCAATTGCCCTGAGAGAAATAACGCAGAGGATTGAATGAAGGGAAGCAGAGGGCCATGTTTAATGTCCTCTCTCTTTCTTAATCTTTAGGACACATTTTCTGCACCCCTCGCATCGTTTCCTTCAATAATCACCCAGCCACACACTTTACTTCTGTTCGAATTGAGATTGCAGACTTGGCTTAGTCTCAATCATTCGAGTGCTTCATCCCATTGTCATTCCTCTCTCTCTCTCTCTCTCTCTCTCTCTCTCTCTCTCTCTCTCTCTCTCTCTCTCTCTCTCTCTCTCTCTCTCTCTCTCTCTCTCTCTCTCTCCTCTCTCTCTCTCTCTCTCTCTCTCTCTCTCTCTCTCTCTCTCTCTCTCTCTCTCTCTCTCTCTCTCTCCTCTCTCTCTCTCTCTCATTACATTTGTAGAACATCATTGTAACTTTTTATTTTTTTTTATTTTTTTTTATTTTTTTTCGTTGTGTGTTTGTCTATCCGTCTAATCTCTGGTAGTGCAACATTTCATCACTTCACAGTGTAATAATCAACATGCATTGGCAAACAAAAAAAAAAAAAAAAAAAAAAAAAAAGAACAAACGGGATATAACTAAAGCTCTTTCGTTTGTGCTCATTCTGTACGATTGATTATTATTTATTCATGTACATGTTTTCCATAAAGTAGTGGATCCTCGTCTTTGCCACGTGTGATTAAAAATAATTTATTGAGCGGCACTCAGGAACATTGGGATTGGGCAGAACAGGTACTTTTTTTTGGCCCTGGCATTCTTTCATTACATGCCAGACGCTATGCTAAGCTAAACTATGTCATGCTTGATGTCGATGCTTTACTTTTCCTCCTCAGAATTCTGTACTCCCTCTTTCTCTCTCTCTCTCTCTCTCTCTCGCTCTCTTTTTTTTTTTATCCCATCTGATTGACTGCGTTTTTTTTTCTTTCTTTCTTTCTTTTTTACTTCCCCTTCTTTCTTTGTATTTAATCACTCTAGACTGGCGACGCTTCTCGATCAGGAACTTTATTCTTTTAATCAACACAAACGGACAAAAGCCAGGATTTTTGATTATATCCGAATTAATACCTATCCATTGAAACCGGATAGACAAAAGAAAGAAAAAACGCATCTATCGAGTTGGAAACTGATCTCTCTCCACTCGGGCAGGAGCAACGACACTTGAACATCATCCTTTCTCTTTTTGCACAGTCAGCTAGCTGGTAAGATGGAAGAGGGACTATTTCGATAAGGATCGATGCGTGCGTCTTACTTTCACACACTCTCTTTTGTGTCTGTTTCCCCTTGTATTCTACCTATTTTGTCTATTCTTTACTTTTTTTGTTTTTTTTCTCTTTTCTTTTATTCTTTTCTTTTATTCTTTTCTTTTCTTTTTTCTTTTTTTTCTTCATTCTTTCCTTTTTCCTTGTGCTATCCCTAAGCTGGCAAATGAAAGTGATGAACTGAAAAAACGGGAAACAAGGGAAAAAGTTGTCTGCATGCCAGACACAGAGAATTTTTTTCTTTTTTTTTCTTTCTTGGGTTGCACAAATTCTGAGGGGTGTGTGTGCGTGTGTTTACTTTTGAGATTGAGAACATCAGTTCCCATATTCATGCTGCCATCCATGCGCATCAGTTTTTTTTTTGTCTCCGAAGCGCCTTCGAGTGACATCAAGGGTTGAGCATTAGGCAAAACTAGACAGACCATGCTGGCACATCTTTGTATGGATAAAAAATAGGGGAGGAGGAGGAGGGGAGGAGGCGCTGTCTTGTCTTGTCTTGTCTTGTCTTGTCTTGTCTTGTCTTTGTCTTTGTCTCTTTGAGTTGTTTTAATGTTCTCGAACATCTCAAGCAGAAATAAATATTAAAAAACTATCAAAAGACATGGACGAGGCAGACGAAAAGGCGGTATTTTTTTTTTTTTTTTTTTTTTTTTTTGCCGCGTGTCCGCATGGATTCTGGAAGGTGAAACTGGCCGTAATGACCTTTTTGGGAACATGCTCTTTGCTTGGGTGAGCAGATTAATGCTTCATTTTCTCATCCAACATGCATGTTACCTTGCATCGAAAAAAAGGGAGTATGATTGTGCAATAACATTCAAGGTGTCTTCCTTTGTAACACGGGTTCCTCAGGCTTCAGGCTGAACGAGTTTTTTTTTTTTTTTTTTTTTTTGTTTTGTACACAACATCAACATGTTCATGCAAAAGATGGATTACAGCTTTTGATATTTTATTCCCCTGCATGTCTTCTAAACATCTCCATTTTGATCCTATCCTGACCCATCAGTGATTTATTTATTCTCTATCGTTGTTGTTGTCGTTGATTATGTTGGTGCATTTGTTGAATGGATCGGGATCCACTCTCAGGGTTCAGGTTTAAAGACCAACTTTTAAAAAAAACGATTGGAGGAGAATGATGGGGGGGATAAATGCAATATAAAGGCCGCAAAGGTTGTTGGAAGCTACTTTAAGGGGCTCTCACCCCACACACGCACGGGCGGGGGCCAATATGGTAGACAGACAAAGGTTCAAGAGACACATTGCATGCCCCTTTTTTCCTTGGTTGAACAAAAAGAGTTAAAAAAAAAAAAAAAAGCAAATTTTGGGTCCAGACTCGGCCATTTTTTCCTCTTCCGTCCACACCGTACAATGTTCCTTGATGATTAGTATGGTTCATACTACTACATGTTTAATAGGCTAAGTAAAGCGCTAAAGGGCAAAGCATTAGGGGAAAAAATCTTTTTTATTTTTTATTTCCATTTTAAAGAGGTGATAAAGAAGTTGTGAGGGTATAGAGACGATCCAGGAGATCTCAGGCAGGCTGAATTGTATTTGTGAAATGCTGTGTCTTGTCGGTGTGTGGATGTGCTGGTTCTTGTGCAACGACAACAATATGTATAAAAAAAAAGCTCTCTTTTAAAAAAAAAAAAAAAAAAAATGGTTGGACGGATGGCTCAGAGGTGCAATGATCAGGTTCAGAAGATCTTTATTTTTATATTCATTGGTTGTACGGGGGTTTTCTTTTATTGAATTTTTTCATGTCTGGATGGGCTCGACAGTTTTATACTTTTTGCATTAGCTTGCTGTAGTGCAACATGCTCATGGTGTTTGAATGAGGCAGCTGTGAACATGCGCGGACCAAAATAAGGGTCAAGAAATGTTTGACATCGCTTGCTTGATAGCCTGATTTGATTGTTGTGTAATCCATGTGCTATTGTTTTTTTTTTTTTTTTGTTTCCGCATTTTTGTGCAGTTGTGCTTGCTTGCATGCATGCATGCACAATGGTTTGTGTGTGTGAAGAGAGCCTTAGTGTTCCGTGCCTGTGCCAGAAGAGGTCTTGAATGGTTCAGAGACGACAGAAATGTGATTTGATGATGAATAGGGATTTAGGAGTGATGCGTTTCGCTTGTTTTGTGTGTGAATTGGACAGGATAGGATTAGCATGCTCTTGCTCCTCTTTTTTTTTTTTTTTTTTTTTTTTTTTTTTTTCTTTTCTGCTCCCATGCTCCAACCCGACTACTTCCCTCAACTCTACTAACAACTAATACTTTCTTCATTCTAAACTATTTTTCACAAAGCACTATCTCACCACTACCTCGAAACAGATTCATTCCATTTCCTCTCAATTCCTTTCCTTTTGTTATTGTCCCTGTATGATCAGCAAATCACATTTTTCTTTCCTTTTCTGTTTTTTTTAAAGGAAATCCGTATATCGCACTAATCCTTTTCTGTCTCTCTCTCTCTCTTTTTCCCATCTTTTAACCTCTCCTTATTGACAAAGACGACCACAAGACGGATTATTAATTTGCGTTTGTGTGTTGTGTGTGCATGCTCAAGTGAAAACAGAACTTCCCTTCGCTTTTGCAGGCAAGGCAACTTTTTTTTTTTTTTTTTTTTTTTCTTTTCTTTCTTTCCTCTCCACTCCCCAAACACACATTCATAACAGTCAGGGCAGTCCATTCTTTATTCTCCAATTTTATTTTATCTTCCGCCCCCCTGGCTCCATCCTTATTTTTATTCCCTCTTCTTTCTCTTTCCTCACCTCTTCCTTTCTTTTCATCGTCCTCGCACCCATTCCCCCCCCCATCCTTTCTCTCTACCTCTTTATTACTATTATTATTATTATTATTATTATTATTGTTATTGTTATTATCATTACATTCTCTCTTCCCTTTTTTATTTCCCAGAGTGAGTGAACGAGGGAGAGTGTGAGAGTGTATGTGTGTTGCCTGTGCTTTTTTTTTTTTTTTTTTTTTTTTATAACTGAATTGCATACATGCTTTGTTTCTGTGGTTTCTAACCTTCTATTCTACTTTCCTTTCCATCTCTACTCCTTGGTGCCCTTCACAAATACCTGACGCCAACCCTTCCACCACTCCTTCTACCTATTAATACAACCGCTACAGCATCCCCCATCCTCCCCATCCATTGTTTCTTCTCCTTCTTCTTCCTTTTTTTCTCTTTTCCTCTTCACAATGACCACGTACGAAGAGGAATACATTAAGCATGTCGGCAACGTCTTCGACCTGTTAGCGCAGGACAAGGACTTTGACCCAGTTTATTTCTCCTTTGTCTCGCCACACCCTCTTCCACTTGATTTTGTTGATGCCACCACACCACAATATATTCAAAAGGTCGATGCCTCATTACAGCGGGTAGTGAAAAAGATGCTCTTGATGGAGCAGGAACTTGCACGCACCCGGAAGCCCCTTCATCCTGTCGTATCCGACATTGTCCTCGCTCCTCCTATTCTCACCCCCCCTGTCGACTCACTCTCGCCCCCAGGTTCAGCTTCGTCTTTTCGGTTGAACGATGGTAATTGGGAATTTGTCAATCATATTCCTACTCACTCAAGTATACAACAGGAGCGCACATCCCACCCACTGCATACGCTCTCGCAAGCAAGGGCCGCTCATACCCAAGTGTCTGATCAATCATCAGTCACTATTCATCGTCCCAAGCCGATTGCATCAGCACTAGCAGCACATTCGATCGAAGCAACCGACAATGGCCCGCTTTGCTTTGTTCAACCTACGGATCTGAATGGTCAGCCATCCGGACATGGCCAGACCATGGTCTCATCACCCATCACAACAGCCGCAGCTGTCAAGGACACCACACCAATCTCACCTTTGCGCACCCCCATCTTATCCAATCTTATGACGACAACAACTACGACAACTGCTGCTGCACCAACACCAAAGACAACTACCGCAACTACGGGTATCGCCCCATGTGTTGACTGCATCCATCAATGTGCCTTGCTCGCAGCTGCAGTGGTTAGAGGCGACCTGGCTGTACGGATAAAATGCAGCAACCCCGCCTGCAGTCAGTCAGACCTAGTCGTTTCCATCAATCAAATGCTTAATAAGCTATCCACATTTACAAATGAGGTCATCCAGGTTACAGCCCAGGGAGTGCAAGGTAAATTGGGCTTCCAAGCGAGTATGAAGAACGAGCACGGTATCTGGAAACAATTTGTGTCCAACCTGAATACCATGAGCATCATCCATTCAGAGCAAGTACGTGATATTGCCTCTGTCTGTACAGCTGTCGCTCATGGTGATCTCAGCCGAAAGATCACAGTTGCTGTCCAAGGTGAAACACTTGTATTGAAAAATACGATCAACACGATGGGTAAGTGAGCATGATTAAGGACTCTTTTATTTATACTTCAAACACACTTGTCGACCGCCCCACTCTATTTTTACTTCTTTCGTCAGTGTCTAATCTTTTTTCTCTAAATATTATATTTCAACTAGTTGATCAATTGCGTTCATTTTCCTCTGAAGTTACTCGGGTGGCACATGAAGTCGGTACTGAGGGTCGCCTAGGAGGCCAGGCACATGTCAAAGGCGTTGATGGAACCTGGAAGGAGCTGACTGACAATGTCAACCACATGGCCGCCAACCTCACAGCGCAGGTCAGAGATATTGCAAGTGTTAGTAAAGCTGTCGCAAAAGGTGATCTGTCCAAGAAGATTTCTGTTGAAGTCAAGGGAGAGATGGGAGACTTGAAGCACACAATCAACACCATGGTAGATCAACTGCAGGAGTTTGCCACAGAAGTATCCCGCGTGAGTCTGGAAGTAGGTACAGAAGGAAAACTCGGTGGTCAGGCCCACGTTAAAGATGTCAGCGGAACGTGGAAAGAACTCACGGACAATGTCAACTTGATGGCTTCGAATCTCACAGGCCATATTCGAGATATCGCCACAGTCTGTAAAGCCGTCGCATGCGGAGATTTGACGAAGAAAGTTAGTGTCCCTGTCCAGGGAGAAATACTTGAACTGAAGGAGACTATGAATACCATGGTGGATCAGCTTAGAACATTTGCCGCAGAAGTCACACGTGTCGCACGTGAGGTCGGTACAGAAGGTCGTCTAGGAGGCCAAGCCGAGGTGACAGGTGTTGATGGTACCTGGAAGGAGCTGACTGACAACGTCAACACCATGGCTGCCAATCTTACAGCACAAGTACGTGATATTGCTGACGTCAGTAAGGCTGTCGCTCGAGGTGATCTGTCCAAGAAGATTTCTGTCGAAGTCAAAGGAGAAATGATGGATCTCAAGAACACGATGAACATCATGGTGGATCAGCTGCAACAGTTTGCCACTGAGGTTACTAGAGTCAGTCTCGAGGTCGGTACCGAGGGTAAACTCGGAGGACAGGCTAAGGTCGAAGGTGTTAGCGGCACTTGGAAGAACCTCACAGACAATGTCAATACCATGGCTGCCAATTTGACAACTCAAGTGCGATCCATCGCCAATGTCACGACCGCTGTCGCAGCAGGTGATTTGAGTAAGACCATCGATGTTGAAGCACAAGGAGAGATCTCTGAGGTGAAGAAGACTGTCAACTCCATGGTCGAACAACTGCGGACATTTGCTGCCGAGGTAACTCGTGTGGCTCGTGAAGTCGGTACAGAAGGTCGTCTAGGAGGTCAGGCTGAAGTCAAAGGTGTTGAAGGTACCTGGAAGGAACTGACTGACAATGTCAACACCATGGCTGCTAATTTGACCGCACAAGTACGTGATATTGCCGACGTCAGTAAAGCAGTCGCCCGAGGTGATCTCTCCAAGAAGATTTCTGTCGAAGTCAAAGGAGAAATGATGGATCTCAAGAATACAATGAACATCATGGTGGATCAGCTACAACGGTTCGCCTCTGAGGTCACCCGAGTCAGTCTTGAAGTCGGAACTGAAGGCAAACTTGGAGGACAGGCTGTTGTCAAGGATGTTAGTGGTACCTGGAAGAACCTCACAGACAATGTCAACACCATGGCTGCCAATTTGACAACTCAAGTACGATCCATCGCCGAGGTTACCACCGCTGTCGCAGCTGGAGACCTGAGCAAGACCATCGATGTCGAAGCACAAGGAGAGATCTCCGAAGTTAAGATTACTGTCAACTCCATGGTGGAGCAACTTAGGATGTTCGCTGCCGAGGTCACCCGTGTCGCACGTGAAGTAGGAACAGAAGGTCGTCTAGGAGGCCAGGCTGAGGTCACAGGTGTTGCTGGTACTTGGAGGGAACTGACTGAGAACGTCAACACCATGGCTGCCAATCTTACTGCACAAGTTCGTGACATTGCGGACGTTAGTAAAGCTGTTGCTCTCGGCGATCTGTCCAAGAAGATTTCAGTCGAGGTCAAGGGTGAGATGTTGGATCTTAAGAACACGATCAACATCATGGTGGACCAGCTTCAAGAGTTTGCCACTGAGGTCACCCGAGTCAGTCTTGAGGTCGGAACCGAGGGTAAACTCGGAGGACAGGCTAAGGTTGAAGGTGTTAGTGGCACTTGGAAGAACCTCACAGACAATGTTAATACCATGGCTGCCAATTTGACAACACAGGTACGATCCATTGCTAACGTTACCACCGCTGTTGCAGCAGGAGACCTGAGTAAGACCATCGATGTCGAAGCACAAGGAGAAATATCTGAGGTGAAGATTACTGTCAACTCTATGGTCGAACAGCTGAGAACATTCGCTGCCGAGGTAACTCGTGTAGCTCGTGAAGTCGGAACAGAAGGTCGTCTAGGTGGCCAGGCTGAAGTCAAAGGTGTTGAAGGTACCTGGAAGGAGCTGACTGACAACGTCAACACCATGGCTGCCAATCTTACAGCACAAGTACGTGATATTGCTGACGTCAGTAAGGCTGTCGCTCGAGGTGATCTGTCCAAGAAGATTTCTGTCGAAGTCAAAGGAGAAATGATGGACCTTAAGAACACGATGAATATCATGGTGGACCAGCTGCAACAGTTCGCCACTGAAGTCACCCGAGTCAGTCTTGAGGTCGGAACTGAAGGCAAACTTGGAGGACAGGCTGTTGTTAAGGATGTCAGCGGTACTTGGAAGGAGCTCACAGATAATGTCAATACCATGGCCTTTAATTTGACAACTCAAGTACGATCCATCGCCGAGGTTACCACCGCTGTCGCAGCAGGAGACCTGAGCAAGACCATCGATGTCGAAGCACAAGGAGAGATCTCTGAGGTGAAGAAGACTGTCAACTCTATGGTCGAACAACTGAGGACCTTTGCTGCCGAGGTAACTCGTGTGGCTCGTGAAGTCGGAACAGAAGGTCGTCTAGGAGGTCAGGCCGAGGTTACAGGAGTTGATGGCACCTGGAAAGAGTTGACCGAGAATGTCAACACCATGGCTGCTAATTTGACCGCACAAGTACGTGATATTGCTGATGTCAGTAAAGCTGTTGCTCTCGGCGATCTTTCCAAGAAGATTTCAGTCGAGGTCAAGGGTGAGATGTTGGATCTTAAGAACACGATCAACATCATGGTGGACCAGCTTCAAGAGTTTGCCACTGAAGTCACCCGAGTCAGTCTTGAGGTCGGTACCGAGGGTAAACTCGGAGGACAGGCTAAGGTCGAAGGTGTTAGTGGCACTTGGAAGAACCTCACAGACAATGTCAACACCATGGCTGCCAATTTGACAACACAGGTACGATCCATTGCTAACGTTACCACCGCTGTCGCAGCAGGTGACTTGAGTAAGACTATTGATGTCGAAGCACAAGGAGAGATCTCTGAGGTGAAGATTACTGTCAACTCCATGGTGGAGCAACTTAGGATGTTCGCTGCCGAGGTAACTCGTGTAGCTCGTGAAGTCGGCACAGAGGGTCGTCTAGGAGGCCAGGCTGAAGTCAAAGGTGTTGAAGGTACTTGGAAGGAACTGACCGACAACGTCAACACCATGGCTGCCAACCTTACTGCACAAGTACGTGATATTGCCGACGTCAGTAAGGCTGTCGCTCGAGGTGATCTGTCCAAGAAGATTTCTGTCGAAGTCAAAGGAGAAATGATGGACCTTAAGAACACGATGAATATCATGGTAGATCAGCTACAACGGTTCGCCTCTGAGGTCACCCGAGTCAGTCTTGAAGTCGGTACCGAGGGTAAGCTTGGAGGACAGGCTGTTGTTAAGGATGTCAGCGGTACTTGGAAGGAACTCACAGACAATGTCAATACCATGGCCTCTAACTTGACAACTCAAGTACGATCCATCGCTGAGGTTACCACCGCTGTCGCAGCAGGTGACTTGAGTAAGACTATTGATGTCGAAGCACAAGGAGAGATCTCTGAGGTGAAGATTACTGTTAACTCCATGGTCGAACAGCTGAGAACATTCGCTGCCGAGGTAACTCGTGTAGCTCGTGAAGTAGGAACAGAAGGTCGTCTAGGAGGCCAGGCTGAGGTCAAAGGTGTTGATGGTACCTGGAAGGAGCTGACTGACAACGTCAACACCATGGCTGCCAATCTTACTGCACAAGTTCGTGACATTGCGGACGTTAGTAAAGCTGTTGCTCTCGGCGATCTTTCCAAGAAGATTTCAGTCGAGGTCAAGGGTGAGATGTTGGATCTTAAGAACACGATCAACATCATGGTGGACCAGCTTCAAGAGTTTGCCACTGAGGTCACCAGAGTCAGTCTTGAGGTCGGTACCGAGGGTAAACTCGGAGGACAGGCTAAGGTTGAAGGTGTTAGTGGCACTTGGAAGAACCTCACAGACAATGTCAACACCATGGCTGCCAATTTGACAACACAAGTACGATCCATCGCCAATGTTACGACTGCTGTCGCAGCAGGAGACCTGAGTAAGACCATCGATGTCGAAGCACAAGGAGAGATCTCTGAGGTGAAGATTACTGTCAACTCCATGGTGGAGCAACTTAGGATGTTCGCTGCCGAGGTCACCCGTGTGGCTCGTGAAGTCGGTACAGAAGGTCGTCTAGGTGGCCAGGCTGAAGTCAAAGGTGTTGAAGGTACCTGGAAGGAGCTGACTGACAACGTCAACACCATGGCTGCCAACCTTACTGCACAAGTACGTGATATTGCCGACGTCAGTAAGGCTGTCGCTCGAGGTGATCTGTCCAAGAAGATTTCTGTCGAAGTCAAAGGAGAAATGATGGACCTTAAGAACACGATGAATATCATGGTAGATCAGCTACAACGGTTCGCCTCTGAGGTCACCCGAGTCAGTCTTGAAGTCGGAACTGAAGGCAAACTTGGAGGACAGGCTGTTGTCAAGGATGTTAGTGGTACCTGGAAGAACCTCACAGACAATGTCAACACCATGGCTGCCAATTTGACAACTCAAGTACGATCCATCGCCGAGGTTACCACCGCTGTCGCAGCTGGAGACCTGAGCAAGACCATCGATGTCGAAGCACAAGGAGAGATCTCCGAAGTTAAGATTACTGTCAACTCCATGGTGGAGCAACTTAGGATGTTCGCTGCCGAGGTCACCCGTGTCGCACGTGAAGTAGGAACAGAAGGTCGTCTAGGAGGCCAGGCTGAGGTCACAGGTGTTGCTGGTACTTGGAGGGAACTGACTGAGAACGTCAACACCATGGCTGCCAATCTTACTGCACAAGTTCGTGACATTGCGGACGTTAGTAAAGCTGTTGCTCTCGGCGATCTTTCCAAGAAGATTTCAGTCGAGGTCAAGGGTGAGATGTTGGATCTTAAGAACACGATCAACATCATGGTGGACCAGCTACAAGAGTTTGCCACTGAAGTCACCCGAGTCAGTCTTGAGGTCGGCACCGAGGGTAAACTTGGAGGACAGGCTAAGGTCGAAGGTGTTAGCGGCACTTGGAAGAATCTCACAGACAATGTCAACACCATGGCTGCCAATTTGACAACACAGGTACGATCCATCGCTGAGGTTACCACCGCTGTTGCAGCAGGAGACTTGAGTAAGACCATCGATGTCGAAGCACAAGGAGAAATATCTGAGGTGAAGATTACTGTCAACTCTATGGTCGAACAGCTGAGAACATTCGCTGCCGAGGTAACTCGTGTAGCTCGTGAAGTCGGCACAGAGGGTCGTCTAGGAGGCCAGGCTGAAGTCAAAGGTGTTGAAGGTACCTGGAAGGAGCTGACTGACAACGTCAACACCATGGCTGCCAATCTTACAGCACAAGTACGTGATATTGCTGATGTCAGTAAAGCCGTCGCTCGAGGTGATCTGTCCAAGAAGATTTCTGTCGAAGTCAAAGGAGAAATGATGGATCTCAAGAACACGATGAATATCATGGTGGACCAGCTGCAACAGTTCGCCACTGAAGTCACCCGAGTCAGTCTTGAGGTCGGAACTGAAGGCAAACTTGGAGGACAGGCTGTTGTCAAGGATGTCAGTGGTACCTGGAAGAACCTCACAGACAATGTCAATACCATGGCTGCTAATTTGACAACTCAAGTACGATCCATCGCCAATGTCACAACCGCTGTGGCAGCAGGTGATTTGAGTAAGACCATCGATGTTGAAGCACAAGGAGAGATCTCTGAGGTGAAGAAGACTGTCAACTCTATGGTCGAACAACTGAGGACCTTTGCTGCCGAGGTAACTCGTGTGGCTCGTGAAGTCGGTACAGAAGGTCGTCTAGGAGGTCAGGCTGAAGTCACAGGGGTTGATGGTACCTGGAAGGAGCTGACTGACAACGTCAACACTATGGCTGCCAACCTTACAGCACAAGTACGTGATATTGCTGATGTCAGTAAAGCCGTCGCTCGAGGTGATCTGTCCAAGAAGATTTCAGTTGAGGTCAAGGGTGAGATGTTGGATCTTAAGAACACGATCAACATTATGGTGGACCAGCTGCAACAGTTCGCCACTGAAGTCACCAGAGTCAGTCTTGAAGTCGGTACCGAGGGTAAACTAGGAGGTCAAGCCATTGTCAAAGGTGTTGATGGAACTTGGAAAGAACTCACAGATAATGTCAACACCATGGCCTCGAACTTGACAACACAGGTACGATCCATCGCTGAAGTTACCACCGCTGTCGCAGCAGGAGACTTAAGCAAGACCATCGATGTTGAAGCACAAGGAGAAATATCTGAGGTGAAGATTACTGTCAACTCTATGGTGGAGCAGCTGAGAACATTCGCTGCCGAGGTAACTCGTGTGGCTCGTGAAGTCGGTACAGAAGGTCGTCTAGGAGGCCAGGCTGAAGTCACAGGGGTTGATGGTACCTGGAAGGAGCTGACTGACAACGTCAACACCATGGCTGCCAACCTTACAGCACAAGTACGTGATATTGCTGATGTCAGTAAAGCCGTCGCTCGAGGTGATCTGTCCAAGAAGATTTCAGTCGAGGTCAAGGGTGAGATGTTGGATCTTAAGAACACGATCAACATCATGGTGGACCAGCTTCAAGAGTTTGCCACTGAGGTCACCAGAGTCAGTCTAGAGGTCGGAACTGAAGGCAAACTTGGAGGACAGGCTGTTGTTAAGGATGTTAGCGGTACTTGGAAGAACCTCACAGACAATGTCAACACCATGGCTGCCAATTTGACAACTCAAGTACGATCCATCGCCAATGTCACAACCGCTGTCGCAGCAGGTGATTTGAGTAAGACTATCGATGTCGAAGCACAAGGAGAAATATCTGAGGTGAAGATTACTGTCAACTCTATGGTGGAGCAGCTGAGAACATTCGCTGCCGAGGTAACTCGTGTGGCTCGTGAAGTCGGTACAGAAGGTCGTCTAGGAGGCCAGGCTGAGGTTACAGGAGTTGATGGTACCTGGAAGGAGCTGACTGACAACGTCAACACCATGGCTGCCAATCTTACAGCACAAGTACGTGATATCGCTGATGTCAGTAAAGCCGTCGCTCGAGGTGATCTGTCCAAGAAGATTTCAGTTGAGGTCAAGGGTGAGATGTTGGATCTTAAGAACACGATCAACATCATGGTGGACCAGCTGCAAGAGTTTGCCACCGAGGTTACCAGAGTCAGTCTTGAAGTCGGAACAGAAGGCAAACTTGGAGGTCAAGCCATTGTCAAAGGTGTTGATGGAACTTGGAAAGAACTCACAGATAATGTCAACACCATGGCCTCGAACTTGACAACACAGGTACGATCCATCGCTGAAGTTACCACCGCTGTCGCAGCAGGAGACTTGAGTAAGACCATTGATGTCGAAGCACAAGGAGAGATCTCTGAGGTGAAGATTACTGTCAACTCTATGGTCGAACAGCTGAGAACATTCGCCGCCGAGGTAACTCGTGTAGCTCGTGAAGTCGGTACAGAAGGTCGTCTAGGAGGTCAGGCTGAAGTCACAGGGGTTGATGGTACCTGGAAGGAGCTGACTGACAACGTCAACACCATGGCTGCCAATCTTACAGCACAAGTACGTGATATTGCCGATGTCAGTAAAGCCGTTGCTCGAGGTGATCTTTCCAAGAAGATTTCAGTCGAGGTCAAGGGTGAGATGTTGGACCTTAAGAACACGATCAATATCATGGTGGATCAGCTCTCCATGTTTGCTAATGAGGTAACGCGTGTCGCTCGAGAGGTCGGTACCGAAGGCAAATTGGGCGTGCAAGCACAGGTGGAGGATGTACGTGGAACATGGAAGGAAATCACATCAAACGTCAATACAATGGCTAGCAATTTGACAGCACAAGTACGTGCATTTGCCTCCATTTCGACTGCTGCAACGGATGGTGATTTCACTCAGTTTATCACTGTTGAGGCCTCCGGAGAGATGGATTCGCTTAAGACCAAGATCAATCAGATGGTTTACAACCTTCGCGAGAGTATTCAAAAGAACACCGCTGCTCGTGAAGCCGCTGAGCTTGCCAATCGATCCAAATCCGAGTTCTTGGCAAACATGTCGCACGAGATTAGGTAATTACTGCACTTTTTATTATGTTTTAAAGTCCTTACTGTAATTTTTGAAAGCACCTAACTTTTTTTTTCTTCTTCTTTTTATTTAGAACCCCCATGAACGGAATCATCGGAATGACCAGTCTCACTCTGGAAACTGAGCTTACCCGTCAACAACGTGAAAACTTGGTGATTGTTAGTCACTTGGCCCATTCACTCCTGACGATTATTGATGATATTCTTGATATCTCAAAGAGTAAGTTGATGCTCTTTTGTTACAGCATTGTAGCTGGTGATTTGAATTTTTTGTCTATAATGAAATATTTATGTAAATTTTTTTTTTTCTTCCTTTTTTTTTTTTTTTTTTTTATAAAAAAAAAAAAACTACGTAGTTGAGGCTGGTAAGATGACAATTGAGCAAGCTCCATTCTCGTTGAGAACCCAGGCATTTGGAGTACTTAAGACTCTGGCCGTGAAAGCTCATCAGAAGAAACTGGATTTGATTTACAATGTCCATAACGATTTCCCTGACCAACTTGTGGGCGATCCACTTCGCCTTCGCCAAGTCATCACTAACTTGATCGGAAATGCCATCAAGTTTACAACCGAGGGTAGTGTTGTTCTAGACTGTGTCTGCAAAAACAAAACGGATGTTGGTGTTGAACTTCAATTCTGTGTCTCGGATACGGGAATTGGAATTCAAAGTGATAAGATCGAAGTCGTCTTTGATACGTTCTGTCAGGCTGATGGTTCCACCACACGCAAGTACGGTGGTACTGGGCTCGGTCTCTCTATCTCCAAGCGTCTGGTGACGTTGATGGGAGGTGATCTGTGGGTGAATAGTATCTTCGGAAAAGGATCACAATTCTTCTTTACAGTGCGGTTTAACACAGGTACCATGTCTGTGGATCAGATCAATCTCAAGACGAAGCCATATGTTGGACGTCATATCCTTTATTTGGGAACGATGCGCGACGATGTCATTTCTAGCTCAGTCGTAAGAACGCTGGAGGAGCTCAAATTCAAGGCTACGTATATGTCATCACTCGAGCAAGCCCATACTCTAGTCCAAGCTCCGGGCTCGGGCTCGGGCTCTTCATCTGAGAAATCAATGTTTGATGTGGTGATTGTTGACAATGTAAAGGATATCCGCAAGATCAAGGAGATCCCCATGCTTCGATTCCTGCCCATTGTGCTGTTGTCCATGACCACACCCTATATCAGCATGAAGGTCTGCCAGGAATTGGGCATTGCCAGCTATTTTAACCCACCAGTGCAACTACCTGATCTGATGAATGCCTTATTGCCTGCTTTCGAGTCTGCATCAGCGTTGCCATCTGATGCTGAGCATGCGATTCCATTGCATATTTTGCTGGCAGAGGATAATGTTGTGAATCAGAAGCTTGCGGTCCGTATCTTGGAGAAGTTTGGACACAAAGTGACGATTGTCTCGAACGGCAAGATGGCAGTCGAGTTCTACGATAGCAAGCACTTTGATTTGATTTTGATGGATGTCCAGATGCCGATCATGGGAGGATTTGAGGCTACGCAGGAGATCAGAAAGCTAGAGTTACTCAAAGGCAGGACCGAACACTTGCCCATTATCGCCTTGACTGCACACGCTATGATTGGTGATCGAGAGAAGTGTCTTGCTGCTGGCATGGTAAGTTTTTATTTTATGCATTGTACTAAGTGCTATAACTTCCTGCTTTCTAGTTCATTTCTTGATCTAATTTGTTTTTCTTTTTTCCTATAGGACGAATATATCACAAAACCACTTCGTGTCAACGAGCTAATTGCGACAATTAACAAGTTCCCGCCTAAGAACTGTCCGGATCTCGCACAACATGATCCATATTTCGAATTTCCAAATCTGCGATTGAGCTATAACCCTCAACAAGATCCCAAGATTAACTTTTACAACAACAAGAAGTAATCATTTCCTTTCCAAAGTACTACTATTTAGTCATTTCACTTTGTTACTTTATTATTATTGTTTTGTTTTTATCCTGCTTTTTTGTCCGCTTTCATTTTTGTGCCAGTTTATTTTTTTTGGTTTTTGTCTGCTTATATTTATTTCCTTATTATTCTTATTCATTCGATATTGGCATTGGCAATGGCAGTGTGTACTTTTATTCTTCTGCAATATACCAGCACCAATAGCCAATAAATATTAAAGAAAATAAAACATTAGTTATGAGTGTTATCCTTGGAATGCAGAGCTGTCACGGTCAGAGTTTGTTTTGCTTTTTAGCTTTTTTTTTTTTTTTTTTTTTTTCATAATTTCAGTTTGACATTAGGCAAGAAAGCATTATAAAAAAAATAAAAAAAAAACACCGGAATGAGCATCTCGATTGACTCGTATGAAAGTGGGTCTATTGAAGGTCTCTTTGGTAGTCAGGTCGAACAGCGTGTAGCTCATCATGTCGACAGTGACGATGAACCAGAGCGGCGACAGGGTTTAGGACGACGAATGAGTGACAGCAAAGATACTATGAATTCCATCAACAGTACGGTTGCTACCAGCAGCAGTAGTAGTGATGCTAATGGCGCACCTACAAGAGGCTATTCATGGCTAGTTTTTCTACGAAACCCTTGGAAAAAAAGATATCATAGATCCCAACAACATCGTCATAACCTCAACAGCAATAATAGTCGGTCATGGTTAGGGTTTTCACTATATACCCGTATCCCTTCATCATCAACGTCAACAACAACAACATCAACAATAACAAGTTCAGCATACAACATGATTCGCAAAATCCAGATGTATACTTCTTTGATGATCACGGGCGCCGTGAGCAGCAAGTGGCGCAAGAGTTGGTTCATGAGCCTAATTCTGATCTCAGTTGTCTTGACAGCACTTTCTGGAGGATATCTTTTGAGCCAATTACAGCATCCTAATGATTTGGGTACTGTGCCATTGTTGAGAGAAGGGACTGACAGTAGTAATTCTAACGGCCTTCAATTAGACACAGGGCCAACTAGTGGATCTAGAAGAGATAAGGGTTGGGGGAAGAAGCAGCCTGTCCCTGCAAAGGAAGATCCACCTTTCGGAGCGAGCAAAGGGGGGGAAACAACAGACGAATCCGATAAACCAGCCAAACATCTACCATCTCATGAGAGTAGCTCATCATCTGTTAGGATATGTAGCCTGGAGGATGTGGCTAATGGAGAGTGGATCTATACTTCTGTAAAAGAAAGCAAACAAGAAAAAGTAGAAGTTACTACAACACCCGTTGATCAAAACTTGAGTTGGACAGGGTATGGGCAAAATGGCTGTCGACCTCACATATGGAATGAACGATACCTTTTGACACCATCTTATGGTTTCAACAGCAACTTTACAACAACACCCCTCAACAGCAGCAGCTACTTGCAGGCAGACCTACAATATGCACAACATCTCAAAAACTTTCGGTGGCAGCTAAGTCCTCGTCAGGATCCAAGGCATCCTAATCAGTTTCTCAGCGAATGTCAACAACCAGAGATGGACGTTAGTGACTTTGTTGATATTCTCAAGCGAACGCCTATCGTAATGATAGGAGATAAGTTTCTAGAGCAAGAATATCTTGCTATCGAATGTATGATTCTTGGGATGCAGGACCAGCTTTATATGGATGCTGGGATCAAGCCCACAACAGGCAGAATAGACACAAACGATAAATCAGCAGCATATGAAGAAGGTAAAGAAGCCTTGGTAGCAGGATTCGAATACAGAATCGAGTCGGAGATGCCTTCTGTGATTGAGCTCAAGATCGCCCCTGGATCAAGAAAACAAAACCATCATCCATCTATCTACAGGAAAGCTAAGCCTGGTCAAATGCGACTTGTCGACCGTGTCTCCAATTTGAGCTTAATCACATTCATCCGTTCAGATGTTCTTTGGGACCCTGGAATGTTTTTAGTGGATCCAATCCATAAGCATACAGTCAAAACCGCAAAGGAGATTTCAGAAATGGAAGCTAATGGGCTCCATCCAGATTGTAAGGTCGTTGGAATGGCCTTACTTTGTGAACCAGCACGAATCGAACATTACCGTAAAACGGAAGCAAACGAGAGGGATAAATCTGAAGGTTTGACGACGACGGCTGCATCATCAACGTCATCGTATTGGTGGCAATGGTGGATAGGATCGGATAATGCTCCTTCAGAACAATCAAAAAGTAGTACTGGAAGCAATAATAATCTAGGAGATCAGGATGGCGATAAAGAGGAAGAAGAGATGCTCTATGGATCGGATCTGGACCATGATATAATTAATTTGAAGTGGACTGAGTTACTTGAGGCGATTGTGAGTGATACCGCAGAACATCGAGCTAGAGCGTCAATGCGTAAAAGTACAAGTGAAGAAGATATTGAACGCAAACCTTTGGTGATGATCAGTAGTGGACATTTTTGGGAGTATGATCCTAAGGATGTGACAACGGGGTTTATGGACGGATGGTCGAATGATGCTGGCAAAGGTCATGAAGAGGCGAAAAAGATGAAAGCGCTGTCGAAGGCCGAGCGAGATCAGATTAGACAGAGTCGAGATAAGCGCAAGAAATTGTTAAGACAGCAGTACATGAGGGTGTTGACTAACATGTTGGATTACATCAAAGAAAAGTATCCAGACCTGAGAGTCTTCGTCCAAACCAGTGTCAGGCGTAGGCCGTGTGGTAATGATTCTGATAAATACAACAAATCAATTGAAGAGCTGAAGGATCAAGAAGCAGCTCTCTTGAACACACTGACCAAGGTATAGATGAGAAGGAAATGATAAAAAAAAAAAAAAAAAAATGTATGCAGTATACAAATATAGTGTTGTTGTTACTATTTTTTATTAATATGTTTTTTTTTTATTTTTATTTTGGTTGATTGGTCTCATAGACTGTGGTAGCAAGGATGCAAGATCCATTATATTCGTTCGTAGACACAAAATTCCTCAGAGAATTTAAGGGCTCTGTAGCAAGCACGCGGCACTGTAGCAATTTCATGATGCCAGGTATAAAGAAAGAAGACGCTCGCGTGTGAATGTTTAATTTTCATATTGTTGACGCGTCGTTTTTTGTCGATCCATTTCTACTTTCAATAGGACCACTAGATACCCTCGTCCATCATTTGTATGGCGAACTCTATAGATTAGATTTGTAGACAGACACACATCTTCATGGTGCACATTAACATTTATACAATCACATATCCATACTCTTAATGGTCGCTCATAACTATCCTATGGGATATCACGATAACATTTGCATGAAAATAGAATAGAGGGCTGAACTCTTGGTTTTCTGGAAACATAATGCTTCTACTTCGCCTTAGTGAGAGGTACTCTCTATTCAAAAAAAAAAAAAAAAAAAAAAAAAGGGGAGGCATAGAAAGTAGAGTGACGGAGTTGTATATCAGCGTTGCGGGCTTTGCAAAGCACCAAGTCGCAAAAAAAAAAAAAAAAAAAAAAAGAAGAGCAACATATTGTTTGTGCTCAGCTGATGTCAATGTTGTTGATAACCCCTTTTTTTATTCCTGTCTTCGATTACACTGAACCCCTTCTTTACTCTTTTGATAACATGCGGATATGGCACAGGCACACAAAACAACACACCTTTTTTTTTGCTACTTCTTCCAAGAGTCCATGTCTTTATTCTTCACCTTTTGCTGGACCGCACTCACTTCCTGATTTCTCTTCCGAACTTCCTTGCTCCGCCTATCCCTCCTAGCTGGGCCAGACTTTTACCCATTGCGGAGTACCACAAGAAAAAGTATTGGAAGGAATAAACGTTTTTGTCAGATCAATAGTCACCCCCATTTTTTTTAAGACCATACAGTTACGAGCTTTGCTCAGATAGCAATCGACATTATCGATTTGACAGGTTTCAATCTTTGAGTGAAGTGTCTATGCCTCTTGAATTGAAATGATGGCTAGTGTAACTTCAGCAACGTCCAGTTCGAATCCAGCTCGAACCATCTCTAAGCCCAGGCAACAAAGTCTGCCGCGAAACCATACACAGCAACAACAACACTCAGTTATCCATCAACATCAGCCATTCCCATCCTCAACTTCTTCCTTCTCTTTCCGTAACTCAACCTATTCCTCCTCTAGTTTCTTGGGACCTAATGACTCGACCCGTTTGTCGCTTTTTCAACAGGGCACCAGCGCAGAGTCGAATGGCAGCAACGGCAGTAGTAGTAGTTACTTTAATTTCTCTGGTCAGTCCCATTATCAACATGGGCCAGCACCTCCTCTTATTTCCACATCCAGTTTTACTGGCCGACGTACAACAGCAGCTCGAAACCATAATTATAGCTTTATAGACAATGCGACTCCTGCTTCATTTGCCTATGGAACAGGGACAGGGACAGGTGCGGATACAGCTGTTCAACAGCAACAGCAGAAGTACAGCAGCACAACGTTCACTGGCACAGCGAGGGGAGGCCATAGTAGCCACCTGATGAAGCCCAGGGCAACAACAGTTCATGAGCCCTTACTGCATTATCAAGGAGATTCAGAGTCAGAAATCAACTCGCTTTATACCATTGACCATCACTCAACGACAGTCCCTGTAGCAGCGTTAGCAGAGCATGAGCTGGATTATCATCGTCATGAGATAGAAGGGAACGATCGACTGTCATATTTTGGATCTGCAGGACAAGATTACATGTTAAAACAGAAGAGAGCTCGTCGATCTAAACTGATTTGCTGGGTAGACCTAATTGTGCTGATCATGTTTACGCTGCTACTAGGATGGAACCCAGAGGACAGGATATTAGAATGGGACTGGGTATCGTTGTCATTGACAGCCATGGCCATTGCGCGGATCTCAGTGATGTTGTTCACAGTGCGATATAGAGACGGGAATTACAACACAGCTGTCATTTTTGTCTGCGTGGTATGTGATACACAATGTGGTCGCAGTTACTGTCGGAAGAGAAGGAAAAGCTTAGTACCATTATCTTTGGAAGCTAATTAACAACTTACTTATACGGTCATTCTCTGTATCTTGGGTGGGGAAGTAGTTGATCACTCTGCTGATCCTGTTTGAAATTAATAGATTGATCCAACAAAGAGTTGCGCTGACGATGACTTTGATCGCTCAGTATTCGTTTTCCATTGTCTTGACGCAGCTGCATTGGATTTCTTATTCTGCACACACACCCATGTCTGCAATTCTTGAATACTATGATCCACACTTGAGTGATAGCATCACTTTCAGTCGAGAGTCACGACACATTAATGCATTTCCCCCATCTGCAACTAGTACTCATCATTCACGACTGTCGTTGAGACGAGGGACATCATATGGTACGATGGTCAATTCGCCTTTTGATGCCGTCCAAGAACTAGACGAAGAACAGGATGGTGAAGATGAGGATCAGGATGTTTTCATCAAAGTCGATATTGACCGTAATAAGAGTATGACTTCGCGGCAAGGATTAGGAAGTGCAACTGGTATTGATGGTAGCAGTAGCAATAGCAGTAGGAATAGCGCTAGTGGTAGTGGCCGTAGGGCCAGCCAGGAGGCTAACAGAGGATATAGCGGCCTTCGTGATGAATATAGTATCGTTAGGAGCCAATACAACGACGATGATGGCAATGATGAGGCTGAAGAAAATGATGAAGAGCAGGATATGGCAACACTCTTAGCATTTCAGGATGCTCGGAGGCAACAAGTACTTGCATTTTCACCTACCGCTTCCTCAGCTGTTATACCTGCACGATCCATACTATCCTCTCCACAAGCACTGCCAGTTGATTCAAGCAGCCTCAGTCGTCATCGAATGCCATTGTCGTGGGCATACCAAGGACGACAAAGTGGTGGCAGCGGCATTGGCGGCTCATATGCGTCGTCATACGATATGCGGATAGCGGCCGCAAATGCATCAAGCTCTGCAACAGCAGCTGCAGGAGGGCTTACTATTGGTTATACACCACGGAAACGGTTAATGAGATCAAACATGGGCCCGAACGGAACTGGACGTAGGACTTGGACTGGCGGACATAACATCATTTACTCAGGCATCTTTGTGGAAGACTCAGATGAAGATGAAATCGAACAAAGTGGACAAACAGATGGAGGGAAAGCAGATGCATCAACGATGCTGGAAGATGATGAGGAGGAGGACCAAAGAAAGCATTTAGAACTTGATGATACCATCAAAGTTGAAGTCAATATTATTGAAGGAAAGACATTGGATGAAACTGCAGAAATTGAAGAGCAGCCTAGCAGTGAAAATGTGCGCATTGCAGTTGAACAAGGAACGATAGTAACAGCTATTGCTACGGTCATGAAGGATCAAGAAATAAGCCCTATAGATCTGGATAGAACAGATATAACAGTAGCAGTAGTAGCCCTAGAGGAGAATGACCTCAAGGCAAGCCGCTCTCAGCCACAAGCACAGTCTCAGGAGGCGATATGTGAGCCCCAGACGCCAGACACTATGATTGATGTCGCTGCTACAGGTATGTAATAATACGCCGCTTTACATCTATCCATGTTTAATAAAACTTCAAGACTAAATGAAATGCCTTCCTTTTCTCCATGTGTCTGGCTCTTATTTCATGTTAGTAGAAGCAAAGGCAAGCAATACGTTTGAAGGAATAGAAGAAGATCATGAGGATATAAAACATCACCCACATGTACTCTCAACTCTAAAGCTTCACTTATCTTCGCATAAAGATATAACTGCTGTGATGTGCGAAGAGGATAATTGTTCAGAACATCAATTTCAAGAAGGTCCCGCTGCTGAGCTAGAGGCAATCCTTGGTCCTGAATTTCATAGCGGAAACATTATAAATCTGGACATCAAAGAGAATTCCACAGTTGCTGTGGAACGGACAGGAGATGGAATCAACCCTGAATTTATAACGTATCCGATTGAAGGACCAGTGAATGAAATTCATGGAATCGTGATCCCAGATTGCATCGAGACAACACTATCACCACTACCATTACTACCGCAAACACCAAGCAGTATAATTGAGACCAAAATTGAGGATTTAGAGCCTGAGTTGAAAAAGGGGGGAGATGAGCATGATCATGGGCAAAGAGACAGCCGTTATCATAAAGAAGGCCTTGATTGTAAAGAAGTTGAGAAGATTGAGCAGGTTGAGCAGACTGAGCAGGAACCTAGTGAGGGAATTGGTAGTACTCTAAATATCCTTCTGCCAGAGGTCGATCCAGATAATTCGCGCCGCCAAGAGTCCGATGCCGTCATGGGAGAAGAGCAGCAGAGTGATAAGGACAAAGAAAACCGTATCCACGAACGGACCAAACAGATTATGGTGGAAAAGGGTGATAATAATGAGATCATACGCCCAGCTGTCAGCGACAGCAATGTCATCGGAGATGTAGTCGTTTTTGATTCTTCTTCGAATACAGCCACAACCATCATTACAGGACCAAGACGAAGACCTCACCCAACAATCCCAGGGCAGTGGATAGAAATAGACGACATGAGACCACCGGAAGGGGTGATTACCTGGGGGATCGTAGACGACATCCCTCCATCCCTTCAGGATGATATACCCATCGAACCAAATCCTGGACCTGCTGTATATATTCCTCCACAACGCACAGCCATTGTGGAGCCGCCAAGGCCCATTGCGGTAACCACGCCTGAGCAGGTCGTCATCCCTCCAGCATACCCAATAGTACAGACACCCGAGCCAATGTCAGGAATATTTCAACCTCAGCCCCATATCCTGCCACAGCCACGGGTAATCCAACGGCCACCACTCCCCATGGTCTATACACCGCCATCACGGCCCATTATCGCTCCTCCTCCTCAACGTATGCTACCGCTGCCACCCATGACCCAGCAACGACCAGTAGTGGTGGCTCCGCCTCAACAACCTATCATTCAGCCAGCTCCCCAGATGATCGCATCTCAGCCACAGATCGTAGCCTCAGCCGCTCCAATTGGGCCCATGGTTTCGACAACGCAACCGGCGTATGGTACCTATGAGACCATTGTTCCAGGAGCACCACAGGGGGTGGGAATGAGAGGACCATCCGGAAGTGCGGCACCGGTGACTCAGAGATACTCTGTTGCTTCTATATATGATGACGATGTCTACTCTGTGGCATCCATATATGACCATCGTAGCGTTGCATCTATTCATGAACTTGAAGGGCATGCTACTGGGATGGTCATGCCCGCAACGGCATTGGGTATTGGAGCTGGGGCTGCAGTTGGCACGATGGCAGCAGCAGCAGTAGAGCAGCAGCAGCCGTGGCTGAGAAGTACCCAGCCGCTTCCAGAGAATGCATACAGTCATCAGTTTTCAAGTCGGCCATTAACCTCAGGAGCACATGCGTTTATACAAGAGCCCAGTGTAGAAATGCAAGCGAGACATCTTCAGCGAGCACAAGAGGCACGAGATGTTTTTACAGAAGGCAAATCTGATATCCATATGCATTTATATGACAGCGCTTCGAACCTTCCAGAATATCAGGCAGAAGATATGGGTGAATACTCACGTCGTATCATCTCTGCCTCAACTAACGCTATTGACACCGTCATTATGATGGAACGATCAAACATGGATGTGGATGAACACGACCTGCGAGCCTCAGCGGCAGCAAGGCACGCCGCGTTCCCTTCTGACTCTGCCAACACCGAAGTATCATATCAAGAATTACAACTCCAAGGGGGCATGCCTGTAATGTCACCATTGCAAGAGATGTCGCTCGAGACATATTATGATACCACTAAGTCGCAAATGAAGGTACGAGAACAACAAGGACAGCTGCTTTCAGAAATGGCGCAACAGCTGAAAAAGAGACAACTGCGGATCCAACAGATGGAAAGAGAGGATGATGAGTTACGGGAGCAACAGCGAGTACAGGAGAGGGAGAGCCAGCGAGTGACCATTGAGATGCAAAAAAATGAGGTAAAGCAGGAGCAAGTCCAGCATACTCATCCAGAGGAACAGCAGCCGCCACGACCAGAGACAGAAGAGAAAGAATTATGTAAACTACCCTCGCCCTCGATGTCGGGTCGAATAGCCACTCTTCCCTCAACAACAACGCTTCCAATATCTGGCTCGCTCCTAATGTCTCCACCTCGTACGCTGCTTGAGCACCAGCAGCAGCTCCAGCAGCAGCCGCAGCCGCAACCTCCACCAACACTTAACTTCCCAAAGCCACCACTGAGTCCACCTCCAGTACGCCTTTTGGCAACTAGAGGACTAAAAATAGGCCCATCATCCTCACAAACACGAACAGCCTCCGCACTATCGAGCCAGCGGAATCGAGTACATGCAAAAAATGGTGTCGATAGCAACATTACTCGCAAGGACAGCGTTGATAGTCACCTTGATCTTGTTATTTTGTCAACTTCAGCTCGAAATGCAGAAAATATCATGCTACAGGACAGGAGCCAAACAAGCAATCCAATCACGACTGAAGCCCAGGAAATTCTCGTAGGCAAAGAAGATGCAGCCAAAGCCACCTTTCGAGTGCGATCACTTATCACGGAATCAGTCTTCTCGACTAGCGCTATCAGCATCAACACTGCAACTACCGCAAGTACCACTAGGGATGCTGCCGAAAAGTTACCATCACCAGATCCCCGCATGAAGGTGAAGGATACAATTGCCGTCTCAACTGCAAGCAGTAGCCCTGGACAAAGAATAGGGATGGCCGCTACATCTAAGAAAAGCAAACGAAAACAAGATATTCCTCCATCGAGTCGCCATCATCTGCATCCTTTGCTTTTACAGGAAGGAATTATGGCATGCTGGAATAATGAATTTGGTACAGCATTGAACATATTCAAAGAGTATGAAGGCGCATATCCAAGATGGAGCCTTGCAGCAGCGGAGGTAATTTTGTACGAGATAAAAGAAACGCGCTTTTCTTTACTGTTGACTTTAATATTTACACTTATTGTCTTTATTTTGACAATAATCGATAGGTTCATATTGTCCGGCAGTTGATCAGCGGCCAGCTCTCTGAAGCCGATTCAGAGCTCATGGATGCACTTCAGCTTTCCGAGAAGGTTGCATCTCGTGTATTGGATAGACGGCAGGAATTTGTAAGTCCACATGGTTTTTATCATTAGCTTATTGTATACGACGCAATATGAATTGTATCTTCCTTATTTCTAATGATGCATTGTCTATGTCTTCTACAGGATGCGAGCTTTATGGCCTACAAATCTGTCTGCAGTACTGATGCTACGCTGGCTACAGCTAATGACAACTCGCTTCGGCAAAACTACAAATGGGACTGTGAGATGACATTCTACGACACGTTATTATATCGTGGAGTTCTCCAGCTGACCTCAGCCTCCGATACAAAGGGTACATTCTCGGATATCAAGGGAGGACTGCAGCTTAGGCGCGCCTGGAAGGGCTATTTACGAATCAAACAAGAGATGGAGATGGCTAAAGAGAAGTGGCAAAAGCTCTCAACCCTTGTTCAGGCAAAGATAGAGCAGGAGCACAAAACACAAAAGATGATGACTGGTGAAGAGGATGTGGGTAACAATGATGAGATTGATCTGCCGATAACCAAGGCATCCCGTCCAACTCGCTTATCAAAAACTCAGACTATGCCTATCCCAATCCCCACTGCTACCAAGACCCAAGGCCTCACAGCGTCTCCAAGCAGCAAGAAAAGCGCACCGCTGTCGACATCACATACATCGGATGGCGGCTCGCGTTGGTCATTATTCGGGAAAAGAAGTAGCTGGAACCAGTCCGCGGCGTCACTGTCGTCATCCCCTCCCGTGGATAACAGTAGTTTTGATCTGCTTCATGACGGAGAGCGTCTACCAGGTTCTAGATTTTTGGCTTCAAGCCCTTCTACAGCCAAAGGTTTGGCTAGTCTCCTTCGGGATCAGACTAAAGCCGTAGAAGAGATTAAGACCGCTGTCAAAGTGCTTGAAGATGTTGAAGATTACATGCATTATGGCATTGGGTTATTCTATTTTATTGTATCTATCGTTCCCAAATCTCTATTACCGGCATTGAGGACGATTGGCTTGCAAGCAAACCATGAGCAAGCAATCAAGAACTTGGAACTCGTCTCATCTAACAAAAACGGCCGAGCACCCTTCGCAGCATTGTTCTTGTTGATCAACTACTTGTTCTTACCCAGAGGAATGAATGACCCATGTATCTCGCTTGGAAGAGCAGGAGAGATTGTAGAAGAATCCCTTAAGACTTGCCCGTATGTCACCTCCACCACTCCTTTTTTATTTTTATTTTTTAAGCAAAATCTAATATAATCTTTTCTAAACTCTCTGTATTGGCATAGTAACGGTTCAAGCTACCTTTTGATGGCCTGCCACCATGCCCGCAAGACAGGCAACATTATCCCTGCCGCATTGAACCATATCACTCGTGGTATCCAAACCTGTGAAGCTGCAGGCATCCCATCGATCAATTATCGGTTTGAGTTAGGACTGACGTTCTTCGTTAATCAAGAGTTTGGCAAAGCAGCCGATATTTTCGAGATCCTTTGGAGACGATTCATTGCAACCATCAGCGATGGTAGCACAGAAAATACAGCAGGTGGGGGACTAGGGCGTAGAACGAAGGGAAGAAGCCAGGGCATGAGCCAAGCGACCAGGACTGACACTTCGTCTGGGGTTATTAATTTCGGTCTCGGCCATGCCGCTGGACCCGGACCTGGAAGAGGATTTACGCCTGAAGAAGACGAAGAAGAGGATGACTTTGAGCTGGCGCCATTCTGCGGACTGTGCTTAATTGCCAGTAAAACAATTATTCGACAAGGCCAGGATGGGTACTTTGGATATGGTCGTGATGGGTTTGGTCATCACATCAGCTCTAGCGACAAAAATAGTATGAGTGCTGGTAATGGGGATGGGGGAAGCAGTAGCACTATGATGTCTTCCTCTTCTGGATTGTTCTTCGATAGCACAGTGTCTGGGTCAACTATGCCCCTTCATCTCTCGAGGCCTGGGCCAGATTTCGACTTACTGATGGCAGCTCAAGAAGTGCTGATCGTCATGTCTGGAGCCGACCAGCTTTCATCAAGACAACCTGAAGGAGCTGAAAATAGTACACCAATAGCAAGTATAAGATCTAGAAGTGGAAGCATTGGTGCTGATGCTGACGCTGGCCTCAGTGGAAATACTATTTTGGAACATTCAAAGGCAGGATCGACTCATTCGACGGCCTCTTCCCATCTCCTGTCTTCACCAGTACCCACTCAAGCTGGCAAGGTAATGCGCATATAGGCTTACACAAATGATAACAATGGCCACTACCATAACGAGAAATTCAGATTCATGAACTAAAACTTTTTTTAACACGCTTTTATAGCTCAATAGATTCAATAAGTTTGCCTGGAACCAATGCCAGAAAAGTCTACAGCGTGGACGCATTTCGCCCTTCCTACCTCTAGTGATCCTATATCTCCGTAGGGACCTTGCATACATGAAGCCTGTCCTGCTGCGAAAATATCGCACGCTTCTGGAGACAATTTGGAAGGTGAGTATACTCTAATGCGTTGCAAGCTGAATAGTCTTCAAGCTCAGCCTGCTAACTATCAACTCCTTTTTTCCCGCAGTCTGCGCAGCATACAGCCGATGCTGATACACAAGCGATCTACCTTCTGTTGAGTGCTGTCGTACATCGCCAATTGCTCCCTGATGATGCGACATTTGCATACACGGCGTTAACAGATTGCTTGTTGCTCGAGTCGGCAATCGAGAGCGAAATGTGGGTTGTCCCTCACTGTCACTACGAGGTATACTTCTCATTTTATTAACAAACAGTACTTATACATTATCATTACATCTGCTGATTTTTTTTTTTTCTTTTTCTTTAAGCTGGGAGAGCTCCTTTACAAGAGACTTCATTTGTCGCAGGCAGCATTGGAGCAGTTCCAATGGATTGTCAAAGGCCCTGGGAAGGAGGCTCGTCCTGCCAGTATATTTTATGCTGCATCTCCGACATCTGCTTCGAACCCAAGGCTTTCCGTCTTCGGAGGTGGTTTCCCCTCTGATATTGTCACTAACATTGTTGAGAGTGCTGCTGCTCAAGCCGCTACTCACTCGAACCAACCCTCGACATCATCAAACCATCGACTCAGTCAACTATTCTCCTCCAATCATGCTCGTGCTGCCTCAGTGACAAATCCACCCAACCCAATGACTTTTTATAACTCTAGATACAAGAAGTTTGAATTTTCTCAAGCGCTTAGGCACAGAAGTTCCATTTGTGTGGAGCAAATCCAAAAAGAGATTGAAGACGGTAGTGCAAGTGGTCCAAGTAGCAGTGTGCTCGTAAATCGACGGACATCCGTGTCAACGGCTAATGAGCAGAAACAACAACAAAGCGCCACCTCAATGGATGAGGAGGCACATGGAGATACTTCCCGGAAGCGTCATTCTTCTCAGGCCGTGGAACCAACGGATGATGGTACGGATACAGGTAGTAAATCAGCAAGAGTTTCAACTGGACAGTCTCTGCAACAGCATGGATGGGGTAGCAGCAATACAATGCCCAATATTCTATCTGATGCGCAGAGGAAGAGAGGTAGTCAGCAATGGGGCTTTGGGAAGCAGGTGCTTAAATCAAATAAATCGACCAGCGGAGCCAAATAGAAGATAGATTGTAATAAAACGAGGCTTTTTGTGCTGCGCCGCTGTATCGTAGGACTGCTAAATAAAGCCACCTTATATTTTGCTTGTTTTGATTTTTTTTTTTTTTTTTTTTTTTTTTGCTTGTACAAACCCTTGGCCCACCTCATTTCCATAACCCTCATTCTTGACAACCATGGTGAAGAAGGTTATTGACTCACGCATTCATACGCTCATCAAGAACGGGGTGCAGTCTAAGCACCGCTCCTTCTTTGTTATTATCGGCGACAAGGGCAAGGACCAGGTTGTGAACCTTCATTGGCTGTTGTCACAGGCACAGGTCACAGCTAGACCTTCTGTTCTGTGGTGCTATAAGAAGGACCTGGGCTTCAGCTCCCACCGCAAGAAACGAGAGGCTAAGATTAAGCGCGATGTTAAGCGGGGTATCCGTGAAGTCAATGAAGAGGATCCGTTTGAGCTCTTTATCTCTGTGACAAACATTCGATACACCTACTACAAAGAAACACAAAAGATTCTCGGAAACACCTACGGCATGTGCGTCTTACAGGATTTCGAGGCATTAACTCCCAATTTGTTGGCAAGAACAATTGAGACAGTTGAAGGCGGTGGAATCATTGTGCTTCTGTTGAAGAGCATGTCATCATTGAAGCAGCTTTATACCATGACCATGGTAAGTGAATACTCTGTCTCTACAGCTAATACTACCGAAGCAGGTCAAATGAGGATAAAGATCCTTTGTAATATCCGGCATGGCAATGACGATTGACATTAAAACGATATACTTGTTTTCTTGGGAATCGTATTAGGATGTACATTCAAGATATCGCACAGAATCACATCATGATGTAGTGGCACGCTTCAATGAACGCTTTATCCTCTCGCTTGGAACATGCCCTTCGTGCTTAGTAGTCGACGATGAGCTCAATGTACTTCCTATCTCTCTGGGCAAGAATGTCAAACCTTTGCCAATCAAAACTGGCGAAGATGCTCTAACAGATGAACAGAAAGATTTGATCAAGATCAAAGAGAGCGTTCAGGACCAGCAACCCATGGGCGCACTTGTCGGCACAGCAAAGACAAAGGATCAGGCAATTGCTGTAATGAAATTTATAGAAGCTATCGCAGAGAAAACGCTCCGATCCACTGTTACTCTAACTGCTTCTCGCGGTCGTGGTAAATCGGCTGCTCTTGGAATTGCAATGGCCTCTGCTATTGCCTATGGATACTCCAATATCTTTGTCACTTCGCCAAGCCCTGAAAATTTAAAGACACTGTTCGAGTTTGTTTTCAAAGGATTCGATGCACTTGGGTATGAGGAGCATATGGACTATGATATCATCCAGTCCACTAACCCAGAGTTCAACAATGCCATCGTCCGCGTCAATGTCTTCAAGCGTGATCATCGTCAGACTATTCAGTACATTCAACCACAGGATGCGCATACTTTGGGACAAGCTGAGTTGGTTGTTATTGATGAAGCTGCCGCTATCCCACTGCCTTTGGTCAAGGCGCTTTTAGGACCCTACCTAGTCTTTATGGCCTCTACCATCAACGGCTATGAGGGCACTGGACGGTCTCTGTCATTAAAGCTGATCCAGCAGCTTCGTGAGCAATCACGCGGATTTGTTGGTAAAGAACTGAATGCTTCCGAGTTGGCTAAGAGCAAGGCAACAGGATCTGCTACGGGTGCAAGGACGTTAAGAGAGATCGAGTTGAAAGAGCCTATTCGTTATGCACCAGAAGATCCAACGGAGAAATGGCTTAATAAGCTTCTTTGCTTGGACGCTACCATTGTGCAAAAGAATATCTCAGGTTGTCCCGCCAAAGAGGAATGTCAGCTATTCTACGTTAATCGCGACACCTTGTTCTCCTATCATCCTGTTTCGGAGACATTTTTGCAGCGTATGATGGCCCTCTACGTCGCTAGTCACTACAAGAATACCCCAAACGACTTACAGCTGCTCAGCGACGCACCTTCACATCATCTTTTTGTGCTTTTACCGCCTGTCAAGGAAGGCGATCGCTCATTGCCCGATCCTCTGTGTGTACTTCAGGTCTGTTTGGAAGGAGAGATTTCCAAGCAGACTGTACTCAACAGCTTGAGTCGAGGTGTTCGTGCGGCAGGCGATTTGATCCCTTGGTTAATTTCACAACAATTCCAGGATGATGACTTTGCTTCTCTTTCTGGGGCCCGTGTCGTTCGCATTGCAACCCACCCTGATTATGTTAAGATGGGGTATGGATCTAGAGCGCTTGAGCTACTTTCTCAGTTCTACGAAGGACAATTCTCAATGCTTTCTGAGGATGACGAAGAAAAGCCAGAGTATAGAATGAACCATGTCGACGACAGTGAACTTGAGGGAGTCACTTTGATGACAGATGATATTAAGATTCGAGATCCCAAGAAGATGCCTCCCCTCCTTCTTAAATTGAGTGAAAAAAGGGCAGAGAAACTCCACTGGCTTGGTGTCTCTTATGGCTTGACCGCTCCTCTTCACAAGTAAGTGATTTGTTGATACCTTATATCTGTGTCTACTTTTTTTTTTTTTTTTTTTTTTTTGAGGTAGAGGAAACTAAAAGATCATGAATAACTCATATGGATTTAAACCCTAGATTTTGGTCGAAAGCAGGGTATGTCCCTGTCTATCTTCGTCAAACACCTAACGAGTTGACAGGAGAGCATACTTGTGTGATGCTTCGTACACTTGAGAGCTCTCAGACACAAACACAATGTGATCCCATGTGGCTTTCCTTATTTGCCAAGGATTTCCATCACCGTTTCCAAAGCTTACTTTCATTCCAATTCCGCTCTTTCCCTGCCACATTGGCACTCTCGATTCTGGAGTCTGCCCGCGCCGCTAAGGCACAAAACGAACAGCAAGATGAGCAGGTGGACGAGGAGAAAGACAATAACAAGGACACAACAGATAGATTGATCAAGAGTTTACGTGATGGTCAAGTTACCAGAGAATTGGTTGATCTGTTGTTCTCGGCGTATGACTTGAAGCGCCTAGAAAGTTATGCAAACCAGCTGCTGGATTACCATGTTATCTTGGACTTATTGCCTCAGATTGCTAGTATCTGGTTCGACGGCCGTGTTCAGAATGCTGGGTTCAAGCTCACTAACATTCAGGCTGCGCTCTTGTTAGCTCTGGGCTTGCAACGCAAGACCGTTGATGATTTTGAGGTAATGCCTTCTTTTATTTATTTATTTTTATTACTATTATTTTGACTGCATTCGGCTGGCAAGTGAAGTAACATGATTGACTAGTTGTTTCTAAACTGTTTATATTTTTCTTGACCTGATTTACTTCAAATTTAACAGAAGGAAATTGGACTTTCAGTATCACAGTTACTCGCCTTCTTTATTAAGATGATCCGCAAATTCTCTGATCTGTTCAAAGAGCAGAAAACACTTGCGTACACTACAGAGATTAACAATTCACGCGCTAATGCTTCAGCGCAGTTGAAGATCAAGGATGTCAACAGTAAAAAGCGAGATGTGACTAGGGAAGAAGAGTGGGATCCTAATACGGAGGATCTAGATGATGAGCTCGGTAAGGAAGGGCGCGAACGTTTGCGTGAGCTCCAGAAAGCAGCGCTAGGCGATGTGGAGAAGATATATGCAATTGCTAATGACAGCTCCATGGACTGGTCAGCAGCGGAGGCACAGATTGATAAAAAGGGTAAATCCACTGTAGTATCAGTCAAGAATCCTGAGTCGACCAAGAAGAGAAACTTGGTGATGGGTGGAACGGCTAAGGACGTAATGGATAAGGAGGCCAAAGAATTTGTTCGTGGTAAGGCATCAAGACGTGATGGTGGGAAATCTGCCAAGAAGCGCAAGATTTAAAAAAAAAAAAAAAAAAAAAAAAAAAAAATTAGACCAAAGCAACAAGTGTAGTTTTACTCATCAGCTAGTCTATAGTTGGCTCCTTTTTTAATTGTTTAATTGTATTAGTCTTTGAACCTCTTACTTTTATTACTTCTTTCATTCATAAACACATCTGCATTGACATTGTAAAATCTGATGGTGCTTCTATATAACTGAGAACAGCAGCACCGAACTTTGAGTCGGTGGTGCTAAGTGGTGGTACTGGTGTCAATGAATCCAAGCAACACTACATATACATTGGCATCTGCATATGACTGGACTTAACTGCGCAGTGAGCGTTTTCCCAAGATCGCATTAAGAAAAGTGATTGGCTAATGACCGTTGTAAAGTTACAAAGCATATCAAGCGGGTCTGGACGCGTGCAGAGCCACATCAATTCCCAGGACGAGCAGATGTCGTGGTATGAGATGATAGTAACTGTTAATCATATTTTGATGCCTATCGAGACTACTTAAATCTGTCTGCTTGAGAGAATGGCATTTTCGTTGACCAATAGACAAGCTCTAACAAACACTTCTCAAAAAGGAATACTTCACAGATCTGACCCTAACAAATGAATACAACAGCTCTGAAAGCATTCCTCTAATGGACCAATGAAAGAGGTCTTTTACAGAGGCTAATTCTCTGTATTTTATAATAAGCGGGGAATAGGGGTTTTCACTACCAAGGAGCAGGGGATCAAAAACATTACCTGTAATACTTAACAGTTGGTGAAACCTTGGCTGTCAACCTTCTTTTGTTTACTCCCTAACCTGAAGCTCTTTGAGAGTTGTATCGCCCGTATCGTTTGACTCTCAATAAATAATGTATGGATTATTGACTAAAAAGGACTATTCCTTAAATATTAAGAATTGATGAGAACTGATTAGGTGATTGGGACATTGCCAGTCAGTTTTCTTTTATCAAGAACTGTGGTCTCTTTTTTTTTCAGGGCACCGAATACCACAAGGCATCAGGAACCAAAATAGAAGATATAAGAGTAGGCGAAACAAGAGAAACACATCTGGACACAGGGCTGGCCTTCTCCGTATCTTTGAATCCTGAATCTAACATGGAGTAAGAGCAACTACATGTACATGCTATGACTATCAGAGAGAAGAGAGAGTCTCCGATGGCTGTGTGGAATGTGTCATATGAAATGGCGATATTCTTACAGGCGCCATTTCCCCCAATCGGACTTCATCCACCAGCCCGCTGCAAAAGCATGCTCTCTTTTTTACCCACAATCATATAGGATTGATATGGAAAATTAGACTCATATTCATCACATCATGCTCATAATAAAAATTTACAGTAATCTGTCTTCTTTGACTTTGGGGGTTTTTTTTATGATTTCGAATGAAATCGCCGTTGGGCCTTCTATAGCCATATACATGATCGAGATGATTAAGCTTGTGCTTCCCAAACTAGCGCCTCTTCTGATCTACTAAGTGCGCCCCGTGTCATTCAGTGCGTACGACGATGAATGTATAAAACCAAAGATCGGACAGTCAAACTTTCGTCGCCATATCACTGGGAGAATATTTTTATTACTTCTTCTCCACTCTCTTCTCCTTTGTCTTCTCCACTCTCTTCTCCTTTGCCTTCTCCCATCTTTCGTGCAGCTCCTCTTGCTTTTACCCCTACCATAATACATATACCCATCTCTCAACAGCAGGACATTGGAGCACGGATTTAATCGTACCATGAGTACTATTGACAACAAAACACCCCAATATGCTTCGGAGAAGCAGGAGATCGCCGACGTTGCCGACGCTGAGCGTGCCTATAGCGTCACGTCTGATGAAATTGACCCTATTGCCGTTAGTAAACTAAGAAGAAAAATTGATTGGCATTTAATCCCATTGATCTCAGTGCTATACCTTTGCTCATTTTTGGATCGTGTCAATATCGGTGAGGCTTTCACTCTTTTTTTTTTTTTTTTTTTTTTGGTAGGTTAATAAAAATGATTATCTTCTATCAGCTAAATAAATAAACCTTTTTTTTTTTTTTTTTTTTTTTTTTTTTTTTTTGAATAAATTCAACAGGAAATGCAAAGGTGGCTGGTCTGGAAGACGATGTTGCCCTTACTCCAAGTGAGTACAACTGGGCCCTTTCTATCTTCTTCATTGGGTAAGGAAGAAAGAAAAAAAAAAAAGCAACTGCATAAGGGAGAAAATAGACATGCGACTTGATCCTTTGGACTTTCTTGTTACTAGAGTTTTTTTTCCCACTAACAACGTTTCACAAAACAAACAAAAAATAGATATGTCCTTTTTGAAATTCCCTCAAACATTTTGCTCAAGAAGATGGGGCCAAGAAAATGGATTACGATTGTGATGATTGCATGGGGAACTATCATGATGGCCATGGCTGCTGTCACGAATGCAGCTGGATTACTTGCAGCTCGTTTCTTCCTTGGGTTGGCTGAATCAGGACTCTTCCCAGGCTCGGTTTACTTGATTTCACTCTGGTACACTCGTTCGGAACAAGCCCTTCGTAATGGATTGTTCTTCAGTACAGCGACTATGGCAGGTGCCTTTGGGGGTGTCTTGGCTTATGGAATTGCGCAAATGGATGGTATTCAGGGTCTTCATGGTAATGTCTGTAAATCAGGAAAGCAAACAAGAACGGCAAGGAACAAGCGAGATTTGAAGCAATTTATTTTTTGTCTAACAGGGTTTTTATGTGTAAATTTCAAATAGGATGGCAATGGATTTTCATTCTGGAAGGTTTGCCTACAGTTCTGCTGACAATTGTTGTGTTCTTCTACCTGCCTGATTTCCCTGCCACGGCCTATTTTTTGAACAATACTGAGAAGGAGCTGGCTGTTAAGCGTCTGGTCATCGATGCAGGTCCAGCTACTCAGACTGAGTTCTCGTGGAAACAGTTCCGCGCAGTGTTCATTGACTGGAAAGTGTATATGCATATGATTACCTACATCCTCAATGCAACGCCTCTCTACTCTCTCTCCCTCTTCTTCCCATCCATTGTCCAAGGTTTTAAGTTTAGGTAAGTTTGTTTTGCTATACATTTCTTTTTGTTGAAAGATAAAAAAAAAAAAAAATGTTCAACAGCCTATACTAAGACTTTACAAACCTTTTTCTTATTAGCCCTTTGACAACACAGGCTATGACAGCTCCCGCATATATCATTGCCTGCCTCTTTACAATCATCTGCGCCTTTTCATCAGATCGTTTCCGCGAGCGTGGCTTGCATTATTCTCTTCCTACTTTCCTCGGTTGCCTTGGATATATTCTTTTGATCATTACAAAGGATTCATCGACAATCGTTCGTTATGTGAGCTTGACTATTACTGCAATTGGTGTCTTCTCATCTGTGCCCCCAATGCTGTCTTGGTTCACAACCAACATCGGAGGCCATACAAAGCGTGGAGTTGCTACGGCCGCTATTATTTCGTTTGGAAACATCGGAGGAGCTATTGGAGGACAAATCTACAGGGCCCCGGATGCTAAAAATGGGTTTGTCCGCGGACATACCATCTGTGCTTGCATGATGGGGATTTCTGGAGTCTTGATCTTGGTAATGAAGTACTTTTTGCAACGTGAGAACAAACGTCGCGCCAATCTGACCCCCGAAGAGTATGCAAGAGAAGCTGAGGGCGAAGACCTGTGTGACAACCACCCTGGCTTTACTTATTATACGTAAAAAAAAAGAGAAAGAGAGAGGACACTATCTTTCCGATATAATTCTGTACATAGCTTTCAAGCACCTTTTTTTTTTTTAGTAAATGATATACGTAACAAATAAACTACCTGCATTGTTACTTTGAGGATGCAGATCTATGAGCATTGCTTAATCAGCAAGCAGTACATTTTCTTTTCTTTCAGTTGAAATATACATGTGCATAAGTACATGCTGTGCATGTGGATAGAAAAGTAAAGCATCAATTCCAGTATGCAACTATGCAGGTGTCCTTTGAATAGTGGCTAAAAAAAAAAAAAATTGCTCCGATTTCCTCACAGCTGAACCCTTGAATAGATCGTTTACAATCGTTTACAAAAATAATTGTAGGAGGTGATCTCATGAGCCTCCTGCTTCGAAGCCAGTGTCTATATTTTATTAAGATATATATTTTTTTAAACATATTTATTTCGTTTCGTCTTCTTTCTTTGGTATTCTCCTCCCTCCATCTCCCCAGTCCTCAACTTCACTCCCCTCCAAACCATTGGCCCGCACAAAACATGGAGATCAGCACATCCCTCAATGACAAAAGAGAAGGCGCTAGCCCTCCTGCACATCAACAACAGCAACAATGTAATCAAAGTAGTAACATCGATAAGGAGCCGAAATATTTTATACCTAGTGTTATAGAAGAAATGAAAGACGTAGAGGACGCTCATCTTGATCAGGAAACGATGTCTGATGACTGCTTTGATCACGATTCAAAAGAAGTACGGAGAGTACGATGGAAGGTCGATCGACGTCTTATACCATTGCTAGGACTTCTTTACTTGTGTTCATATTTGGATCGATCCAACATTGGTATTGTGAAACATCAATTTTTTTTTATTATTATTATTATTATTATTTTTATATTAATGATGAACCGCCTTCTTTTCTTGTCTCTACTATTTTTCTACTTGTTCAACATTATGGACGGACAGGCAATGCGAAAGTAGCCCATCTTGATAAGGACTTAAACCTCGAACCAGGCGTTTATAACGTTGCACTCAGTGTTTTTTACGTCGGCTATATTTTGGGTAACAACTTTTTTTTTTTTTTTTTTTTTTTTTCATATGTTAGTATGGACTGTAGCATGTTTGAGCAGCTCAAACTCTTATACATCTTATACATATTATCATCTGTGTTATCCACCTCACCCCTAAACTTTGACCTTGTTTTTGTTTTAAGGTGATGTTCCTGCCAACGTTGCAGTAAGTTTTTTATCTTTTATTGAGCATAGAAGATACTCTTTAAATAGCGAAGGAGTGAACAAGGCTTGCTTATTGAAATATATCTATTTTCTCTTTGTCTTTGTCTTTTTCTTTTTCTTTTTCTTTTTCTTCTTCCTCTTCCTTACGGAATAATTTAGCTAAAGAAAATAGGGCCAAGAATATGGGTTTTCATGGTGATGACCGCCTGGGGCGTTGTGTCGATGTGTATGGCAGCGATCACTGATGGAGCAGGGCTGATTGCTACGCGCTTCTTCCTTGGATTGGCAGAATCGGTAATATTTTTTGTTTAAAACCGTTTATGGACATGGATTGTTTGGTTTGGTGTTGTTGTTTATTATGCGTATTATGCGGAATGTTACTCACTTGTCAAAAAGGGGAATTTTTTGGCATGTGTGTAAGATGTACGCGTGTTTCATTTTTAGCGTCATCTCAACTTTCTAACCTTTTTTTTTTTTTTTTTTTTTTTACCATATGCAGGGATTTGCACCGGCTCCTGTGTATGTAAGTAGATTCCAGATATCCCTTGAAGCATGCATCAATAAGCTTTTTCAATGCACACTTACGTATCGCTTACTCTCCACTCTCTCTTTACTTATTTATTTATTTATATATATATATATATTTATATATTTTAAAAAAAAAAAAAAAAAAAAAAAAAAAAAAAAGCTCATCTCTCTATGGTACCGCAGATGCGAGCACGCGCTCAGAATCGGCATCTACTTCTCAGCTGCGACAATTGCAGGAGCGTTTGGTGGACTGATCGCTTACGCAATTGCACAACTCCATACGGCGGGGGGATTGAAGGCATGGCAATGGATCTTTATTTTAGAAGGTCTGCCTACTATCCTTTGTGCTTTGTTAGCATTGTGGCTCCTACCAGGTCTCCCTGAAAATTCTCGCTTGTTAACTCCTGAAGAAAAGGCCTTGACAATCCAAAGATTAAAGCTCGACGCTGGTCCTGCCACGGACACTGCCTTCTCCTGGAAGCAACTCTGGGCAGCCTTTAAAGATTGGAAGATTTATGCGCATACGTTGCTTTTGCTGCTCCATAATGTTGCTTTTGCTTCTGTGGGCTTGTTTGTCCCATCCATTACCATGGGTTTCGGATATGAGTAAAGATCCTTCCTTAACTGGTTTTTCTTTTTCTTTTCTTCTATTTTTTTTGTTATCGTTTATTCTCTCTTTAATAACAATCCATTCTTCTTTTTTTTTTTAAATCTTAACAAAGCCATGTGACGACTCAGATCATGACCGCGCCAGTTTTCGTGGTCGCATGTGTGGCTACCCTTCTGTTTGCAATTTCATCTGATCGACTTCAAGAACGAGGTTTTCATGTCTTTGCAACAACTTTTCTCATGGCGGCGGGATTTGTTCTTCTGATCCTTACAAGCCATTCCTCGACCATAGTGCGATATGTCAGTCTTGTTATCTGTGCTTGTGGAGTGTATGCTGCAATTCCTCTTCATCTATGCTGGCCAAGTGGCAATTTTGGTGGCCATACCAAAAAGGGCGTCGCCATTGGTTTCATCATCGCCGTGTCACAAGTCGGGGGTATCATTGGCGGGCAAATCTATCGTGAGGACGATGGTGAGTATTCCAATGACTTCCATGAATATTTTCTTTTTTTGTGAGTGGTGGATGATGCATGATTTAAACTAAAAAGTCCAATAACTCCTCTACCTCCAATAGCTCCCCTCTACGTCCGTGGACACACCATCAATGCCGTGCTCATGTTCATCAACTCTATCCTTATTCTTGGTTTGAAGTTTCTACTCAGGCGAGAGAACAAGCGACGGGATCAACTCACACCAGAGGAGTTCGAGAAGGAAAGTGATCAGAAGGATGCAACCGATGCTCATCCTGGCTATCGTTTCTACGAGTAAACCAGATCGATTTTGTAGAAGCAAATGATTACATCCATTTCAATAAAAATGACAATGTGTTATACATACCACAAAAGGTTGTCTTAGTCAAAAAATAAAAATATAAAAGTACTGATAAAAAATGCATTTATTCGTTCGTTCAATTTTAATACAAAACAACCATTTTGGATGGGCGATTTTTGAGAAGAGTGTGAAGTATCCTATGGAGCAAATTATTTACTTCTTGCCACCAGCCTTCTGGGCAGCCTTGGTGACCTTACCGCCCTTGCCATCAGTCTTCTCAACGGACTTGATGACACCGACAGCAACGGTCTGACGCATATCACGGACGGCGAAACGTCCAAGAGGGGGGTACTCCTGGAAAGTCTCAACGCAGAGAGGCTTGGAGGGAACCATCTTGACGATGGCAGCATCACCAGACTTGATGAACTTGGGGAACTCCTCGGTGGCCTTACCGGTACGGCGATCAATCTTCTCAAGAATCTCAGAGAACTTGCAGGCAATGTGGGCAGTGTGGCAGTCCAAAACGGGAGCATATCCGTTCGAGATCTGACCAGGGTGGTTCAAGACGATAACCTGAGCGTTGAAGGAAGCAGCCTCCTTGGCGGGGTCGTTCTTGGAGTCAGAGCAGACGTTACCACGGCGAATATCCTTGACAGAGACGTTCTTGACGTTGAATCCGACGTTGTCACCGGGAATACCCTCAGTGAGGACTTCGTGGTGCATTTCGACGGACTTGACTTCAGTGGTGACGTTGGTGGGAGCGAAGGTGACAACCATACCGGCCTTGATGATACCGGTCTCAACACGACCGACCGGCACTGTTCCGATACCGCCAATCTTGTAGACATCCTGGAGAGGAAGACGGAGGGGCTTGTCGGTGGGGCGAGCTGGGGGCTCGATGGCATCAATGGCATCCAAGAGAGTCCTACCCTTGACTTCACCACCCTTGGTCTCCTTGACCCATCCCTTGTACCAGGGCATGTTGACGGACTCCTCCAACATGTTGTCTCCGTGCCAGCCAGAAATGGGGACGAAGGCAACAGCCTTGGGGTTGTAACCGACCTTCTTGACGAAGGTGGAAACTTCCTTGACGATTTCCTCGAAACGCTCCTTGTTCCACTTGGTGGAGTCCATCTTGTTGATGGCAACAATGAGCTGCTTGACACCAAGGGTGAAGGCAAGGAGAGCGTGCTCACGGGTCTGACCTTCCTTGGAAATACCAGCCTCGAACTCACCAGTACCAGCAGCAATAATGAGAATGGCGCAGTCAGCCTGGGAGGTACCAGTAATCATGTTCTTGATGAAATCACGATGTCCGGGAGCGTCAATGACGGTGACGTAGTACTTGGGGGTCTCGAACTTCCAGAGGGCAATATCGATGGTAATACCACGCTCACGCTCAGCCTTGAGCTTGTCAAGAACCCAGGCGTACTTGAAAGAGCCCTTTCCGAGCTCAGCGGCCTCCTTCTCGAACTTCTCGATGGTACGCTTGTCGATACCACCGCACTTGTAGATCAAGTGACCAGTGGTGGTGGACTTGCCGGAATCGACGTGTCCAATAACGACGACGTTAACGTGAGTCTTTTCTTTACCCATACTAATGCAGAAATAAGAGAAAAAAAATTGAGGTTAGATATTCTATCCAATCAAGAGAGCATATGACCTGGGTAAGGTTTGCTTGAGAAAAAAAAATATTTTTGGGGGCACGGGAAGGGGCAAAACAGCGAAGAATCCAAAAAAGCAAAATTGGTATGTCCGAAGAAAAGAGAAAAAAAAAAAACTCAACAGAAAAAGCTGCTGCTGCTCCAAGCTTTAAAAATAGCACTAACGTAGAAACAAAACCCCAAGTCTTTTTTGATCGCTACAACCTCCAAGGACATAGGATACAAGAAAGATGGCCCTCTCAAATCTCATTTCTAAAGTGTGTATTTGCAGCAGCAAGCTCCTGTGAAACATACTAAAATGACAATAACGGTTTTTCATGAAGATAGCAGCAAAAAAGAGCAGATCGAAAGGGGATGGATGGATCAAGAAAATAGATGGATGGATGGATGGATGGATAAATAGACAGATAGATTCAAGGATGGGCAAAACATAGGTAGGTGAAGGTACACAAAAAATAAAATAGTGCGTACGACAACAAACAACATTAAATTCATCAGCTAATAGAACTTACTTGTCAGAACGAAAAGTTGAAGTGAAAGGGAAGAGGCACACGGCCGCATGCCCAAGGGGATATTTTATATGCATATGTGACTGTTGAATAATTTTTCTTTCTAAAGGCTTTTTGACCAATCATAATACACATGTCCAAAAAAGTTTTTTTTTTCATTGTTTTTGTGTCAAAACTGAGTCTCAATGTTCTTTTCTCTAGCTTAAAATGGCTCCGGCACCAACGCTCTTGGGCTTGAACTATTCGTTAGTGTGGGAGATTCAACTCGACATTTTCACACAGGCTTCTCTCACTTTCCATTTGTCTCTTTTTCAATGGTAGACTACAGTTTTGTGTGTTTCATTTGAACCAGCGCCATAGCGATTAGGCTAGACCTTTCTAGATGGAACAAAAAAGAAAAGAAATAGAATCTTCATTCTTCTGCAATACTGCGCCTTAAGCACATTCGACTTGCTCGAACTACTGCACCTCCAACTGATCAAGTAGCTGCGCCTGTAATGAGGATAGGTAAATAAACACAGCCTCATTCTTGTTAATGGGAATATACCTTGAAGTTTTAATCATTGGTATTTCTTTTATGCCTCCAATAACAGGTTCTCATTGACGCCGTTAATGTACTGTACACAGTATCGACTGTACATATACTTTGTTTGTCTGATCCGACAAATGAGCTCTTTGTGCAACCAAATGTCGGTGTTCTCCTTTTCCTTTTAACCCATGACGAAACATGTTTACAGATGGAATGGCCATAGCTGGATAGATGAAGGTTTGAAGCGCCATTGACTCTTTGAAGAGGAAGGACTTCAATCTTCGATTCAAATATCAGAAGACACGGGTGGTTCAAGAGAAGAAAACGCGATGTGTTTCCTCGACTACTACTATGAATGCAGAAAATAAAGTACACCAAGTTATAACTAAATGACTTTGAGAACGATGGACAATTCTGCGTCACGGGTAGCTGTCTGTGCTCAATTGCACTCCTTTTTTTTTTGTTTTTGACTGACCTTGTAAGTTAACCCCCCATTGTCTTGTCTTTAAGACCCTCGTATCGTTCCCGCCATTCCATTCGGACACTCTTTATTACATTCATTCACTTTCACTCTCATTGGAATCAACCCAATGCCATGGCTCTCTCCGAAGTCAAACCTCCTCCAAAACCAACACGAAGTCGTGCTTCTTCTAACCCTACTAAATCAATTCCTCCAAACAATGGAGTCATGATCAATGTACACATCCCACATTCACTCGCCACAAGGGCACCCGTTCCCATACCTCGTTCAGCTCAGAAAACAATTCTAGCAGAGACAGGAGGATACCTCAGTAGTATTCCTATAGCAACTGTATCAGCCGAATTGCAGCTGCCGAACGCAGAATCTAGGTCAGCTACAGGGCCAATTGAGAGACGAGCAGGAAACCCTCAGGGACCACCTGGCATTCCTCCAAAACCAACAAGTAGCCACAATAAATACACGAACCAAAGTATTGCCACTACAGCCAACAACAATAGCAAGAGTAATAACAATGGCTCAAGCTCTTCGTTCAATAAGCAGGAAGTCTCTTCACAGGCTTCAGAAGCACCAATGCCCCCCCCGAAACCTAAAAGGATATCGCTTGCACCCCAACCTAAAGCAAAACCTTTAAGTTTGCAGTCGGTCCCGCTCCTTTCAAAAACCGAAGCCCCTGCACGCTCGTCAACTTCTCTACCATCTATACCAACGCCGTCACATGTTGCACTATCATCATCGACAACAACAACATCATCATCTGCATCTCCATCAACGGCCCACAAAAAGATACCTAGCGCCAATCAATCTCAGGAGTCTGTCAAACCTAAATCTATCGCGGCGAACAATGCATTCGCGATCGCGTCACAAACACAAGTACAACCACTAACGCCACCAACCCCTCCCGCCAAAAAGCCTAGATCTCAAGAGTCCTCTTTGAATGCTCCTTTTAATCCTATAGAACCATTATCGACTTTGCAGCAGCAGCAATGGTTGCAGAGCCAAATGCGGGAGCAACCTTCGTCTCCACCCCCACATATGTCCAAGTCGCACCCCAATGTTGGTTCAGAGTCATTGGCTACACCAACTACATCTGAAAGACAATTTGATAGTGCAACAGGAACCAACCCAACATTGATCGGCGCACGATCGAGACTTAGATCTGTATCGGATGCCAAGGCATCTACATCCCTGACTATGGCGGTTTCACAATCAAGCAGATCACCAACAACACAAACCACATTATTTGATAATGATGGATTTGGGCTCTTGAATAACAAAGGATGTACTAGCGCTCCTCTAGTTTCACCAACCTACCTGCCTCCACATTCTGGAAGGAATGGCACATACCCATATGCGGATATAGTGGACGACGGATCCTCAGGAACAGCTGCATCAGAAAAGCTAGCTGCATCTTTACATAAAATACAAGCATTAGCCCAGGGACAGACAGAGCGCATGAAACAGATCAATTATGCAGAAAAGAAGGCAGATTTAGCTGAAGCTGTATATGAAAAAAGCTCACTTTGGCGAGCACGGGGGGCAGAATGGGGCGGGATTGCTAAAAAAGTATGGGAAGATCGTGGTGGCATGGGAGGCATTGCTGGGGGATTTGCAGACCGCTGGAAGCGACGAGGTAAGAGGACTAGGAACATGAAGATTTTATTTAGACATTAAGCTAGCATAATTCTAGCTTCTGGATTGTTTAACATTATATTGGCCTGCTTGTTAACTATTAGTCGATGGAGCCAATGATGGAACACCAGACTATCCTGGTCCTGGTCCAGCGGCGCAGATTTTCGGCATCCCATTAGAGGAAGCTGTTCGACTCTCAAAGATATCGGCATCCACAGGAGTACCAGCAGTTGTGACACGATGCATAGAGTATTTAGATGTCATGGGTGTTGAGGAGGTAGGACTCTATCGCGTGCCTGGAAGTACCTCGAACGTGGCTCGGCTCAAGACTATGTTCGATAGCGGTAAGGGTTTGGGATTGTTTTTTAAATGATGAGACATTGTATTACTTCATAAAAGGGGTAACTGGACGTTCATAAGTATGAGCTAAACTTTAATTGTAGGCCACGACTACGACTTTTTACAAAAGGGCAATCAGCCTCAGCATCCCCATGATGTTGCGACTTTGCTCAAGCTTTACCTACGTGAATGTAAGATAGATCATGGTTTATTTGTATTGATATGAGATGACTATAGATATCAAGAAAATTAACGCAGTATACGTTGCCAATATTTTGTTGTTTTAAGTGCCCTCTCCTATTATACCACTAGACGCAATGTCTGCCTTCAACAACATTGACTTTTCAGATCAGGACCAATCACGATCTATTGGAAAGCTGAGAGAGAACCTTCGCCTCTTACCTTTAGAAAACTATCTACTTATGGGAACACTCTGCCGTCACCTTTCTAATCTTGCGGACTATGATCATCATACCAAGATGAACATTTCAAACTTGGGTCTCATTTTTTGTCCGACCCTTCAGATTGGCTCTGTTCTTTTCAAACATCTGCTGGGAGGCGATGGCAATGAAGAAGAGCGTCGCAAATGTCTTTTAGCGGTTTGGGCTGATCTGGAGATACGACATGAAGAAATGGAGAATCTGGAAATGATCAAGAATTTTGAGATGGGGCTCCAGATTGGGAGAGACGAGGCTAGTGCTACTTCAGGTGCTGTTCTTCAGGAGGATAGGAAGAGTCAAGAGCTTGAGCGACAGAGTTGGGAACAAGTCGATCACAATCCTGTCGATTTGACTCAATCTTTGCCTCAGTCTCAACCTCCAGTTACCAGTCAACAACAATCTCACCAGAATCCTTCCGTACCTCGCTCTTCTAGTCATGACAGCTCTGGGTCGGGGTCTCGGATGGGAGGAGTTTTTGACTCTTTTATGCCAGCTCCAGTAGTAGAGTCAAGTGAGCCAATCATGGATCTTTACGACGAACTCATGACTAGAGAGCTGACTGAGGCTACCAATACACCGCTAATCGATCTGGACTTTAATGATAACAATGATTTACAGTCAATGCAAGAAGAAAATGTTAGTCAAGGTGATCAATGGCGGAGGCATGCTCGGGAGCCAGCCATTAATCGCCGCCAACGTTCTCCTAGCCCATTACCACTAGGTGTTACAAGACATGAAAGGTTTCCAGCCGTATCGATACGCAACTATTAAGCACAATTCATAAAAGTTGTCAAGAAAACTCTGCGATGGAAACATTCATTCTTGTTTTATTTATTAGTGTTTATTACTATTATAGTAGCGAGAAAGCGAGAAAGCGAGAAAGAAGTTGAGTGACAAAAAAAAAAAAAAAGAAAAGAAAAAAAAGGAAGGGAAGGAATTTTATAGAAAGACGAGTTTGAAACTGGGCATTTTCATGTTATTTGTTGTTCAAATTTTATACAATAGTGGAGACACCTGTGCCACCAGTGATGGTGCTGGAGGCAGGAGTCTGACCACGGAATGCAGCGAATCCATAGCAGAGAGCAGCAAAAGTCAACAACAGAGCGGAAACAGTCTGTACACCCCTGTGACCAGCGCCAACTGCCACCCACATTAAGACAGCGAAGCTGTATCAATGGAAAAAAGGAGCTGTGAGTCATGTGATACGATGAACATCTATTTGGTCTTTTTTTTGGTGGCGCTCCGGTGATAAAAATATCCAACACAAAAATCAAAGCATTTTAACCCAACTTACACAATATAGGCTCCGGTACGGAAAACTGGGTTGTGAAACTGGGTCATGAAGCTGTCACTAGTGACGCGAAGAAAACTCGTTGTCGTGTTAGCCCATCAACTTGTAAGTTCCGATATCTTTTTTTAAAAATAAAAATAAGAAGCAAAAGATATGATACATTTCTCTGAATCAATAAAACAATAAAACATACAATTTCTCACTAGTTGGACAACACTGTGATGACGAAAATAAAAAACGTAAATTAGACGACTGAGATCGGATCTTCATACACTGTTTTGTAATTGAAACAGCGATAATAAATAGCGTGGTAAAATTCTTTCATCCTTTTACCTTCATGCATAGAGGGATTTCAATGAAGACCAAGAGGAAGGCGATGATCCTACGCGATGTTAGAAAAATGGGATTAATATCTATTATGTCTGATGAAGGATTGCTTTTTTTTTTTTTTTTTTTTTTTTTTTATTACCATCCGATGAGAGACCATCCAAGCGAAAAATTGACAATACCAAAAATAATCAATGCTAACGAAAAGGAGAAGGCGCATCAGTTTAGCCGTTCCTTGGAAGAAAAAAAAAAAAAAACGCGCAGTGTTGTTATTCATACCAACAATGGAAAGAAGCCCGAGCCTATCATTTGAACAATTGAATAGAGATCAGTCAAAGGGAGATAAAATAATCCTTGGACTTATTCGTTCTTGTAACTTATTGTTTGTTTGATGTTGATGTGGTCAATGCATTTATGCAATGCACATTTATTCCAGCTTGTGGTGTAGTTTTAAAATTGAAAGTTCCCTTTTATTCGTCCATGCCGTTTGAATCATACTATTACCATTGTCCATAAAGAGAAAAGTTCCCGGATTTGAACTCGTCGACCAAAGACATGTTTCTAATATTCTTCTTTTCTTTACTGAATGAGTGAGCGAGTAAATGAATGTAAATGCAATTAGAGGCAAGTTGAATGAGTGAATGAAATGTAGGAGAAAAGTAAGAACAAAGGAGTAGAGAGAGACAAAGAGAAAGAGACACTACTTCTTAAACAGCCCGTTCTTTATTTATTTCAGCTAGAGTGGAAAATCTATCGGTGCCCGGCATTTGACATATGGGCTGAGAATGCCCATGACTTTAACTACGACATCGAGCATGACTTTGCGACAATTTTTTTTTTCCTGTTTCATTTCTTCATATCAGCTTTTCAGACGCGACAGACCACATGTTTGCTTTCTGCCATAATAGTGATGCACTTGGCAACCCAGCCACATAATCACGATCATGGCTGTGCCGAAATCGGCACTCACGTCATCAAAAAGCTCTATAGTGTCAGGATTGAATTTCAAGGACAGATCTACCTCAACGTTGTAAATATTTTCTCTTGCAGTGTGTGTGTGTGTGTGTGTATAAAAATATATTTCTATTAATGTGTATATGTAGTACGAACAAGTCCCTTGCCTCTCATTATCATGCCACCCCTCATCCCATTGCAGGCCATGCTTTGACTTCCCGCCTCTCTCTCGACAGAATTGCATGGGATATTTATTCTTAAGACTTTCAATATGGTCGGAAGGGGAAGGACACATTACACAAAACGGATTTCCCGGCCGTATTGAAAGAGCTCAGATGACCCTGAATAAATAACCCTGTCTACACCAGCAATCCGTAAGAAAAAAAGGTGAAACGCGCCTTTTTTTTTTTTTTTTTTTTTCTTTGTCTATTTGCAAAGTCATAAAGTAACCAGTGTCGATCAGCCAAAAGATATAATTGGTGAGTGATCATCAAACAAAATGTCAAAGACAAGGCACATGGGCGAGATATTATTACAACTGGAGTGAAGATCAAAAAAAGAAAAGATGGGACAACCACATATTCTAATTACTATGCGAACAAACTATTTGAGGGAAAGTAAGCGGGTAACAGTCAGAGTGGGAAGAAAGGAACGGAAGAGAAAAAAGCGAAAGGTAAACAAAAACGCATCAATTCAAAATGAAAAGAGTTAAAGAGGTCTTTTTTGTTGTTGTTGTTGTTGTTGTTGCCATTGTCAACAAAAGAGTCATTGGAGTCCATGCTCGGTCTTTCCCAAAGGATGCATGCCCATCAAGAGAAGGCAGCAAAGAAAGAAATAGAAAAAGATAAAAAGAGACCAGTCAACATGATTTTTCGCCATACCATGGCCTTATAAAACCTCAGAGCTCTCTTTTTCATATCCCAACACCTTTACTTGTCCTTCCCACAATCTGTTGCACACTCACTATAAAAATACACAAACCATTTTAACTATCTGCATATTACACGCTCTCAACACATCCACATTCACTCTCACTCTTTTACTCTCACTTCCGCACTCTCACTCACACTCTCACAAACTCGCACTCTGTCTTGGCCTTGATACCTTACACCACAAGCAATATAAAACCAGAACTACATCTCATTTTGCGTTCCTCATGGACAAGACACGACAAGGTACAAGAAGTTTACGAAGCAATGATAATAAAAAAGAAGGGAAAAAGTGATCACTAGAATATAATTTACATGCAATATTTAAAAAAGAAAATAGTCGGAGAGAGAGGAGGTAATGAGGGGGTCAAGTTGAGTTCCATGCTCATTCTAAAAAAAAAAAAAAAAAAAAAAAAATAGTAATGAGTGCAGCTCTCACTCTCTGGTGGTCTAGGTTCATCGTATCCGCATGGTTATTCTAATGGTTTTCTTTTTTTTTTTTTTTTTTTTTTTTTTGTGTGTGTCTTTTTCTGTCTTTTTGTTCTTTCTTTTCTTTGTCTTTCTTGACTCCCCCGCACACTATAACAACGTAGCCATAAAACCATCCAGACCGACTTCTACTCTTGCTCAAAAGAATAAGGTAGCAACAGCCACCACGACCTCGACTACGACCACGACTACAACTACGCCTTCCACCACCAGAACAACCAAAAAAACTTTTTATCCTGCTCCACCACGAACTGCTCAAGCCAAAGTTACCCTCCATACAATTAGTAACAAAAGTAGTCTTAATACAAATACCAACACCAATAATAACAGTAGTGCCAATAGTAACCCTAGCAAGAATATTGGAGGCGCCGGAAATCTTCTCAACAAGGCATATAAGCGCAAGTCCGTGCCTGCTCTTTCATCTACAATGACTTCCACAAACACATCATCCACGCTTGGGGCCAAAAACAGGCTTACATCATCTTCACCTACCGAAAAGAAAAATCCTCTTCACCCGCAACAAAATTCCACACGGGTCTTCCCTGAAAAAAGCGAATCCGAAAATGATCAACAGATAGCATCACACAAAGAAAAACTCAAGGGTGTAGATACTGAAAAGGAGAAAGACACCACCATCAACACCAAAGAAAAAGACAAGGAGTTAGAAAAGGAGAAGTTGAAAGCCAAGGGCCGTTCAGAAGATGTGGGCTGCTCTCCTTATTCTGATGAAGAAGAGGATATGGAGGACTACAAGAAAGGCGGCTATCATTACGTCTCTGTCGGAGATGTCTTCCATGAGGGTAGATATGTCGTCCTACGGAAATTAGGCTGGGGCCACTTCTCGACTGTCTGGCTTGCAAAGGACACAATGTAAAACCAACGCAACCCATATGATTCTTTGCTCGCTATTCTTTTCTTCATCATGATCGACTGGAATAGATCACTGACCCTCTCTTTTGCTCCTTTCTTGCTTTCGCTCGGTTTCATCATTCTTCATCATTACTGCTTCATACTTTGCTTCACGATTTTTTTTTTTTTTTCTCTTTGTATCATCATTCGTCCTTTTGACAGGAAAAATCGTCATGTAGCCCTCAAAATCGTAAAGTCTGCAACACACTACACAGAGACAGCGCTGGATGAGATCAAATTACTGGAGCGTGTCGTCCAGGCTAACCCAAATGCACCCGGTCGGAAATATGTCGTAGAGCTATTGGATCACTTCATGCACCAGGGTCCCCATGGGACACATGTTTGCATGGTATTTGAAGTTCTCGGGGAGAACCTGCTGAGTCTGATCAGACGATATCAACATCGTGGCATTCCTACTCATTTAGTCCAACAAATCATATACCAAGTTCTAATGGGATTGGACTATATGCATCGAGAATGTGGTATTATTCACACGGATCTGAAACCTGAAAACGTACTGGTCTGTGTGGAGGATGTAGAGGAAGTTGTGAAGGATCTGTTGCAGGAAGATCATATCGACAATAACAACAGTTCTCGTAACCAGCCAAACGAGTCGAATAACAAGATTGTAGGCAGTAAGCCATTTGTGCATGGCGCACGTGCTTCGCTGGCGAGCAACAATAGCAGCAAGAGTCAGATTAGCGCACCATCCTCAGTCGTCCCAGATTCCTCGTTCAAAACAACTTCTTTCTCGCCATCATCACCGACCCACTCTCACCATGGCTCTGAGACCAATATCGAAATCATGCCGTAAGTGGCTTTTTTGTGACATATTCATCTACCCCTGCCTTTTCCCCTTGTCTTTTTCACCTGTTCCCGATTTCTAATAATCGAATTCCTCATTGATGCTCATACAGATCACAGAAGACTGAAAAGAAGGAGCCATTAAAAGACAGAGCGCCGCCCACGCCGACATCAACAGCCTCCCGCTCATCATCATTGGATAATAGCAAAGACTTGCCAACAATCACAGTCAAGATTGCAGATCTTGGTAACGCATGTTGGGAAGACCATCATTTCACCAATGATATCCAGACGCGACAGTATCGATCACCTGAGGTGATTCTTGGAGCCAAATGGGGTGCAAGCACTGATGTGTGGAGCGTAGCATGTATGACGTTTGAATTACTCACGAGCGACTACCTATTTGATCCGCAAAGTGGTCCATCCTTTAGCAAGAATGATGGTATGTAACATCGTAACATTTGTTTTGTGTTATGTTATACTTCGTAACCATTTGCTTGTTTGTTTTTTTACTGAAAATGATCATTGAATCTTTATTTTTTATTTTTTTCTGGAACTTTGCTTATCAATGTTATCAATGTGATTTTTTGTTTAGATCACATTGCTCAAATCATAGAATTGATGGGCCATTTCTCAAAGAAGTTGGCGTTGAGTGGGAAGTATTCACATGAGATGTTTAATCGTCGAGGAGAGTTACGGAGGATCCAAAAGCTGAGAATGTGGAAACTAGAAGATGTTCTGAAGGAGAAGTATGTGATGCCGCAACGGGATGCTGCGGTCTTGTCTGACTTTATGGAAAAAATGTTGCAGCTGGATCCATCCCAGCGTGCAACGGCAGGGGAGATGGCCCGGCATCCATGGTTGCGATACAATCCTGAACTTGGTACTAATGCAGATGCTGAGAATGATGATGCCGATGGCGATGGCGATAGCAAAAGAAAACAAGGCGAGAAAGCTTTTGCAAAGAGTATACCCTCGCCCCCAAATAGCGAACGGAGGTATTCTGTGTGAAGAAAAACAAATAAATTAAATAAATACCAGTGAGGAGATGAAGAGTAATGGAAAATATAACACAAAGATCCCAAAGCTTCGCTTCCTTGTACATACGATGTACGATCGATTGTTTACTTGCTTGTATGCTGTAAAGGAAAAGAATCTCCCATTTCATTGGTATAAAATAATTGAAGAGTTTCTCCTACAATCCTTGACATCTCTGAGGGAGTGAACCCGACTTGTTTCTTGTTTAAATGAACTATTCCAGAGAGTATCCTGTAATAAAATTAAAAGTATAACAAAACACAAATATCAATTATCATAGTACTATATGCAATCATTACAGTCTTCATAACACTTGGACACATACGCTATTTCATCTATATGGGTATGGTCCAAGACAGGCTTTATTTTCGCATCTTCATACAAACATGTAACCCGAGGACCCCAATCTTTTTGAAAGTACATGTTGGGCAGTTTTTAGCCCAGGTAGGTAAACCTTCTCCTTTTTGAAGACTGTTGAAGACTGTTGAAGACAATATCCTCTTTAGTGCCAATATTGCTGAAAAAAGAGTGTGCTTCTTGCTCAATAGAGTCACTGTCAAGAGCGAAGACTGGAGGCGATGGAGGCAGTGGAGACAGAACTTTCAAATATACTTTGGCTCACATGACCCGCATGACCCACATGACTTGTAGGGAAATAACTTATATTTTTTGTTTAAGGGTGTTGCATATTTGGTTACTTGAGTATCTATGGGGACTCCTTCAGTATCGAAGGATATCCCTTTTTCAATTTTAAAAAAAAAAAAAAAAGAATATCAACTCTCAGTTCCAAGACTTGTAAAGCCATGAGTAACCCGCCAAATATTGGACAACAGTCTTCTAGCCTTCAGCCCGGCATCCGACAACAGGATTTCCCTCTTCAGGGACAAGGCAAGGATCCTTTTACGGACGAAATTGACCACGATGAAGACTTTGACATGAGCTTTAGTATAGATGAGAGAAATCACCTTGTTGGGCATGGACACTCCCATGACCATAATCACGAGCATGACCATAATCATTTTGGCGATCATCGTGAGCTTGGACATAGTCACGACCATAGCCATAGTCATAGCCATAGCCATGATCATAGCCATGGACACGATCATAAACAGGAACACGAAAGTAGCACGTCAGAAGAGAATGATATCCATGAAGAAGCATTACATTTTCATAAGATCATCAAGGCATTTTCACAATATAAAGCTTCAGCCATGTATGCGAACCATCGAAGACGGACAGATTTTTATTCTTTACCAGAGAGACAACAAAAGTAAAGTACAAAAAAAAAGATACAATGACAAGGAAAAGAGGGGGAAAAAAATGCTATTTACGATAACGCACTTTTGCCTTTATTTTCATTATCTTCTTTTTAATGTTTATTTTTATTTGTTCATTTACAAGGATGCTTCCTTCTTACCTCGAGAGGATGGAGAAAATTGATACGGCAATCGAAGTCAACTATGAAATCATCAAGATCATCTGTGAAGATCAACAGATCTTTGTGAATGATGATCGACCTATGGCTAAGGTATATATATAACGGAAAAAAAAAAAAAAAAAAAAAAAAAAAAAAAACAATTCCCTTGCTCATCCGTGTCAACCCTTGTGTCCGAGTCCGTACTCATGTTCATGTCTCTTTTATGTTCTGACCCCAGCAGTGAATTTCTTTTTATTTTATTTTTTATTGCATAGTTAGACTTGAATGACAGAGCCAAGAATGCAGCGGCACTTCGGATTCGGCAGCCTGATATGGAAAAAGTACAAGGGACGATTAAGCAGTTTGTGCGCGATTGGAGCGAAGAGGTAAATTTTTTTTTCATCATCAGGGCAAGAGAAGGCAAAAAGATCTAATTTTATTTTTTTATTACCTAGGGAAAATCAGAAAGAGAAGCCATTTATGATCCCATTATAGAAGAACTGGAAGCTCGGTTCTCTCATATTTCCAAGCAAGCTCGTGGAGGGATTCATATTTTAGTACCGGGTTCAGGATTAGGACGTTTAGCGTTCGACATCGCACATGCAGGATTTAGTGCTCAAGGAAACGAATTTTCATACTACATGTTATTGGCTTCGAACTTCATTCTCAACAAGACAACGGCTGTGAATCAACATTTGATTTATCCATATATTCATTCATTTTCAAATATTGTAAAGTCGGACGATGTCTTGATGGAGGCGAGAATCCCAGATGTGGACCCCCGGGAGATTCCTCCGGGCACGGACTTTTCAATGGTTGCAGGCGACTTTTTGGAAGTCTATGGATTGGAAAACGAAAACTTTGGTAAAGAGAAAAAAAAAAACTCTTGCAAAAATCGGATCAAATGCACTGGCTCGGATTGGGATCCTTTCGCTTCTCTTCTTCCTTTTCTCCATATATCTATAATCATTCTATTTCGCTGACCTTTTTTTCTACATTCTCTTTTTCATATCAATGGGGGCGACTCAAATAGGAAAATGGGATGCTGTGGTGACGTGCTTCTTCATTGATACGGCCAAGAATATCGTCAACTATCTAGAAACAATCTACAAGATCCTTAAGAAGGGTGGTATCTGGATCAATGCTGGTAAGTTTTGAATCCAAGACAGGCCCTTTTTCTATTGTTGCTATTGTGAATCCTAATATAAAATATACACAATGTGGGGAGATAGAGGCTCTAGAAGGCAAAAAAATATATCACTACGCGGATTTCTAATCATTTGTAGGAATATCATACGGATCAACAAAATGAAGCAGGACTGGGGCTTTCCCCTCGGTTGAAACTCCTACCACCGAAAGACACACATTGCCCAGTATGGAGAATTGCTATTCGGAAGTGATCGTGTGGATGCCGACAACAGCGACATTAATGACCAACTTTGCAGGAATTTTTTTTTTTTTTTTTGATCCACCCTAGTTGGGGTAAAAAAAATAAAATTAACTAGAACAGCTATCTATTTACGGGATTTGAGTTGGCCCAGGGATCTAATCTTAGACAAAAAAAAGATCAGCTAATCCTGTGCCCCAGTTGATTAAGTTGGCAGTGGAGAGAATCGACTGACTAATCGATATCCGCTTTTTTTTTTCTTTCCTATCCAACGATTTCTTAGGACCACTGCTATGGCATTTCGAGAACACAGCCAACGAGATTTCTATCGAGTTGAGTCTTGAAGAGGTGATTGATTTGGCCAAGACGATTGGTTTTAGGTTTGAGACACAGGGAACAACTAAGAGTACATATATGGCCAATCCCCATGGAATGTTGAAATATGTTTATGAATGCGCCACATGGACCGCTGTCAAGATTTAAGAAACTTAGATGTAATCCATATTGGGCGCTTAATAAAACAAATAAAATAAAATGAATCGAGACTTTTTCCTTTCAAAGATACAATTACGTGAAGCGTGTCTTTACTTTTTTTTTTTTTTTTTTTTCCTTTCTTCTTTCTTCCTCTAGCCGATACGAGTGTTATCCTTCCAGAGATGGTTGCTTTGGTTCCAGACTTTGATGACACGTTCCTCCAGAGTATGTTCATATCCGAGAACAGAAACACTAGCCGTGTCGAGGACAAAGTTCTTGCCTTGGATGCCATCTAATCTGAGCCATCGGGCTGCAAAGACTCGCAAGAAATGTCCATGAGCTACTACCAAGACGTCACGCGTCGTAGGATTATCAGGAATGGTTACGACTGCCTTATCGATTGTGGGTTGGACATTGTTAGCGTGATCATGATGACGTTGATTATTATCTCTGTTTTCTTGAATGGTATGTTCTGACTGTCGTAAAGTCTCGGCAGAAGCGGCAGCGTTAACAATTTCCGGTCCTGAAAAAGGCATTCTCAATGTGTTGGTCTTTTTCCCATCGGAATTCTGGCCTCGTTGGAAATTATGGATGAGTTCAATGATAGCATCTGCACGAGCCGAGACTTGTTCAACGGTTTCACCTCCAGGAGCATTATCACCGAATAAAGACCAGGTCGGGCGGGACTTAAGGATCTCTTTGGTGGTAATTCCTTCATAGTCGCCGTAATCCCATTCGGTCAATAAAGAGGTTGTACGAGCTTGTGTTCGAGTAAAACAAGAAGAATGGTGTTGACTCGTTCCTTCACGTTGTTCCTTGGAGAGGCCTCCTTGTAATAACTGTTGGTAAGTCTGTTGAGCGCGTTGAAGAGGTGAGACGAGAACTAGAGAAATATTATCGATATGGACCATATCCTGGAATGGATTCTCGAAAATACTAGGAGGAAAAAAAAAAAAAAAAAAAAAAAAAGAAAACAACAGGAGCAATCCGCCGATTAGATGCATTTCGTTCTTCGTGCTTTAGACTGTTCTGCATCAGTTTTTGATTATTTTTTTTTTTTTTTGCTCTGTTTCCTCAATACCGTTCAGACAACAACTTGGCTTGCTCGATCCCGCTTGGTAGGAGGGGAATATCTGTCAGACCAGTGTGGCGGCCATTCTGGCTCCATTCGGTTGTGCCATGACGAACAAGGTACACACGAGGGTACGGACCGTGGACAGGGGAAGGGGTTGTCATGAGAAGCTGTTCTTTTCTCTTTTCCTTTTGATATTAACAAAAAGACTGAAAAAGCAATTATAGGATGAAAGAAGAAAAGAGTGGAGAGGAGAACAAGGAGAAGCAGCTCTTGCAAATCGAATTTATATTGTGAGAAAAAAAAAATCAGTGGGAAAGCAAAGCCGCATGTGTGTGAGGATATACTTATTTGTCAGACAAGAGCTGGGGCTTGGTTGTGATCGACTTGCTTACAAAGTTCATGGTGCCCTCTCTGCACATGCAAATAGAAATATGAAAAGGAGAGAAAGAAAGAAAGAAAAAGAAGACCTATTTGTTCATATGTTATATACACTTGCAAAAAACATGGTTGCTTTGATGCACATTTACACGACGCGTCCAGCGTTTTCTAGAGAAAAGTTGATCTAGGGCAGACATTGTATATAAATTTATATATAAACATTGAACAAAAGACAGAGCCAATCATTCTTTATCCGAAGTAAAGAGAGTTTGTCAGGGTGACTGAAACATTAGGATCACAATCATCCTTTACGGTAGAGTTTCTCTTCAACCTTTGCGGTGACCGGGACTAAAAAAAAAATAAAAAAAAAAAAAAAAAATAAAAAAAAAAAAAGGAAAGTTGATTCTTGAGCTATGAAAAAGAGTGCAGGTCGTCCTATCTGAGTATGAATGTCTGTAGAGTTTCCATCACCAGCAAACTCTAGATTACGATGGCTTTTTATTATTATTCTTCAGGCTCTAAGGAAAAAAGGATTCACCCCTGACCAAGAGAAGGGAACACAGGCATGCACTGGACTAAATAAACTCATGGTGATACAAAACCTCACTTTATATTGGAAACGCTAGGAACATTTTCAAAACTTCACAAGAAAAGCAAAAAGAACAGAGCTTGTTCATTGGCGTGTTCAGCTGCTTGAGTAAGAGGGAAACCAAATGAAAGGAAAGAGAGAGCTTGATTATGGATTATCAATGACAGATTACGGATAGAACGAGGTTGTTTTTTGCGCGCCAACTTTTTTTTAATAATATTCTCCCGAAATTATGGGTGCTCTCGAATGCCTTGCATAAGATCCGTAGGTCCTCGCAGTATAAGCATGCATTTCTTTACAAATGGAGCTGCAGCGTGTGAACACTAAAATTAAAAAAGTTCTCTTTGACTATAACCACAACAGTACAAAAATGTAGGTTCCTTGCTCTTTTCTACTTTTTTTTTCCTCCTTTTTTTTCCCTTTCTCCACTGCCCCTGAGTAGCGATGAGGCGGTGGAGCAAATTGAATAAACTCTAGAACATGTAGCGAAGTATTTCTAGTGCTGCTGCTTCTGTTGCTGCTGGTTATTGTTACTATTGTTGTTTGATCTCGACAGGACGAGTGAAAATGATTAAGGGCACATTTTGATTCATTTGTCGACGCCCAAAATCAAGTACGATTCAGTCAAATAGTTCAAAAAGTCTATTAGTAGACAAGGGATGAGTAACGACTAAGGATTTAACCAACTATCCAATCAGCTAACTAACCAACAAACTAACCAACCAACTGGCAAGGGATCTTTTTCCATTCTTTAAATATTCGTTTCTGCTCTTATTCTTTAACAGTCTTTACCAAAGTCGGACTAGGCAGTCTAGCTGCACAGTGAACTGGACGTGTCCGATTCCAACCTTTTCCTTTTAATTCGTTCCCCGATTCAAAAGGGTTAAAATATGGATAAAAAAAAAAAAATAACCGCCAAGCAGGGTCTCTGACAGGCCTGATTAGTCCGCATCCATCCTCATTCACTTTCCAAACCCACGTCAGCATCTCAATAATGTAAGCACTATTTAATAACATATAACTCTTGGCATAGCAATTGCTTAATAGAATAGAATAGATATGGTAATACAATGGATATATTAATAAAAAGTGTGTTGAGACAAACAATAGGAATGTATTCTATTTTTCAATGCATCAACTCCTTCTTTTTTGGCTCATTTTATCTGCCATGACAGTCCTCACTTTATTTATTTATCACTCCTTCATTTGTATATTTGCCGACTTCTCCCCGTTTTGGTCTAAATTTCAATACAGGCGAAGGTTATCACAGATCGCACAGAATTATCTCTTTGTTCTTTGCCTATTTCCCGCCACTTCCTCTTCCCACAACAGAGACCATCCCTTATATATCATCCCCCTCTTCTCTCTCTCTCTCTTTTTTTTTTTTTCCTCTTCTCCTCTCTTTTTTCCTTTCTTTTTTTTTTTGCTTCTCTTTCTTTTCTTTCCCTTATCTGTCTCAGATCTGTCTGCAATTTGTGCATTTGCTCTTCATTGACGCCCCGTATATCATAAGAAGAAAACAAAACAAAAAAAAATGTCACAACCAACAAAACCCACATCATATCTAAGAGTGGCAGCAAAGATTCTGCGAACACTGAATAGATCTAATGACAAAAAGAGCTCTACCAAACCAAAAGACTCTACCAAAACAACCTCAAGCTCCATCTCTGAATCATTCACATCCACTGCATCCACCACATCCAGTTTTCAGCACTCAAATGGCCGGAGACTTTCCTATAGCCATCATCATCCTGCTAGTTTTCAACATCATCATCAGACCTATCGGACAGAAAAGTATGATTCCCCTTTGTATACACTTCAACGTCGACGCAACACCGACAGTACTCTTCCTGCACCAGGTACCATTAAGGCACAACATTGTACAACAGCCGCCAAGACAACACCAAAGGACGTCCTGAGTTTCCCATCACCCACGAGATCCATGACAACAGTCTCAGCATCCAAAACATGTAGACAATCTGGCTCTCCAACCATTCGTCCATTGATCAATAGTCATTACGACGTCCAGCATACTCCAACCTCTTTCTCTCCCTCCGCATCCGTATCCTCATCCACATCCTTATCCCGTAGTAACTCTCTTCCTAATTATCGTCGAAAACAAATTCCGTCTCAGATTGCTACTCTTCCTCTCAGCCAGCAGCAACAACAGAAACAACAACAGCGGCTTAAATATCAGTCAGCAATGGCCCCCACGATTGAGGAGGGTAATCTCGCACAGACCGCTATCTTAAGCCAGGATATTGCTTTCCCAATTTCTACTAAAGCACAGTCTAATAATTGCAACAATGATTCTGAGATTCTGAAACAGGAACAATGTAATATTTATTATAAACCTGTAGGGACCCCTCGTGGTCCAGCTAAATGGCGCAGAAGCGATGACAGCAAGACTATCGCCAGTAGTAGATACTCTAACTCACCAATGTCAGTCTCTGTCCCATCATCAGCATCCATGTCACCAGTATCACCAATATCACCAATGTTCGAAGCACCATCGAGATCTATGACGAACACCAGTCT